TTTTCAAAAAAAGTTTTCTTCTTTTTTTTTTTTTTTTTTTTTTTTTTGCAGATTCCTGATGGAGCAATTTGAAGAGTATGACAAGGGTAAGCTATTAAGAGACAGATACATCAAGGTAAGTGATATTAGTGAAGGCTCCTATGGATTGGTGTCTGTTGCCAAGGATGTCAAAAGAAGTGATTTGTTAGTAGCTGTCAAGTTTATATATCCTGTTGACTATAAGAAAGGATACTTCAAGGACCAAACCAAATCAAGGCCATCTTCTAGTCCAGCCCGTTTAAAGTCACCTAAACCTGGATCTCCAAACAAGCACGACAAAAACACCATATTCAACAGTTTACTCAATGAAGCTCAAAAGGAAATCAAGATTCATAAAATATTGGGTGAACACCCCAACATTTCACAATTGTATGGTCATTTCGATTCATGCCTAGTGTTGGAGTTCTGTTCAAGAGGGGATCTCTATGAAGCTATACACAATGGAAATGGTCCAGTTACCACACAGGATATCAAAGATGTATTCCAACAAATTCTCAATGCTGTGGGATATTGTCATTCCAAAGGCGTCTACCATCGTGATTTGAAGCCAGAAAATATCTTGATTGCTGAAGATTGGAGTATCAAATTGTGTGATTGGGGATTGGCTACCACCACAAAAATCGTTAGCAATAAGGATGAGTTCGATGTAGGTTCTGAAAGATATATGGCCCCAGAATTGTTTGATAACGAAGTTGAGTCTTATGATGCATCCATGATTGATATATGGTCGGTTGGAGTTATCTTGTTAACGTTAGTGTTTCACAAGAACCCTTTCCAAGTGGCTAATTACTCAGACAAGCGGTTCCTACAATTTGCCAGCAACAGAGAAGCATTGTTTGATATATTTTCAACAATGAGTGGAGATTTGTTTTCGGTTTTACGGTTTTGTTTAACCATTGATCCTACTAATCGTGACTTGGATAGTGTATCTAAAGAGTTGGATGCATTGAGATTTTTCACTATTGATGACGAGTTTGAGTACGAATACGACTATAACGAAGGTGACGATGAACAGGACGAAGGAGAGGATGTAGAAGAGCATGGATCGGAGGAAGCTGATCTTGACGATGAATATTTGTCTTATCGCAACGAAGATGGAGATAAGTCGCAGTCACATCTGGGAGTTACAGAATCAAAAGCCAACGAGTTTAACGATGGTGCGACTTCTGCGGAAAGGTCTAAGCATATTGCTTCACCCCTTTCCAGATATGAGATCCCTCACAATCATAGAGCAGATGCGCTATTGTCTACCAACACCAAGGCCAAACCCATCCCCATTAATACCCACGATTTCAAGTTTATTAGAAATACTAGAAAGCCCTTAACAGTTGCGTCATTTAATCAGAATGCACAGATGAACAGAGGTGTTAATAGCAGACTTGGGAACTTCAACAGAGAAGACTACTTTACTCCGAAATCAGTTTTCAAGCACTATATGGACAAATATGGGGATAAGAAAAAAGGTAACAGCTATCAACATCCAAATTTCAACACAAATAAGAATAGTAATGTCAATGGAAATGTTGTTGGGCAACAAAGGCCACCTCAATTGAGAAGGAAGAGAACTTGGAAAACGAACCAAAGGTATCGACCCTCAGCTCAAACTGCCCACTTGACGAATAGCAGCCGCGCCAATGGAAAACAAAATGCACCTGCACGTGAGGAATTTCCTCGTTCATTTGATAAACTTGGCGGCAAGCGCTTGTCTGCCAATTTGAGCTCGGCGTTTAACACAATGTCCCATCCAAGTGCTTCAAATGTGAATACTGGCTCCAGTGCTCCAAGTGGTTCATTGGCGTCGCATCTATCCAATTCAGGAAAGTATATTCCACCATTTCTCCGCTCGCCCAATCGCCAACCCCAAAAGTCGCCTCTTGTGGAGCCATTAGCAGAAGAAATTGACGATTTGATTCTAGGTCAAGATGATGAAGTGTTTCATTTGGAAGATGACTTTGCTATTGAAGGAAAAGAGAATGTAATTCCCGAAGAAAGTGATTTCAAACATGGAAGTACAAGTGAGGGCGATCGTTCAGAATTTTCAAACTTCAATGTCAAGAATGGGTATTTGAATGGAACGGCTCACATCAATGGAAACGGGCAACATTTTCACAACGGTAAGCTCGACCCCAAGGGACTCAAGCCATCTCCTCCTAGGTCATTCAATGAGGGAAGTAGCTTAGAACATGCTAATGGTGGAAAGTACATTCCACCTTTCAGACGTGGCTCTGTATCCCGCCATAACCCAACTGGGACATCGGTTGCTACTGGTGAACACAATACCGGAAACATTTGCATTGCTAATGGAGCAAAGAAATCGATCCATTACAAGAACCGCAATTCGATGGATGGTTTTGCTAGCGATGGAGCCACTGGTGGCAGAAGCTACAACAGTATGTCGAGTGGTGGTGGTGGTGGTGGGAGTAACACAGGCAGTGTTCCGAAGAGTGTAAATGGGTTTATGAACTCTAGTGCCACCGTGAGCTCCCACCCGATTCATAGCTATATGAGTGATTCGTTCAAGGTGAATAATCGTTCCTCTAATGGCTCATCCGATGTCAAGACCCGTACTGCTACAACCACCAAATCCAGTAAAGGTGTCAGTAGTAGTCGAAGCGACAAGAGTAGTGGATATGACAGCAAAAGCGGAGAAGAGTTTGGAAGAAGAGGAAGTGGTGGAAATGGTGACAATAGGAATGGAACCATGGAAGTTGGTAGTTTTAATGAGTTGTGGTTTGGGAGCCAAAAAAAGAATTGGAGTGATTATGACGACTGATACGAGCATAGCCTTTGTGATCCAACCAATTTTTTGCTTTCTATATTTTGGCTTTCTCTCCAATGGCGGTTTACTTTTTAGTCAATGAGGCATAGCTTAGGTTAAATACTTTATATATGTGTCTGTGAATGAAAGTCATTAACGAGTTTACCACAAGCCTTTGAACGGAAATTGGTATGTGTAGAATCTATGTCCGGTATTCAGCGCTTGGGTAGCACCTTGCTACGAAGATAACGCCATTGTAAACAGTTTACAGGTCTACGAATGCAGTGATCACAGGAGGAGGCGGAGTAAATTCCCCTTCCCTCCTTCCCTTCCCCCTCCCTTACGTGTGAGTAAATTTCAGGTTGGTGGCGGTGGCGACAGAAGCAAAAATAGGACTTGATTGTTGTGACTTTGCCCAAATTTCGTGAAGACATTTCATTATGTTTATCGATAGTTGTATTTCTTATCAAATTAATCCTCTAGTGCATGTAGTCGGTGGCTGTTTTCCCCTTATCTCCTTTTCACTGACGGAAGAACCGGGATAAATACGAAATTCACAATGAATTTTAGCGTCTTCTACTTGACTATAAAGCGTGGCATGTTTGACAAATTAAAAGGAGAGAGGCGGGGTATTAAAGAAAAAGAATAATGAGTGTCTTTCCGTGTCTGGTAATTTTGCCTTGCCATTTTTTAATTCCCTTATTGTTGGTATTTATGCATTGTATGCGCGTCATGCTATTGAGTAAAAGACTGGAATTGTCACTATCTACTCTTTTGGGGTTACACACCTGGATGTTTTTTCTTCAATACGAATTAAATACATCCACAAAAACCGAATAGAGAGAAATTCACGTACCTTGGGCAACACAAAACAATATATCCTACCTATCAGAATCCAGAATTTATTTTTTTTTGGAGGCATCAAATTTGACGCTCTTAATGGGGAGAGGCACACCACTACCCTTCTCTCTGCTGCTTTGCCGAATAAAAATGGTGTTGCTTTCGAATGTTTGATGTTACAATCCCTTTTTATAATATTTATCATTTGATGTTCTATTTTTTTACGGGGAGTGTTTCATTTACCACACTTTTTCTATAACTATAATAAACATGTTATTTTTTACATCTAGGTTATTTTATTGTACTAGACTTGCGTGTACATGTTGATAAAAATTGAAAAAAAAAATACAATATCACACAAAACCAATCTTTCTTGTGTAATGTTTATTTTTTTTTCTTTTTGATGTAAAAATTAACACGAACAAAGTAAAAGAAAAAAAAAAATAACAACGAAGGCGGTCTGTCAAAATGTTGAGTTGCTGGCCCATTGTAGTTCTTCAAAAAGGTAACAACCCAACTTATCCCTTTGAAATTATCCACTAGGTAAATGAGTGAGATTATGACTTTTGATGCGTTTGGCACAGCATGAGATTGTAAACGTACTGAGAGAGCCACATAGTTCGCTATGTGACCAGAGGATACTTGCTACTACAAAAAAACAAATTCTTGGTCTTCTGTGAACCATTATTTTTATTCTGGTTTTGTGTTTCTGGAGACAGGGTGGAGGGAGGGATGGGGAGTTGTGGAAGCTTTTGGTCGCATCCCTCTTTTGTCACTTGACTCATTCGGGCCAGATTCTTACATTCTCTTTTTCCAAATCTTAAGCTTCAAATGGTTTGCTCTTGAATGCTTACAACACGCAAAGGGAAACATTAGTAAGGATGACAATTAGAAAGTATCTCCTCCTGCCCTTCATTGCTCCTTTTGCGCAGGCCCTTTTCCGCGATAAGAAGGATATTAAACGAAACCAAAAAGCTAAACGGTAATTCGCCTTTTATTATACACACCACTGTGGACACAACAGAAGTGACTACAACTACAATATTTTTTTGAGTCTTATTGTGCAAATAATAATAAACGTGCACAAAAGCAAGCTTTAGAATTGTGGGTGTTAATCTTGAACTCAAATAGTGGGACTACAACCCCACCCGTCTTTTCGTTTAGACTACTGTCACTCGACAATGATGGCTTGAATTTCTACTCTTCATATCAACCTTTATTAAATACTTGTTAGAACTGGGCTGTTTTTGAACATTGTTGAAGTTTATGAAGCTTTTGTCCTTCATTTCCTAAAATCTAGACTTTACTTTGCTTCTTCGTTTATTGTTTTATAAAATATTCATTGCGACGGCCATTTGTGGTGGGAGAAAAAAAGAAAAGTTTGTAATCCCTTCTAATATTGTCTATTTTTTTTGCTTTGTTTTTGCTTTTGTTTGTGTCTGCGCTCATGAGGGCAGAGTACAACAGGAAATTCGGGTAAACTTTAAAAGCTCTGCAAAGAGTAAATATATATATATATATATATAAACCCCCAAAAGATGAAACATCTAAAAATTCTGACTTTATTCTTCTTTACTCAGTTCAAACTATTCGTTTCAGAAGTTATTTTCTTCTCGTTTCTATCTACACAAGTTTTTTGTATCAAGTTAACATCAAAAAGTTTTACCTCAACAGGTACTTAGAACCCCTGTCGCGTTTCAAAAATCAGCAAAGACTTGTTTCAGAATTCGTCATTTGTTTCATTAACTCTGCCACAGCCCGTTTCAGAAAGAATATATATCTGTGTCAGTATTCCTACTACGTTTTCAAATTGCAACATCCTCACTGCAACCAGAGAAGATAAAAATTATTCAATTTGGTCACGTGTGAAATCTTCTTGACAGGGTCACGTGAATCAGTCGCTGTTTGCCTTTTGTTTTTTTGTTTTCTTTTTTTTTGTTTTTTTTGAATTTCAGGTACACACACCTAACAGCAACAGAACAACAAACAAGGGTACAGAAGGGGGAAAAAAAAAAACAAGAAAAACCAATTTCCAATTTCCACTGTTCAACAAATCTAGAACAAGCTTATTTCCTTTGAAACCAAACATTTAAGAAGCAAGTCACTCATTTCGTTAACCCACTACATTTCATTCTTTTACTACAACGTCATATACACCCACACTCATTTACATTTTCCTTCTTCACTTTGTCGATTTATTTTTTATTTTTTATTTTTTTTTCAGAGACGTACCTTTCCCCTCCCCCATACAAGACGCGACAATCTTACAAACATTAGTAGAGTTCGTTTTTCAGATCCCCATTCTTACACACATTAGCTAGTACATTGATACTCCCGTTTGACTGTAATGTCTACTACTGCCACTACTACGACAATGGCAACAGCTTCACATCCAATGACATACGCTAAATCTACCACAAAGGAAATTGAAGACTCCTTACGACTAATTGATGATTTAAAATTCTTTCTTGCAACTGCACCCGCCAATTGGCAAGAAAACCAAGTCATTCGAAGATACTATTTGAACCATGACGAGGGATTTGTGAGCTGTGTGTATTGGAACAACTTGTATTTCATTACCGGTACTGATATCGTCAGATGTATTGTGTACAAATTTGAACATTTCGGTCGCAAGATTATTGATCGGAAAAAGTTTGAGGAGGGTATATTCTCCGACTTGAGGAATTTGAAATGCAACACTGATGCCATATTGGAACCACCGAGATCAGAATTTCTTGAATTTTTATTCAAAAACTCATGTTTGAGAACTCAAAAGAAGCAAAAAGTGTTTTTTTGGTTTAATGTACCTCATGATAAGCTCATGGCTGACGCTTTGGAAAGAGATTTGAAAAAGGAGAAACTTGGTCACAAGCCTACTACTATTGCCCACAAAGAACCGGCGATAAGTTTCAAATACGATGAGAATTCAAGCTTGTTTACGCAGTTGACAAAACATATAGAAAATCAAACTCACGATGGTATTGTTGGCCCATCCAAGACTAGTGCATTGAATACCGCCAATAGCACAACCACCGCGACGTCAACCTCTGACGATGGCAATCTTCTAGATCAAAAGTCGTCTCCTGAGTATATGTCGTCTACTGCCAACTGGAAAAGCGATCATCCCAAATTTCTCAATGATGGATCAGATCATCTCTTTAGATCAAAGCCTAACCAACCATTACGTGAGAAAGTTGAGAGGAGAGTATCTCTCACCAGCAAGTCTGGCGAAAATGATGACAGCGAAGGTAATAACCATGATGATCACGACGGTGATAATGACGAAGAGGATGACGATTTTCCGTTGGATTACTTTGTGTCGCAGGGAGATAGTAATGATAACTATATCACCCTCGATTCCAATTATCGTGGCGGCTCAACTTATGCCAGCTTGTTTGACGATTTCAACGGCGACGAATTTCTTGACCCAAACTTGTTTATACCCTCAGAGCTGATGAATGCAAACCTGAATCAAGTTGTCATGAATGACGAATATTTGATTGAGCAAACACAGCCTTTGAAAACACCACTACCGCCCGGCGCACCTGCAACTAGTGCTAGACTACTATCATTGTCAAACCAAGATAATATTGGAGATGAATTTTTCTCGCATCCGCAACTATCAGGCGCACTAGCGACTAGCTATCCCATTCCGCTTTCAGCTAAGTTGCAAACCGGCTTCAAGCAGCAGCAACAGCAACAGCAACAGCAACAGCAGCAACACCAAGCCTCCGCTTATGCAGCACTTTCGACACCACAGTTTCTTAAGATCCCACAACAACAACTACAGATACCTTCTCAAGCATTCAATTTCAGCGATCAACAAGCATATTTGGCTGATATGACGGGCACAGGCTACAATTACAATCTCATACATCCAGACAGCGAGTACTGGACCACAAGCCAAATGAATCACAACTTTACTGATACAAACTCCATTCTTGACCTCAATTTCGGCTTTGGATACCCAATTCAGCAACAACCCGTGATGTTGGTGAATGATGACCTCATACCTTATTCTGTCAATCAACCTATGCTAATACCACAACTGCTGCAACAGCAGCAGCAACAACAACAACAACAACAACAACAACAACAGCAACAGCAACAGCAAATAAAATTTCAAAGCATGAATAGACAACAGCAGATAAGTAATAAAATGATGAACAAAAAGAGGCAGATGCAGCAGCAGCAGCAACAACAGCAGTATCAACAGCAAGCACAAAGGCTTGCACAGGTGCAAAGACAGAAATCAAAGATGAGTGGGGCTAGTGGTGGAGGTGGTATATCGAAGAAGAGCATAATCAAAACTGAAAACCCACAAGTATCATTGAATGAGGTGGTGAACTCCAAGACTACCAGAATTTTAAATAAAAAGTGAACGTGCCGATATGTTGTTACACGAAGATTTCGTTTCCTTTTTTCCGTTTAATAGAGATTTGTTTCATAAATATATAAACATTTCCGTTTCTTCTTCGAGTATTGTAGACGAGCCTATAGACATGTTATGTTTGTGAGCTATCCCCTTCTCCCCAGACAGCTTATGCTAATTGCTGCATTCACCACCCGCTCATTTGCTATACTCCTCAATCAACCGTTGCTTGGCAATCGGATATCTCGACTTCAATCTCTCCATAACTTGCTTTTGATCAGAACTCAAGGCACTGTTTTTCAATATGCAACTATAGCAAACTATGGCCGAATGCCGAAGCTCGGCCACATCACAATTAAAGAATTTACCCAACATTTCATCTAGTTGGCATAATCTCTCCTCACTAAATTCGGTTTCTTGGATTAAGGTGGATGAGAGGAAATAAAGACATAATTGAGTCATTGCGAGGTTATGAGAAGTCCCTGTTGTGTCCATAAGGTACCCAAACAGCATTTTTTCAATGCTCAGCTTCAATGAATCGTGCTTGGAGTTACTGTGACTTCCGTATTTGATAATCAGAGTCACAATCTCACGCCAAATCAAAAACATCTCGTTGCAAACATTCGTAACTAGCTTGCATGTAAAGTCCATAACCCGGAAAATCTCATTGGGGTCCATAGTTTCATCGTAACGGAGTAAAAGCTTGAGAATAATCAACCCATCCATAACCTCTAAAGTCGTCATTGGTCGAGCTCCATACTGAAAGCCAAGTTCAAAATACTCCCACAACGAACTAGTCAATTTGTGCTTACCAGTGGTCAAAAAATACTCCCTAAATTCAAAGCTCGTGGCACTCAATGAAGCGATTGATTGGGAAACAGATATCATTGATTGTGTCTTGTCTTCCACATTCGCAATCAGCGCGATAACATCACAGCAGTTATTGAACTGTTCAACAGCCAACGAATCACCACCAAGCCCCTTTCCAAAAAGTTGCGAATAAAACGTAACGGTTTCAATATTTCTCTCATTTCGTGGCTCACTCGCTGGTAGCTTATAATCCTCATAAATATTAATCTTTTTGGTCTTGTTAGTACGGGCCCGTAACGGGTCGACTTTATCAATCATGGTTTGAACAGCATCTTGGGATTTCAATGGTCGAGACGATGGATTCTCAATGTGGATCAGTGCCATATCTTGGATCAAGTCCTCATGCGGCTTGATGTTGCTCACAATTGGGTCAGAATAGGAAATTGCATCTTCCTGTGATCCTTTTACCATCAACTTAAAAGGACGAGTGCCTTTCATTATCGATTCATCTTGGGCAGTGTTATTGCTAATTTTGGCGTCAACCTCTATCGGCATAGATGATTGCATTTGAACATCATTTTCTTCATCAACCATCACAACGTCATCCTCGCCCATCTCTGCAATTTGGCCTAGTGGACTACATTTACTGTTACAATCATTATTGGTAGTTTCGTCTCTCAACTTAGGCACAACCATGGTAAAGCCATCATCGGCAGACTTTGGAGCATAATCTTCCTTCAAACCACCTGGATTAACTTCGGTCAATTCGAAAACAGACTGATCCAACGGATTCTCGAGATGCACCGTGCTGTCGATTCCAACAATCAGTTCCACCTCGTCTTTCATAGCAAACTCAGCTTCGTCCAACAACTGAGTGAACTTATAAGAGTCGATGGCATAAAGTTGACAAAACAACTGCTTCAAATTGGTATGCGCCTCCAGACCCTTCAACACTGAAATCAGTCTCACCATTTCTTGAAAAAGTTCACCAAATTGAACATCTGTTAATTTGACTTTAGTAAGTGCAATCAGAAATGTTTGAAATATCAGTTTGGCGATCTTGAACTGATACGATGAAATCAAGAACTTGAAGTTGGTGCTTCCTGCAATGGCGGGGGAGTCAATCACAGTACCTAGCAACAGAATCTGTTCATTGAAAAAGTCATTAAAGGCAATATCGCCAGTCATCAATTCGTAGACTCGTTGATCAACTTCAACAAATATGATGGAACAAACACGCACAAAGTCATCAAGTGTAAACAACTTAGCGGCTGTCTTGAAGACATAGTCATTCGAAGAGAACAACTGTTTCAACACCATGGGGTCCTTTTCGGAAATGTATCTCAAGCGGCTTTTCAATGCATGGGCATTGGAAACATCTTCTTTACTGATTATGGCATATTTCAACAAGCTTACACCTTCCATCAAGTCACTTGTACTCTTAGACGACATGAAATCAATCATTGGATCTTGATCCTTTGAAAACACCCTTGAGGATTCAACAGGTGGTTCGGAAGCCGAATGGCGAACGACAACTTCATCCTCCTTGGAAACAGGAGGTTTGGGGAACACCTCGGTTCTGCTTCTTGCTCGTTCAGGGAGACCTGCGGCATCCTTTTGCAGAGCATTCCAACTTGCTGCCCTTGGGGTAGCTCTATTCGACTCATTTTTCAATGCTTGCGGTACGGCTCTAGGAGCCTTAGGTCTGTTATATGATGAAGCAACAAGTGAGTCTGGGTTGGATTCTCGTGAAGTAGATCGAGATGACACCTTCATTTGCTGCTGATCTTTAATTCTATCCCAAGTAGACTCCTTCAATGGAGGCGCAGAAATCTTAGTCGACAACTTTCTTGTGGTAGTTGCTGATACACCAAGCTCACGCTGGGACCTTTCCAATGCTCGTATTGTATTTGCATCAAATTTTCCTATCAAAGCCTCTGATTCCTCAGGGAAAATTCTTGAAAAGCACCAGTAACATTCCTTCGACACCTGTCGAACATTCGGATTTGCATCTTTCAACAATTTTATCATAAGTTTGTTGCAAGTGTCAATCGCTAACCCATATTGACCATTAAAGAATGAATGGTCCAATGCATACCTCAAAAGCAATATTTGCAACCAAGTCACAGCAAAGGAACGTGGCTTGAAGTTGGGCTCATCCATTGATTGGACAATTCGTTGGAATAATTTGGCGTTACATGGCAAGTTGGCATACAAAGCAGATATAACCATATGGGCGTTTCCCGAGGTAATGCTTTTGGTTGATAGACATAGCTTCATTAGTGTGGGGAATAGCAAGTCACTACACGGCTCAAAATCTGATTTCAATATGATTGCACACTCTTTGATCAATTGACAAGTGTGTGTGCACAAGGTAGTACGAAGGGAGCTTGCTCCCTTGCACATAGGATTTGCAAATGACTTCAAACATGATACCAAATCTTCTTTGAAAGCATTTGCTGCATTTCCTCGCAAAAGCAGACGGGTTTCAACTATACGTCTCTCTCTTTGTTTCCAGTTAGATTCTCCTTCCTTTCCTTCAAAACATTGGTAGAATGTGTCGAAAATGTGATGGAGCTCGACCCCATCCAGGACATCCTTAGGTTTCACAGACAGAGCTAACTCATAGTGCACCTTGTCCAAGAGGTTAGATAAACTGCTTGAAAAATAGACGGTGTCGACTTCAGAATCTCTCTCAGGAATTTTTGGAGTAGCAACTCTCTTTTCCAGCAGTCGACTAGAGCTTGATCGGGAGCTACTTGGTCGACTCCTTGGAAGTATTTTCTCAGTAGTCTTCTTATCGATGTTGTACGATTTGCATTGGAATTCCAAGTACTGACGCACTTGTGGACTGGACGAATGTTGTATGTACAGGAGAAACAATTGACGCACACTATCAATCAATTCCTCATGTCCTTGATTCTTTGACAACATTCTAAGAATAGCAGGAGCAAAAAAGCGTACATTCAACTTCACGCTAACATTTTGGACAATTTGTTCCATCCAAAGAATAGATTCAATCGCTATTTGCATATTCGTAGAAGTGAATGAAATTTCGTTGACGGCATGTTCAACTTCTTCCGGAGCACTAAGCCAATAGTCTTCGAGTGCCTTTTTTGAAACTGACGAGTTGTCACTTCCCAACTTATTAATCAAAACTGGAAGTATTAGGAAGCTTTGTTGTTTGAGGATTTCGCCCGATCGATCTTGTGCACTGATTCGTTTGATTAAGTACGATAACGCGTTGAAACTGATATTCGAAATGCCATGCTCCTTGAATTCAAGACCCTTCATTATGATGCGGAGGTACATGGGGACTTCACTCAAATCAATGGAATTCCTCTTTATGTGTGCTTTTAGTGTTTGCATATGTTGCAACTTGACCTCATTGGAAGAAGCGCTCGATTCCATCACTTGTAGCAGTTCTTGAGAGTTCGGTGGGCCAGTCAGCATCATGTGGGTAATTTTGTGTACTGTAGACGACAGATGAATGGTGATAGTTACAGTGGACGACTGGCAACTTGTTCTCTTACTTTGTTGCACTCTTCAAATAAACATATCAAAAGTGTAAACAACAAAAAGCAATAAAAAAATATAAAACATATAAAAAAAAAAAAACAAAAAAAAACAACAACCTCAGCATGAAACGCGACGCAAACGAATTTCACATAATGTCATGATTACTATGTGTACAAGATAATTGCCAGAGAAATAAACCAGCTGTAGGTGCTGCTACTCTAATCAAAATCATCATTGCTATGAACTAAACTATTCAAGAAAAGTACTTCCACAATCCAAATAATAGACCTGTTACACTGAAACCTAGCACAGTTGAAGATGTCTTGGACAAATGAAGTTGCTTGGAGTCCTCTTCCTCGATTCCAAATTCTGCCTCTACTCTTGGCCGCAAATGGTTTGGGATATGGAAACTTGTGGTAGATGGATACACTTGTTTCGTAGCATTCAATATGTCCTTTGGGGCTACGTCCACAGCAATATTCTGCACATTACCGAAAAAGTCAGTCAACAAAACCTCACTCACATTTCTTTTGAATAGATCAGTTCGTATTCCCGTGTGCGAGTGCACATTTTCGAAATTGAGAACCTCAAAAAGCTTGTCCATTGTCTGTTTAGAGTCTCTTTTGATCTTTTCGAGAAAGTCCAATGCAAAGAAGGTAAATCTATCAATAACCGCAACGCCAATATCCAAATCAGAATGATGGCTATACGAGCTTTCGTCAAGTTTGGACGAGCCAATACAAAGAATGTTGGGTGAATAGATGTGCTCGTACATGGTGTTTGCCTGGCACGTGTCAATCATGAAGAAAATTTCATTATACCTCTTCTTTTCATGCATTTGAGCAAATGCATCTGCAATGTCGTGTGCGCCAATCTCTTCCGCGTCTTGGAATTTCAAAAACTCGTTACCCCCATGACCTGTCAAATAGATAAAAATGTTGGAATTCTCATCTGTAAGAAGCCTCTTAGATCTTGGCTGTTCAGGGCCCCACCTATCAGTCAACAAACGAATAAAGTTCTCCACCGTCACTTCATACCCTCTGTAATCAACTTCAATACTAGACCCATACAAATCCAATGCTTGATCCATGTTGTTGAAAACTGTTCCAGGGAATGCGTTTCTTGCGTTGCATGCAACATCATCTGAAAGCATTAGAATGATTTGCGAATCCGGAATACCGAGTCTTTTCACCGTACGATAGAAACTGAGAACATTGGCCATATGTCTATAATTGAACCAGAAACGAGACGTCGATACCAACACTGCCCAGTTGTTGGTATGATTTGATTTGTTGACAAACTCGGTGTTCGTATCCTTGTTTGTTTCTTCGCAGACAGCCGTTTGAAGCAAAAATGAAAGCGGTAGTAAAAATAGGCACCAAAATCTCATCTTTAGGGTGGCTGTGTGTATGTGTGTGTATATATATATATATATATATATATAGGGTAGATGACTAGTTGATATCCATTGTTGTCTGCATTATTTTTTTTTTTCCGCACACTCTAATTTACGACACGTTACATACCGTCATTTATTCTTTTTGCAGCGTTATTTACAACTTGTGCACACTTCATCTTTTCATAGTCATTGTCGCCGAGCCTTAATGCAAAAATGAACCTGCAGATTATTGCTTGTCTCTCATCTTTCAATACCTCAGCAATGAGCTCCTTAAATTCTTCCTTGCTTACGTCAACTCCCTTTCTCTGCATATAAAAACCAATTTTATGCTCCATCATGGCCATTATCCAACCAACTTGTTTGGGTGTTGCTTTCCGAGCAAAAGAGTTGCGCTTCTCAGCATAGTCCAAATGATCACTGTACCTTCTCTGCAATTCGGCAAATACTTTGAGTAAATTGGCGCCTCTGTAAACGACGCTCCCTAGCGAGCTCAGAAAGCTGTGACGCAGCACTTCAAACGTCCTCTCCCCTTTGTACATTGTTCGTTTCAATATAAAATAAGAGTCGTGCAATCCGGGTAGTCCCCAGGTTTTGCTTGCTTCTATCATCGTCCAGGGATGCTTGTTCCTAAGCATTACCTTGTCGACGATTTCTCGATCTTGAAACCAAATTGCTGGCGTTTGAAGTATCTCAGGCCGCTTATCAAGCGTCAAAATCTCCTTCTTGTGATACTCCAAGATCCTAGCTATAGCAATCTCTCTGTCCTTGCTCGACAATTGCGCATGCGGTGAGGGCACTGTCAAGTCCGATTCATCATCACGCTCCAACATTTTCTTCCTTGAATTCACCAAGTTTTCACCCTCGAGTGTCGGTTTGATATCGATTCCCTGCCTAGTCAATTCAACCATGTCTACTATATGGCAATGCGTTTTCTCCTTATGCAACCTCAAACCTCTCCCAATCATTTGTATCATCAAAGACTTTGACATGGTTGGTCGCGCTAGGATAAGCGAGTCAATGTTTGGCATATCAGTTCCCTCAGTGAAAACCTGAACGTTGCACAACACTGGAATCAATCCCCGTTTGAAATCTTCAATTATGACTGCTCTCTCAACTTTGGAAGTTTCACCTGTCACGTACTGCGCATTGATGCCATGGCTTTGAAACAAAGCACAAACTTCATAGCAATGTTCAACTCCAACACAAAAAATTAATGTGCTCTTGCAGTCCACTTCCTTTTTAAGACGTAGGTAAGCCAAAACAATCTTTTCATTGAAGTCAATTTCTTTCATAGCGGTGTATAAACTTGCTGGGTCATACTCATTCCTGACCGTCTTCACTTTATCTAGGTTCAACTCCACCTTAACTTCACTGATTTTGGCATCAGCGAGTTCCTTACTTTTGATCATGCTTTTTAGTGACCTTTCGTATACAATTTCATCAAAAATATGTCCCAAGGACTGCTTATCATGTCTCATTAAAGTTGCAGTGAAACCAATTACACTTATTGTCAGATCCAGATCCAAGGCATGGAAATGGTTCAAGACTTTTCGATATGTGATTGCTGGTGCGTGATGGCATTCATCTATGATGATACTCTTGAACTCAATTGGTTCAAACTTTTCAAATCTTCTTCTATTCACCAACGACGGAACTGAAGCAACAACGACTTCAGCTTCAGGAGATGCTTTCAATTTCCGCATTTCCACATCCACTTTCAATCCTGGGTTCATTAACCGTATACTTCTAGCTGCTTGGTCAATCAACTCTTCTGTGTGCGCAAGTATGAGTACCTTGTTTCCGCGCTCTTTGGAGAGTGGCTTCAAGTACGGTATTAAATGGGAAAATACCACCGTTTTCCCACCTCCAGTTGCAATCACCACAGCCGGTTTCTTCACGCCACTAGCTAGTTTGTTTAGCACGGCTTGCACGGCATCTTCTTGATAATCACGGAGCTGAATGGGTCTATTAGCATTGGCTAGAATAGTTTCTAGTCCAGGATGGAGCTTCTTCGGCACAAGTGTTGTCAAATAATCATCAGTTGCAATAGGAAGTTTCGCGTCCTCGATGAGTTGCAATTTACGGAAAGTCAGATGTAGATATCTTAGAGAAGCATGAGTCCGTGCACCGAGACCTATCCGCAAATTACACGTTGTGAATCTCTTTGACATGAATAAGTTGATGCTACCGTGTTCATTAGCGTGCTAATCATTGAGCTTCCGTTGCGGATTTTATTGGGACTTGATAGTTTCGCGTTTCTTCTAAACCAAACATCTTTTAACTCGTATAAATATCTACTCTACAACGCTTATAAACATTGTGATGAAACAAGTTTGAATCACCTTCTACTTGTTCCACATTAGACCCGTCTTCAGCATCAACTTGTGGTGCAGCTATTCTCAACACTGCATACGTTCCATCTTCACTACCCATAGACTTGCTTGGACGAACAAACAGACCGGGGTTGATCACTACAACTCCATTGACCACTTTTGCAAACACTTTGAGCTCGGATGGTAGTATCAAAACATCTGGTAGCGAGTCCCCCAATTCAGTAAGGCCCAAATAGGGTGCTTCTAAAGAAGATCCACCAACGCTAACCCCATTCAAATCTTCTCCTGCCGCACCATTTCTAAGCTGCGACAAGTCCTGCTCTTTGACTCTCGAAATTGAACCAGGCATGACAGGGTAGTATCGCCTTTGTTCGAGTAAGTGATCAATAATTCTATCAAATCTGTTTCTCGAAAGCCTCTCATCTTGCTTAAACACCTCCTTCAAGTCTTTGAAAAGATCAAGATTTGAAGAACCAATAAGAACTTCATTGATGGCAAAACTTGATGGATTGGGGAAAACTTTGACGTTTTTTGGTAACTGAAACCTCTTTCTATCAAATGAATCTTGTGGGTAGGAACAATGGTTCACACAACTATCTCTCAAAGAGGGGAATAGGACAACTTGGATCTTGGAGTCAATTTTTTTCAAAATTGGAGTAATCAACAACCTAAAGACATCATCGAGGTTCTTTGGGTTTTGATCTTTTGGAAAGTTAAACCTACCTTCCTCGACTTCTTTATTCGTCAAATCAAGAAATGGACCATTCAAGATAACCACATTTGGAAGTATTTCATTGTTTATTTTATCCACTAAGCTTTCCAATTTCGAGTATTGGAGCCTGTTCAGATTAGAAAAAGGACCGGACGCAACGAGAACTTTCACACCGTGTCCATCTTGCAATACGTTGAACTCTTGTAGTTCTGACCTACTGGTCACTGGAGTTCCCAATTGGGGCAAGGCCATGACCTCATCTACAACGAAATGCTTCCCGGTGGGGTTTCTTCCCTTCAATACAACAACCTGACCAGGAAAGAACGAGTAACCGGGTAGTTTACTCAACTCGAGCGGCACTCGTTGACCAATACCTGAAATTCTCGAAGTTTCCAAAAACAATGAGTTGCTATTCAATGCCTCGTTATCATAAGTGGGCGAATCTGGCACTATCCTTCCACAGCACAAGATATCAAATTGTGAGCTCAAACAAGGGTTTCCAAATTGTTGATGCGATTTATTACTCTCTTGGTACAAACGAGCCACGCTATCGATTTGATCGTCAAGTACATCGGCACTCTCAAGAAGTTTCATTTGCATGGTGCGAAATTTAAATTTGGAAGGGTCAAAATTTGCAGTCAATTTGATAGGATTGTTAGTACTCTCTTTGCTTAAGTTATTGTCGGCGTCAACTTCTGCATTCAATGTTTCCAAAAGTGTATGCGATACGGTGGATGGCTTGATAGGCGACGTTGCAATGGTATTATTGTCACTGTGAAAATTAGCTGGTGAAGACAAGTCTGGCTCCGACAGATCAAACTTTCTTTTCTTTGCGTGGGGAGTAGCAGGACTGTTGTTATTGTTGGATGCTCTTTTCGACAATGGCTTTCTGGCGGAGCCGTCTTTGATGACATGGGCGCTTTTGGGAGTCAATTTGTTATTGGCCAATTTTTTCTGCAAGTATTCATGAAATTGAATCAATGTGGCCATATTCAATTCCAAATCTTGTTGCACCTCGGCCACGTTGTACGACTCCCACTCTAAAAAGAGGTCGTCAAGGTCAATATTGAATATTTGAGTGAGTGAGCTCAATTTTTGGTACTCATCATCGGTGAGTTGTGTGGAGGGACCAAATGTCTTTGCAACTAAGTTTTTGAAAGTCTCTTCGACCATGACCTGTAGCTGGGTTGCTTCTGATGTGTAGTATTTGTTTGACAGTGGGAATCAGAACTCGAGAGAAAAGAAAATGTACAACTCGTGAATTTTAAGACGCGTTTTGGAAAATTAGTGGTAGCACTGCCGTGCAGTAAAAAATATACATATTTATACACTTCATTCAACCTTACTCCTTAACTTTCTCTTCGTTTGAGACCTCTGCTGGTACCTTCTCAGTCTCAGTTTCTTTAGTGTCTACTGGTTTTTCCACCTCCCCCGACTCCTTATTCTCCTCTCCCTCAGGAATCTTGTCATCCTCTATGGCATTTTCCAAAATAGACTCTTTTTCATTAGATTCTACCGAATCTGATCCATCACCACCTTTTTTACGATCAAATTTCTTGCCCTTACCACCTTTTTGCTTCTTTCCCTTGTTGTTCTCATTGAAACTGTTGCGTCTTTTGGTTACTTCATTTTGTCCGAATCTTTTACCGCTTTCCCTCATCTCTTGAAATGTTAGTAAAGACATTTTCTTCAAGAGACTTTTCTTGTCGGCATCTTGTGCATCCTCCTTTGAGAGAATACCCTGTTCGTAAGAGATTTCCACATCCTTGACCAAGTATTGAGCATCTTCCTCGTTGCTCAACTCAACATCAACAACACCAAAAAACTCCTTCTTAGCTTTGCTCTTGATTCTACGCACAGAAGAAATTGCCTTTTCCTTTGGCAAGTTGGGCGCAATCTTCTCCTCAAACCATGCTTCGACTTGCTCTTGGGTCAAGTCGTGTGGGAACCCCTCAATGTGTACTGTGTTTCTTTTCTTGGTGTTCTTGATCTCGTTGAAATCCTTCAATGGATGTTTCCTTCTGATCATGTCGTTGTTTGCTGACAATTCTAATTTATCACTCGACTTCAAAGCTTCAACCACTTTTTCTTCTGGTCTGTATTGTTTCATTCTTCCAAATGTCAAGATAGTTTTCAATTCAACCCATCCATCGTTTGCTTCGTAAATCTTCCATAAAAATTTATCTTGTTGTAAATTGGAGTCTGAAAAGTAGAATTCAACTTGTTTTCTAACCTTGTCTTCAAAGTCGTCTCCTTTATAGATAAATTCAGTCATGATAAAGACTATTCCTCGAGTAGGTGGTAATTGTAATGAAACTTGTTATTGGCTTTCTCCGAAATTTACCTTCAACTTTTTTTTTTTTTTTTTTCCCATCCTGATCATCTCTTCGCAGAGTAAAGATAGAGAAGAGCATAGGGACTGACGTCTATTATACGTAAGAGGTAGACATATGAGCGACTCCAGAAGGTGCAAGTACCACCTGAATTACTGGCATATATACTCCAAGATACATCTCGACTACACATAAAACAAAACACTCACCCTCACAACATCTCTGATTTCTTTGTTCTGATTGCTTCTCTTTTAATTTTCGTTTTTTTTTTTTTTTCAAGATTCCCTACGTCATTCATCATGAGATCACTCTTGACTAAGCCCAAAACGTTAACCTTCCCCCAAATACGCCTTCGCTGCATGTCATCATCATCATCGTCATCATCATTAATATTCCCACAACCCACGGAATCCAGAGCTACCGAGCTCGTTCAAAACTACAACAATGTACTCGCAAAAGTACACGCCTTGAATCCCAAAACGAGATTAGTTGCAGTGTCAAAATTCAAACCTGCCTCCGATATCATGGCCTTGTACTCTATTGGAGTACGGCACTTTGGAGAAAACTACGTGCAGGAACTCGTTGCCAAATCCGAGGAGTTACCCAAGGACATATGTTGGCATTTCATTGGCGGCTTGCAGCTGGGTAAATGCAAAGATCTCAGTAATAAAGTGTCAAATTTATGGGCGGTGGAGACGGTAGATAGTTTGAAAAAATGTCGGCAGTTGAATAATGCAAGGGAGAGGAAAGAGGGCGAGGTCATTAACGTTTATTTGCAAGTCAACACTTCTGGCGAGGAACAGAAATCGGGTTTTTTGCAAATGTCGGACTTGGAAGAGACGATAAAGTATATTCAGAGTGATGACTGCAAGAAGTTGGAGCTTGTAGGGTTGATGACAATTGGATCGATAGCCGAATCGAAATCAGGTCATGAAGAGAACTATGACTTCAAGAAATTGGTTGAGTGGAAAAAAGTCTTGGATGAAAAGTATCATTTCGATTTAGAGTTGAGCATGGGAATGAGTAACGATTATGAACAAGCTATCAAACAAGGCAGCTCTTGCGTAAGAGTGGGGTCGTCCATCTTTGGCGCAAGGCCACCAAAGCTGGAGAAGTAAAAAAAAAAATTACATAGTGTATGTAAAATATCAAACGTTGTTGATTATTAATAAAAGAGCTTGGCTATAGATTATATCTTGTTTAACAACTTTTTCAAACCGGACCTTTTACGTTTAGGATCCTTCAGTGGTGAGGAGGAATCAGCTTCAGAGTTTTTGCTTGAACCATCGTCACCTTCCGCTCCATTCAGTTTCTCTCCGTCTTGGGAGTCTTTGGAGTTCTGATTGGAGTTCTTACTAGAGGATTTTTTTTCCTTCTCAACTCCAGCATCATGGTTACCATTGTACCTGTCATCACCAGCTGCTAACGCCTTTCTCTGTTCTGTGGCAGTCAAATTACTATTCTTGATTCCCGTTTTGTTTTCCTTTGCTGGTGCTGGGTTGGTATCAAAATTCTGTTGACGGTCTTTCTCCTTGTCCGTGTTCGAAGGCGGAGCAGCGGCTGCAGACGCAAGACCAGCTCCTGCTGGTGCACGGGCCTCCGCCTTGGCTGCATTCTCAGAGTGGGTGGTGTATTTGTCTGTGTAAACCGTTGCAGATTTGTCATTTGGTGCAGGTGGGATCTGGGTGGAGCCGTGAATCAATTCGTTGGTGTTTGTTGTTTGGTCAGTGGGCTGATTGCTCAGGGTATTGCTGTCACTAACATGAGTATTGTCATCAATTGTAGAATAGTGCTGCTTGCTATTAGGATCCGACTTGGCGGCAATGATTGAGTCATTGGCATCTTTGTCTCGGTTCAATCGGTTATACTCTGAAGCGGTTGTACCAGCAACGGCCGGATCCTCCAATTTTCTCTGTTCCAATTTAGCCAATTCTGCCTGTTTTTCCCTCAAGAGTCTCTCCTTCTCGGCAAGTAATCTTGCCTGTTCAGACCGAGAATGGACCGAGGTTTCAGCAGCTTGAGAGGATGTAGAATATCCTTGCTTCTTTGATGGAACTTTTTCGGCAGCTACATCATCAACTGGTTCAACGGCACTAGGTGGAGTGAAATCCAAGGCTGATTGAACCGTGAAATCATTCCAAGCTGGGACATTTGCAACCTTAATAGTTGGTTTGACATGTTTTGAATAATGATCGTGTCTCAATTTGATATCGTTATCGATAAAATCGTTCTCCCATTCAACGCTACTCTTGAACAACTCACTCAAGTTGTACAACACATAGCTCAAGAAAAGGAATCCGTGCTCAGTGAACAACATCAACAAAACCAACTTGGCTGAGGATGAAATGTTGACACTTGCGTTATCTAAAGCAAATTGACCCATTGTTTTTGGAGGAGCAGTACCGTGGCGGTAAAAAGCAGTAACCACGGGGGAAACAATAGAGCCTAACCAAGTCAACAAGAACAATGCCCAATTCCAAGGATGGATAGAGTCCACTCTCTTGGGCACTGGTGGCTTAAAGTAGCTACCATTGAACAACTTGAATTGATCCAATTTGAAGAAGATTACAGCAAACACCAAGGATACCAAAGGGGCCAATGGCCAAACTGGACCAAACATAATCAAATAACCGTATTGCAATACAACACTCTTGAAGTCGGCATCAACAGAATATTCTGGCAAGTCCAATGAGATTCGAACATTTTGCAACCAACCAGCCTCATATGGACTATCGTCACTAGTTTTTAATTGCGGCTTCTTTTGCACTTTCGTTTGATACAACTTCACCACTTTTGATATCGCCAATGGCAAGACATATTTCAAAGCGGCTTGCACAATTTGGTTGGTGACAACAAAGTAAAAAAACTGTGCATTCAATCTGCCTTGGTTGATTTTAAACTCCTTTTGAGATTTCAACTTGGTTAAATACTTTGAGTAAAATCTATTTTCACCAACATACGACGAAATTGTGGTTTGGATATCTCCCAAGTGAGGACCAACCAAATGAGCAAAAGGCAAGTACAAAAACGAAGTGATGAGCAACGGTGCGTAACTAGTCAAAAAGTCCAAAGCATACGCTTTGATCAAAACTGATTGGTTTTCACTAACTTTGGTATCATGGCCTTCCAATTTGATTACAACACTTGTAACAAGGTTGTATACAATGGTCAAAATTGGAACAAAGACAGAAATCAAAATCGTTGGCAACAAGGTCAAATATGACTTACCAGGACCATCATAAAGATCGGTCAAGAAAATTTCAATGAAGAAGCACCCTAACTGGTAACTAATCAAGACAGCAGCAAATCCTAAAGCAATTGGTATGAAAAGGAGTTGCTTGACAAATCTGAATCCCTCGGTGTTGCTTTTGTGTAAATAGCTTGACTGAGGCTCAAACTTGTCATTGATCTCAGCCAATTCCAAACTATGCTCTTCAACAAGATGTGAGTTTTGCACACCCCACAAGTTTACCAAGTATTGTTGCTTTCTGTGCCAAAATGCCAAAAAGAAGGTACCCCAAAGTAAATTGACAAACGTGTAGCCCAATGAGTAAGCCCCCTTCTTTTTGAAAAATTGAAGAACTCCCAACACAGACAAACCAACCAACCAATAGATGTAGTGTTTGAAGAATTCAAAGTAGAGTGCAATTTGAACACCATATGTTCTTCTAATTCGGTTGGCGGATAATTCTGGTTTGGTGAATGCGTCTTTCAAATCCTCAACAAGTTTGGTTTCGTTGAAAGCGCTAGTGATGGGAACAATACCAGCAACTTCCTGGTAGGGGGCTTCTCCCGGAACAATTCCACAACCTCCAAGTTTCTTGCTACTGGTCAAATATTGGTAAATAATTCTGAATCTTGAGCTCAATTCGTCGTCCTTGGCAGTGACTCCAAATTCATAATTCTTGATCAAGTCCTTCTCAGCTTCTTCAATGAATTTGTATGGTGATAATTTGATGAAAATCAACAAGTGAGTAGGATCGCCTGGTCTTATTGTAGCTGCAAACCCCTTTTCATACAAATACTCGACAAAAGTGTACAATGCCTTTTCGGTTTGCGAGTTCACTTTCTTTGTCTTGTCATCAATTGGATAATTGTATGCGATGTAAAAATCAGGATCCAATTCCTGAATTGCTTGTGGCATGGCGGAGTGAAGTGTTTCCGTATCCTCAGTTGCCAATGGTGGGTGAATTGAGAAAAGGAGAAAAAGAAAAAGAAAAAGAAAAAAATGAAAATAAAATAAAATAAAGAAGCAATTCAATTGAGGTTATATATATTAATAGTGTTGGTTGAAATTTGACAATTGTATTGGATGATGATAATGATAATGAAGATGACATTTATAAATTTAGCAACTTCAAAAAAACAAAAAAAAAATTAAATGAAAACTGAAAACTGTGTGTGCTGTGTGTGTGCTGTGTGTGTGTGCTGTGTGTATGTGTTGTGTGCTGTGTAAGATTCATAAAACAATAAGAAAAGTAAAAAAAAACAAAAAATAAAAAAGATATTTGTATGAGATTTAAGTGTGACGTATTTTTTGTGTCTTGCAAATGGGGGTGCTCGGTGACTCGGCCTTCTTTTGTGAATTTGCAATTGGTCAACCAAACAAACAAACAAACAAATAGCGAAACAGCCAAACAACTAAATAACCTATCTATGAAGTATTAAATAAGTGCATATTGATGCGTTTCGATACAATCTCACTACTAGCAAAACCAATGCGTTTACTGTGCTTTGTAACTCAGGTGATCAAGTTACACCTTGAAGAGTCCGACTAGTTCTGTAATCTGCGCATATTCACTTTCCTTGCTGATGCATTTTTGTGGCAAGATTTGTGGACATACTCTCTACCTTACTGGCTCTCCTCTCTCTCTACTTCCGAGCAGGAGGTCGTCTCTAGTTGGCGTAGCAGAAGATCGTCGCAATCTATTCCCCTTGGCTGTGCGCAAAACAATAATGTCGTGCAACTTTTTTGTGTCATCAAAATATTGTTGCGACACTTTTTTTGTTGCTACGTTTGCTATTCATTTCAGACTCGATGCTGAGTGGTACAGCCACAATAGAAGTAGTAATATCGTGTTACCGAGGCAATGGTTACAATTATTCACATAATTATATAGGGCACAAATGATAGGACGACTCTTGCCACTTTTCACTACTCTTCAGCAGTCAATGGTGTAATACTGTAAGAGCTGCATTTTTTTTACAAATGCACACCACTTTTAGCGAAGGCGTGCGATGAACAAAATTCAGTTATCTTTCTTGAAATGTGTGACTACTGCAAACCACCTTCACCTTTACTTTCAACCCCTTGACCACATCACAATCTTTTTTTCTTTCTTATTTTTTTTTTTTTTACCACATGTTTGCAACACATCCATTCTCCATCAATCAATGAATCAATCAATCATGAGTCCATGACAGTCCAGAGTATTCCACATGGATGAGGAACAAGAAGAGTCTGTTCATTATCCTTCACTCTACATTTAGTGAAACTACAATTAACATTATAAGAAATCGGTAAGTATTTCCATCATTCCCTCACATGTCGCCTCCCATTACTATATCAGCCGTCCTTCCCTGTCCTCGCTTAAAGAAACTTAACAAGGCCCCTAACCGCGTCAGTTTCTCCAGCTTATCTTTCATGTCCGATTTGAGAAGCTGTTTTTTAATGATATTTACCGACGGTTCTTTTTTTTTTCCTTTTTTTGAGCAAGTTTAACTATATGTTATTAGAATCCCATGTTCTGACTATTTGGTTAACTTTATCTTTCTAGGTTCATTTTTATCAAAAGGTCCTTCTACTGTATTCAGCCAATCTTTCCGTTAGTTCTTCTGAGTTGTATATATATATATATATTGCAGGTCCAACTACTGCAACTACCCATAGCCTTCTTTTGGAATCAAAAACGAAAATAAAGTAACATCATTGCAAAAAAGAACTTGTCAATTCCCATGCTGTTTCTGCCCTCCAACCCATATTGATCCCTGCCTTTATTTTTTATTTTTTTTTTTTTTTTGCTGCTGTTTTGATAAGCTGATCGATAGATCCATTTCCTCCTTGTTGTACTAACCTGGGTTTTATACTTTAGTTGCCTCATTCACATTGTGATATATATCATTTTCAGTATTACCTTTCCTTACCATGACAGATTCAACTTGTCCTCATTCAATTCTGGTCTGGGGTGAACTTTGTGATTGATTTTTTATAGTAGAAACCACAACTTTTACAAAGTGTATAACAAAAACCTCAATATTATAAAAAAAAAAAGCTTAAATCATCATATACCTTACCAATCTACATAGACTCTCGAAACTGGCCGGAAAACTCTAATTCTTCCACTCTTGAACTCGCCGATTTTGTACGACTCCTTCTTCACATGTCCCGAAGCATCTTGTTCAACAACTTTGAACTTTTCCTTCTTTGGATCGTATTCGTAAATGATACCAGCAAATGTACTATTATCCAGTCCATCTCCAACAGTCACAGACTTGCTACCAATGAGACCTTTGTGTGTACTAAACTTTCCATTCTTGATCCACAAAATATCACCAGCTTTGATATCATCAATTTTGGAAACGTTTGAATTGTTGAAGTTCTTGTAAATTGTAACTCCATACGACTTGTTTCCAATTGGAGGTAACAATTTCTGCCTCAATTGAGAGCTTTGGAAAACCACTGCAATCAAATCACTATCCAACTTAGATCCAATGTAATGGGAAGCAGCATTAACAATCTCACCACCAAATTCACGATGATTGTTATCCAACAAATCCTTACGAATAGGCGGGTACGGTTTTGTAAATTGGTTAGCCAAACGAATCGTATTCCTAGGATCGCTTTCCTCAAACTCCAACTCAAACACCAATTGCGACAAGTCGTAGAAAAGCACATAATAGTCACGATATATCGTGGTTCTACCACCACGTTTATGAATCTTGTTTGTCTCAACTTCATATATCAAATCAACTCCTATTTTGGACACCAACGAATCAGGCAACTCATTCTTCAACCACCATGTAGATGTGGATTTTATATTGGCAATTTCAAATTCCAATTGCTCCAAAGTAATCTCTGCTTGGCTACGATCGCTGCCACTTCCCTTTAACGATCTTGATCTTGACATTGTCTCGGTCGAATTCCTGCCAGGAATTGACCCAACAGATGCACCTGTAGATGTATGCATCAAAGGAGGAGGCACCTCAGTAGTTGCTCTTTTGGGAGGCTCCCCAACTGGGATCGATGGCGGAGGAGGACCAGCCTCTGGAATCGGTGGTGGGTAAGCACTGCCGGGTACTGGTGGTGGGACTTTTGGTGGAACATTGCTTCCTGGAATTGGAGGAGCTGCACTTCTGTGGGGAGGTCCGGAAGACGCCACAGTGTGTGCTCTTTGAGGTGCGGAGCGTTGTGGATGTTTGTCAACGAACTTAAAACTTTCATCATCACCTTCGTCATCTGAGTTACTGTCAATTGTACGGCTCACGCCATCATCATTGACCAACAGCGATGGAGACACAGGCGCATGCTGTGGTGGAGGTGGTGGCGGGTGTGAGCTTCTGGCCTCAGCGCCTGCGAGCTGGTCCACCGGAGGAGGCATGGCCCCAGGTATTGGTGGCATTGGTGGCGGAGACCGAGGCCCAACTCCGTCGGTACTCTTTTGAGACCCGTGCCTTTGAGGGATTGCGGGTGCTGTTTCAAGTTCGGAGTACCCGCGGTGGTCCGAGGACGGATCATGAACCGAAACATGTACTGAGTCGGCACCATGTTGATGCTGTACATCCATCTCTCGTGCTAAACCGTGGTCTAGAGGTTTGGAAATATCCGACAAATCTTCATCCGCCTCATACCCTGCACCTTCGCCTTCAAGTGGACGATGCTTCTGAAGCGTGATTGTATTCAGAAGTTCCTCAGAAGCACTATCTGGAATTCTCTCGCGACTTTCGTGCTCTTGCCTGTCAATGTCCCTTTGGGTAATGAACTCCGCTTGGTCCGAGTCCGTAGGCTCGTCATCTTCAGCCATGGAAGAGCTCTCGTGACTGGTTTTTGATTGATCGATGTGAGGAGCAACAGCACGAGCAGCGGCACCAGTTGCATGCTCAGATGTTGGAATGCTGTGATTATTTTGTACACGAGGTTCAGATCCGGGAATGAGAGGAGCAGACACCGGAGCTGGCTGAGATTCAGGTGCTGGTACGCGTGTGTCACCGGATTCTGCCTCTTTTGCTGAATCTCTTCTTTTGATCTCGGCATTAATAGAATCGACATCACTTTTAGCTGCTTTTGAAGTCTTGGTCACTTCGCTTGCTCCTGGTGCCCCAAATGGTGTTGCCATACCCATCATACCAAACATGTTTCGTCCACCTGAGATTTTTGCCATTCGTTCAACAAGTTTACGACGTTTCAATTCTTCGTCGTCTTCATCCTCTTCCTCTGCCTCTTCCTCTTCCTCTTCCTCTTCCTCCACGTCTTCTTGCTTTTCCTCCTCTTGACCCTCACTTTCAGGATTTTCGTTTTCCTGGGCAGGTTCATTGCCGATAACAACACCTGAAGGTGGTACAAACCCTCCATCACCGCTCTCACCAGGCAATACGGTGTTGTTTTCGGCATGTGAATGCAGCTCATCAAGAGAAGGGCCATGAACATGATCACGCGGTTGCAATTCCGCACCAGAGGCAGAGACTTCTGCGCCATCAGCTAGCTCGTGGGTGCCAAGTTGCTGTTCCCCGCTCTTTTGCTCTCTCAATTGTTTCAATCTTTCCTTCTCTTCTGCTTGCTTCTTCTTCTTGTCCTCTTTCCTTTTCAATGCAGCTGCTTCGCGTTCAGCTTCTTCCTGTTGTTTCTTTTGAAGCAATGCAATACGTTCCTTTAATGAAACCTTTGGAGCAACATCCTCATCGTCATTGTGCTCGCCTTGGGGAGTGCTCTTTACAACGTCCTCCGACTGCTTTGTTTCGTGGACTGGATGTGCCACCAAATTCGATTCGTCTCTGGGTTGTATCTTGGGTACATAAGTGGACGTTGGAGCCGCAACAAACTGTTTCTTGACACTGTATGGATCCTTTGGTTTTGATGCGAATGCCAGAGGAAGAGGAACTTTGCCTGCGGGGCTCTGTTTAGTTGCCAATGGAGGTGCCAGTGTCTCCAGCTTTGGTGAAGTCAATTGGGCAGCTTCTCCTTTTCCTCCCTTGAGCTCAACATGTTGGACAGTAGCATTTTTTGATGAAGGTGAATCTGCTTGATCGGTAGCAGTAGATACTGCCACTGGCTGCTCTTGCTTTTTGGTTGGCCGGTTCAGCGCGGGAACAGCAGGAGCAACCAACACTTCAACGAAGTTCTTTGGAAACATGCCCGATTTGTCATTGTACTCTCCTGAGTACCATTCTTCATTCTCAATTGATGTGATTGTTATGATTTGACCAGCTTCAAAGTTCAAGTCGTCTTCGTAATCGGATTTGTAGTCAAAGATTGCCTTGACCTTGAAGGGGACTTCGGGTTCAGACATGGTGTAGCAAGTAGCTTATGATAATATGTCAATGTTGCGGCAAAGTTGTACAAGTTTATCCAAATCTGACAATTGATAGTTAATGAATATACAGAGTTAACTTTGTCTAAAGATGAAACGATCACGAAATAATTAATTCCGACATTTTTTGTGTTGCTTTTGTTACTCAAAAAAAAAGAATAGGCAAAAAATAGGAGAAGTTCAAAACGATGTGAACGTAGAAGAGGGGATCAATTGAAACTACGATAGCACTTCTCCAATGTCATTGAAAATAAATGGGCACAGACTACACACACCCTCGACAAAGTCAACGACGCCTGCAAGCTCGTCGGCAATCCAAATATCTGGCCAGACTTTAGCGTCATCTCGCCCCACAAAACAATTCAATTACCACCACGACACTTCGATTACATCCTTAGACTTTGATGACACAGGCCAGTTTTTGATCTCGTCAGGTGTGGATAAGTCAATACAATTGTATGATTGTCGTAAAGGTGTTCACTACAAAGATATCCAGTCGCAGAAGTATGGTGCTCATTCTGCAAGATTCACTCATGACGGACTCAATTGCTTGTACGCATCAACCCCCGATGGACATGACACTACTGACGGAAAAACCGACGACACTGTCAGGTATCTCTCTTTATCAACAAACCAGTACATTCGTTATTTCAAGGGCCACAAAGCCCAAGTATCAAATATAGAAGTGAACCCAGTGCACAATACTTTTTCTAGTTCAAGTTACGATGGCACCGTCAAATTCTGGGACCTAAAGACATCATCAGCAACGGGGAGTATTCATGTTGCTCAGAATACTGTTTGTGGTTTCGATCCACAAGGAATAGTGGTTGCGGTGGGGAAATATCCACTTGGTGAGTCTCGAATTGGGACTGTGGGACTATATGACTTGAAAACATTTGACAAGGGTCCTTTCGCAGAAGTCTCCATTCCATGTCTACAGAATCAGCATTGGAACAAGTTGGAATTTTCAAACAATGGAAAACTTTTATTGATTTCAACAGATTCTCGAGAACATTACATCTTGAATGCGTTTCTGGGAAAGTTGTTGGCAAATGTACGATTGTCCTATAAAGATGGTGCGCAATGGATGTCAACTGATTACCCTTACGATGGATGCTGTTCCTTTACACCATGTGGTAAATATTTGCTAGTTGGCAGTCCAAAGTCTATTATTCACATATTCAATTTGAGCGATCTAAAACACGATGCCGAACGACCAGTATCGTTGTCTAGGTCTAATGATATATTGAGATCCAATCAGGTGCCTAAAATGGTCAAATTTAATCCAAAATTGTTTGTTTTCGCAACCGCAGATACTACCGTTGAATTGTGGCAACCAGAAAGCCAAAGCTGAGAGACAAAGCGAAAAAAAAAAAAAAAAGAAATGAAAAACAATATATAGATCGTGTATAAAGTGAACAGCGCCAGATACATGACGTTTGTTCAAAAGTTACTAAATAGACTTGCACTCGACAGGAGTGCTGTCGCAAGGTGTAGCTCCATAACTTCCGAGCCTTTTCGCATTACCCCTATTAAGTCAAGATACGAATCGGTAAATGCCGAGCCAGTGCTGTTTCCCAATTCTGCAAAGCCATCCAAGATACGACAAGCTTTTCAAACACTGGCATTTCCAACTGATCGCTCTCATATAAGGGGAGTCGACAATACGGTGCATCGGTTGTTGCAAAAGCAGTACAGATTGAAGACTTTTCCCCCAATTATGAGAAACGAGTTTGTGTCCGTGCAATTCTTTCCTCAAGATCATATACTTTCCAACTTTAGAAAGTCCAACATTTCACTTGTATTCAATATGCATCAAATCCCGCTTTTGAATGATCGATCTTTGGAGAAGGGGTTCAAAGCTCCATCCAAGTACAAGAACCTTCAATTCTTTGCAAGCAAACCACTGCCGATGCAATCTGCCTGTGGAAGGACCAAGTCAAAGAAACAATTTCGAGAGATATTCGTCCAGTCGTTACAACAATTTTCACCCCATCAAAAGAGAGATCGTCTATTTGGGATCTTTGTATTTCATGTTGCAAAAGTACCTGTGAATCAAGAGCAAAACAATAGCATACGAAAAAGTATTGAGGGTATGTTTTTGAGCATGTTGGATGATGAAAAAGTATGGATTGAGCTAAAGAGAGTGTTGAGCAAATCAAAAGGCATCAAGCAACATCAATTGAAGGGAATCCAATACAGCTACGGCGTAAAGGGTCTTGTGGATACAAACATAAGATTCCCCTTTTTGAAAAAGAAATCCTTAAAGGCTGGGTAATTCTGTGAACACAGACTAGTCTATTGTTGCCCATGAAGGGAAGTCGGTTTCAAAGATGTGCTTGTCGTATTCGAAGCGTAGTGCATGCAAGTAAATTGAAGAATTTGCCACGTGGTCCTCATCAAACAATGGTCGTTTGCATTCAGTACAAACAGCTGACTTTCTCGACATCAAATTGTCGGAATGGGCACGCTTAAGATCCCTTAGTTGTTTCTGTATGTTCAAATCAGTGCTCGATTGGATAACCTTCAACAAATCGAGAGAATTTGGACCAGTTTGCTGTCTTCCTAATGCTGCAGCTTCTCGAAACACCGGGTATGCTCGGAACAATCTTTCATACAAAGAAAGCTCCAACTTTGATTTTGCAAAGTAGGTCCCGGATGCTTCATCTGGATCATAAAATTGGTCATTGGAAATCGGGTATCCCAAATTCCTCAAATGAATCCTAATTTGATGAAACTTTCCCGATATCGGTTGACACTGTACAATGCTTTCATTCAACTTCCTGTTGTACAGTAATCTTTGAAACATTGTTGTTGTGTCTGCTTGTAAATTCTCTAAATCTCCCGGTTGTAAATACCCATTCATATTGACGGCGAATATGGGGCACTTGTACAGTAGTTCACGAGAAGGAAATTCACCCTTCACTCTCGCTAGGTATATCTTCTTTACCTTGTTCTTTTTATCCTGGAGTAAGTTCAGGAACTTGATTGCCGAATCTCGAGTCTTGCACAATATGAGAACTCCGCTGGTCACCTTGTCTAGTCGATGGCACGTCCAAATAGAATCGAATTTATACATCTCCTTCACTATTTCCGAGAGACTGTTTCGCATATAATTACCGGATGGGTGCGTGGGAACTCCAGATGGCTTGTTGACGACTATAATCTCATCATCCTCGAAAACAATTGGAACCTCTTCCTGCCAAGGTATGGATGGCTCGTGCTTGTGTTTCAAATGGTAAACTACATCCTTACTATCAACTTTCCTTTGCAATAGAGTTTCAGGGTCAGTTATTGCATTACTCGGAAGAGATGTCCCTACGTTTGTAACAACACGTAGCTTACCTTGGTGTATATCGTTGATGACACCGTCTAAAGGCTCGCCAAAATCGTTCACGTAAGTTTCGACCAAAGTACGGCCCACCCATCTCTGTTTCGCGTGGGTTTGGTAGTTCACATAGTACGGTAGGACTTTTCTCAAGCCTTTTTCGAACACATACCTTGGCATAACGCTGCAAGGTTGGACAATCTCTGGTGATGGGTGAGAAGGTGGTGCCATTCACGACATATAGTGTGTCATGTACTGCCACAGAATATAAAGTTGAGATGACAAAAATGAAAAAAAATAAAAAAATAAAAACATTATGTGTATTCAAGCTTGAAGATTTGGATTCAGAAACTAAACGCAAAATACAAGTTCGAGATATTATTCGTCATTAACGCCTCTTGTATAGCTATCTACTTTCTATTTACTTTAACATCGGCGCTCTCGACCTCACCTTTCTCTTCTGGAATCAACGCACCTTCTTTATCCAAGAAATCAGCCAACTCTCCACTTTGAGCCATACTCATGATAATGTCACAGCCACCAACAAACTCTCCATTCACATATAGCTGAGGAATAGTTGGCCATGAACTAAATTCTTTTATTCCGTCTCTCAATTCAGGATCCTCTAAAACATTATAGGCAGCGAATTTTGATGGATCGACTCCTTGTTGACCCAAGGTCTGAATGGTTGCTCTTGAGAATCCACATTGGGGGAACTCGGGTGTACCTTTCATGAATAGCACGACTGGTGTTGCTTTAATTGCGCCTGAAATGGCATCTCTAATCTCAATGGAGATGAATCTTGTTTGGATGGTCTATAAAAGGTTAGTATTCTGTGCGGTCAATATCAGTGGCATTTATCTTTCTCAAAACATACTACTCTTGGAGTAAATCTAGTGTTGAAAACTGCTCTTTTGAACATGGCTGCAGATGATGATATTTAGTGATGCCCCTCCCGGAACTGAAGCAATAGTCATGATTTGAATGCGATAAAATCTTTTGTTAAAATCCGCGTCGTGCATTTGCCAAAAGTGTGGGTTTGTAAGCAAAATTTGTCACTGTTTCATTCGACCACACGGAGAAGCACAGCTGTTGATATCGACAGATGAAGAAAGAATATTCACACTAGAGGCGCCTCCTCATAACTGTGTCAGTCAATGCCAGTGCCTCTTGGTTGCTACCTTCCATGACCCATAAACGTCTGCCTTCATAAGATACACTTCTTCTTATTGTCAAAAGTGTTGACAACATCTAGATGGGTATATGAAAAACAAACTGGCCGCACAAGGATTCCAACAAGAGTCAACAGCGAATAGTCGATGGTTATGCTGCTCTTCTCGACGTTATTGGCAGAGCCTATTCAAACAAACGCCACCAAAATTGGCTGAATTCAACCACAAATACAAGCGGTAGCGCCAAGGAAGAATATGTATATGCGTAGCATAACTTATTTTGCAACAATTTCCTGGGACTATAAATTACAGCCTTGGCCGTCTACAGAAAAAGTTATCAATTCTGTACGCCACTTTCTTCTTTGATTTATCTGAACCATCACTGTCTTACAATGTTACTGCCACGCTTATTAGCTTCTTTTGCTACAATCAGCTTGATCCAAGCATACTACATTCCTGCAAGTGGAGAGGATTGGTCAAAATACAAGCCAACTTGTGATTATTTACCAGGAAGCTTTACCAGTTTGCCATTCAAATTTGGAATTGTTGTGAATCCATACACCGTCACCAACGAGGGAGAGTTGTTAGAACCAGAGGTTAAATCTATTGAGAGAAGTATCACCACCAGTTTTGTCACGTCCGTCGTCACTCCGGCTCCAAAGGAAACAAAGACCAAGGATATCATTGTTCAAATTACTGATGGTCAAGTTCAAAAAGTTAATGAAGAGTTGTGTGATTTTGAGGAGAAGAAAAAGTTGGGATTGGATGAAGATGAAGGGTATTGGAGTGACAAGAACAACAATGATGGCGATTTCCATCATGACAAGGAAGGAAAATTTGGAAACCGCAAACATTTTGATGACAAGCCTGGCAAAGAAAAGGAATTCGACGCTGTGTTATCAAAGAGAGACGAGCTGGATATTGTGGATGCTCACGATGTTGGGGGCGATATCAAAGACAAATCGTTTGAGGAGCACTCAAAGCATTACAAAGAAAAGCATGGATTGAAAAATGGCCACGAAGACTTGGATTTTGATTTGGAAAAGGGCGAAAAGGAGGAGACTGAATACTACAATGAACACCAAAAGTCGAAAGAGCATGAAAGTCACTCGGATTCCTACTCTGAACACAGAGATTTCAAGGAACGCGGAAGTGGACATCACGATGGAAATGAGCATCACCACAAAGATCACAAAGGAAACCACAACCATTTGGATGGTGACGAATTCAGGTCACCTGTATACTCTGTTGCATGTTATACAAACGCCACCTTGCGTATGACTTTGCGTGACTCCATTTTGCGTGACTCCGATGGTAGAATTGGATGTATTGTATCTGGTCACCAATTCCAATTTGATGGCCCTACTCCTCAACATGGTGCCGTTTTCGCTGCTGGTTGGTCAGTTACTAAAGATGGGCAATTGGCTTTGGGAAATTCAACTAAATTCTACCAATGTGCTTCTGGTCATTTCTACAATTTGTACGATCAATCCATTGGTTTCCAATGTCATCCAGTCACTTTGGATGTGGTTGAGTTGATTGACTGTTGATGAACAGCTACTGAATCTTTCAACCCTCTCCCCTCCTTTTTCCATTCGCCTGTCTTTTTTTTTTTTGTTTCAAGTTTTTTATCTAGTCAAAGGCGTTTGGGTACTTTGACCCTCCTTTTTTTTATATATACTTTTTACGTCGAGTCAAATAGTTTATTTTTACATTTATTAATTTGATTATTGTTTACTACTCTATGGAGATGCTCACGACAACGGGTCGAATAAATTTTGCAGCCTTGTATTCCGAAATAGTCGCATCCCCATGGTACTTCCATGCTCAAAGTCTCCCTGAGAGCGTGCTGTTTTAAACTTCAAGTCGACTTTCGTCAACCAGCTTCTTAACAAAATCCATGCTAGTATCGCATATATCAAACCACCCAAGTTGTCAACTCTCCAATGGTGATCAAAGTATAAATCTGCCCACCACTGGCCAAGAACGTTGACTATACTCAAGAACCTGAAGCTAGACCACCTTGAATAATGACACACAAAAAAACATACCAAGCATGCAAATGCCGAATGCAATGAAGGGAACGATGCAAATTTGAGTGGAGTAGCATAGTATACAGCCTTGTGGTAGAACAATGAAAACTTCTTATCCTGAGCTGCTTGCCCATCTGTATAAACCATATCAAATGTGGGCACTTTGTTATCTCCATATAACTTGATGAATGTGGGTGTAGCATTAGGGAAAACCAAGTATGTACACAACAATGCGACATTCTGGAGTCCGGAGGAAAACACAAATAGCTTCAAGGCTCCAGGGGCATGCCATATGTAAAGCCAGGTACCTATCATGGGTGGTACAAGAAAATGAACTGGAACGTGAAAGATCCAAGCAATGATGTTTTTTGTTTTGTACACGGGCTGCTTGAGAGCATACAATATATTGAGGACAATCCAAGATGAACAAAGAAGTATAGCTGGTGCTCTCCTCCACCACTTGTTGATAACGTCCTCGTTCGTGTCTGTGTGCAACAATTTGAAAGGATAATGTTCTGAGGATGTACTCCACTCAAACCTGTCTTCCTCTTCAGAAAACATATTTAGTTCACTTGCAGGAGATAAAGTGGAGGACTCCGCCGTTGACATGGATGCCCTTGAACTGGCACTAGCCGAAGCCATACCGCTATCCCCATTTTGCAACAAAATAGAAGACACTTGTAATGGTTTTAGCTTGAAGGAGTAGTTCTGTGATTCGGGCAATATAGGGCTTGCAAGCAAGTCTTCCTCTTCATTACTGCAGTATAAACAGTTGATGATGTAAGCACCAAGCCACGTAAGTAGAAGACCTGTGATAGAGCCTATAGGCTGCTTCCCAATGTCGAAAAAGTAGGCATCAAACCGGTACAAGAATTTGAAAAAGATCTGATCGGGTCTTGGTAAGTTGTTGATTGATAATGACACCAACGTGCACAACATAAGGAAAAGAAAGTTGACTCCAAAGTCTATTGCGAATTGTTTCCATGACCTTTCATTAAGTATTGCATAGTATAGCCTTGTTCCCCCTAGGTAAGTATATTTGACTATTTTCGATACAAGCAGAAACAGTCGAGATAACACCTTCTTGACTATCAAATTCGTTCGAGTTAGCTCCCGCTTTAGTAGCTGTGTCTTCAGCATAAGGGATATATATATATGGGTGCCTAGTGCTGGAACCGATATGTGTGTGTGTGTGTGTGTGTACTTGTCGTAAGATAAAAAAAAAAATCTCCATCGCGGCTCGCGGGAGGTAACTCAGATTCTACTAAAGGCCGGCTGTAATCTCGTTACAGCTTATCGAGAGGTCTTTATTGCATGTCTTTGAGAGTGAGTCGCAGCTGGACGGTTTACTTTGTAGCAAACACAACTGTAGCTGGTATAACAAGAGAGAACTACGTAGTCGAAACGAGACAGCATAAACGCCTCTTCCCACACACACACATACACACACCCAGACCCTACTAACAAAATACAACTTGTATTATTTGATATCTCGCTTACTTCTTCTACATAGCAGCCAAGTCACCGAATTTTTCTCTATATCCTGGAACAACCCACTTACCGTTCTTAACCATGTAAGCAGTCTTTTCGTCCAAGTCTGGTCTGACCTTGGCGACGTCATCGACAGTCAATTGGTCAAATGGTCTGGCGCTTTCAATATCCTTCAATGTAGCCTTCAATTCAGCAATCTCTTTAGTAACGGACTTTTCAGTCAATTGAGCATTTTCAACAGCCTTTTGCTCGAAAATTTCGATATTCTTCAAGTTCTTGGAAACGTCAACGGTGACTGGCTTGAATGAGGTGACAGCTTTTTCGATTTCATCAACAACCTTTGAGTTTTTCAAGATTTGTCTGTAACGGTTGAAATCAACTTCAGTGGATTGACTTGACAAGTCTATAAACTCCTTCTTGGCCTCTTCGTGTCTCTTTTTGAAAGCAGTCAATGATGATGCAGTTGAGCCAGTCAATCCCAAACTCTTGATGAGTTTGGCAAAATCGACCTTTTTGGCAGCTTGTTGGGCAACAGATGACATTATATGAGTTGAGTAAAATAGCTTATAGCTGTTGAAACGAAAGAGTTCAAATTTGTCAATCTGTTTCTTTCTCACTTTCTCGTTTGCACTACGAATAATTTTCTGTTTTTTTTTTTTTTTTTTTTCGCTCTCTCTGTCTCCCTCTGGCTCTGTTTGCCTCTCTCTCTCTCTCTCTCTGTTTCTGTATTTGTATTTTCCCAAATGCGAAAGTGATTCTCAGCCAATGATTTGTTTACATTGTTGTGGTTTGAAATATGTACACGACCACTCTACTAAACTCGTTCTGTTATTGCGATTTTGCATCCAGAGGTTGCGTCCTCCCCTATGCAATCCACTTGATACGGATCCCTAAGTAGTAATAATGGAAAGTAAGTGGAGACATACAATCAATTGGAGCTGCCAAAATCACTTTCTCCGCTGAATCCTTGACTCTTCTCTCGCTACTAAACAATTAGGGAAATGTTAGGGCTTCACCATCGCTTGAAATTCTGCGACAGGACCCAAGAACAAAGCAATTGCATTATTTTGCAATACTTGTTGCACAATCTACTCAACTGGAGTGATATTGAAAGAGTCCGCTCCATATCCTCGAGAAGTCGGATCGCTCAACCTCTCCTGATGGAGTTTGTATTTTGTGTAACAAATAAAAATAGGGTGCTCTTCTAAAATACCCGCGACACCCAAAAGAATCTTGATCCGATAGCCTTACAAGCAGTCTCTCCATTCCACAAGCACATTACAACCACAATGAAGCCACCGGAGAAATTCCTGCAAAAGAACCAGATGAAGGGGCTTGATAATTTTATAGTAGACTTGCGAAACTCGAAGGATCAAGAGGAGGAATACAAGAAAATTCGTGCCGAGGCAAATGCTATTCAAAATAAATTTCAATCAAGCACTACGTTGAACATCTCCCAAAAGAAAAAGTACATTTGCAAGTTGGTCTACATATTTATACTGGGGTACCCAGAGCTAATCAATTTTGGGTTGGATGAGTCAATTGAGTTGATCAAGTCGAGTGCCTTTGGTGACAAGAAATTGGGATATCTTGCAGTGTCGATACTTTTGAATAATGAGAGCCCCAAAAGCAACTCGTTATTCACTCCCAAAGAGCATTTGAATCATATTCTAGATGTTGTGCATCCAATACTAATAGAAGATCTACGATCCACTAATGAGGAGGTGAATTGTTTGGCGATACAGATGATTGCAACAAGTTTCACTGCATCAGATGTTACAATATACAACGGTGACGCAAATGCAATGCAATGGGTGGAACTAATTGATATGGTCTTTGCCTCGGCAAGCTCGCCATTGCAGAAACCGGTTGTCAAGCAAAAAGCATTAATAAGTTTGAAATCACTCCTCCAATTGTACCCAGACGTTATCGTCAGTAACGACAATTGGATTCCCCGTTTGTTGAAAATTATTGAGGAGTCAAATGATGTTGGCGTTGTAACTGCCAGTGTTCCTTTACTTGACTTCATTCTAGCAATAAACCCAGGGATTGTGAGATCTGTTATTCCATCTGTTGCAAAGAGACTTTACTCATTGACTGTTTTGAACGAATGTCCCCCTGAATACTACTATTATGATACCCCAGCGCCTTGGCTTATCGTGAAGTTGTTGCAATTTGTTGAAAACAATTTTCTTGTGCCAACCGAGGGAGCTTCTCTATCAGTGGATCAAATTGATAGTGTCACTTTGAGTCAACTTCGACAAGTAGTGTCCAAGTCTATCCAAGATGCATCACATCACACCATGGGCCTACCCAACAGAAATTCGCGAAGCTCGATCTTGTTTCAGGCTGTGTCTTTGGCCGTATTTCTAGAAGCATCACCTGAAGCTATTGCGGGTGCGTCCAATGCCCTCTTGAATCTAATTATTTCAAATGATACAAATACAAGGTATTTGGCCCTTGATGCATTGATAAAATTGACAGCAAGACTGGAATCGCCTTATTTATCCACAAAGGATAAGTTTGCCGAGATTATGCCCGTCTTTGTTAACTTACTCAAAGATAAGGATATATCTGTACGAAGAAAAGCGTTGGACTTGCTATATACCATTTGCAATGATGATACATGTTCTGTGATTTTGAACGAGTTGTTGCTTTACTTCCCTCATGCCGATCAACAAATTAAGCACGAGTTGGCAATTAAAATTGCTGTTTTGGCGGAACGATTTGCCACCGATTCCACTTGGTACGTCACAACAATGCTTAAGTTGCTTTCAATCGGTGGAGGCACAAATTCCAATGGTGTTGGTTTCATCAGTAATGAAGTATGGGAAAGGATAGTACAAATAGTGGTCAACAATGATGACTTGCATAAAAAAACGACAAAGATGATCATCAATTTGATGAAGAAGCCCTTTGGAGACTCGCATTCTCCAGTATCGGAATATTTGATAAAAGTAGCAGCTTTCGTTTTGGGAGAGTTTGGCCACGAGGTTGATGATGTTGCCGAGAGCAATACCGGTATTCAATTTCGCTTGCTTTATGACGCTTATTTTGGTGTGACCATATCTACCAGAGCAATGTTGTTGAGCACCTTTCTCAAGTTTCTTGTCAAGTTTCCCGAGGCTAGTTTTGTTCCTGAAATCGTTGACTTGTTTGACGTGGAGACTCAATCTTTGGATTTGGAGATCCAAGGCAGAGCGTATGAATATTTGAAGTTGTCTACTATTCATTCCGACTTCAGGCTAGCAAAAACGGTGATCAAGCCAATTCCAGCATTTGACCAGCAAGAAAGTCCCTTACTTAAGAGACTTGGTGTGTTGCCGAATAGGCCTGCTGTGAGTAGATCCAAATCAAGAGTGTTGGCAAGAAACATCAAGACCAAACCAGAGAATGGCAACGCCACTAATGGAGTGGATGTGGGAGCCAGGGAAAGTGCGCTCACTAGTAACTGGTATGCTGGATTCCATAGAATGCTCCATTTTGACGCTGGTATCTTTTTCGAAAACAATCTCATCAAAATTACCTACAGGTTGGTCAAAAATGGTAATGAAATTGTCATCCACTTCACTGTGGTGAACAACGCTCACAAAACTGTTGGTGAGACAATAACAGGATTCAACATCCTCAAACTAGAATCTAAGGCAAAGAAAGAAGACCCTAGCTATTTGCTTAATGTAAGTCAATTGCCTGACTCCACAATTGCTAATCAAAGTCAATTGACTATATCCGTAAAAGTGAGAGGCATAGTTGAAAACTACGAAGACCCGATAATTTCATTCACCTTTATGTGTGGTGGATCATTTAACCACTTGAATTTGAGGTTTCCAGTCCAGCTCATAAAAACACTAACAACAGCCCCAATTCGTGGGGCAGACGAGTTTGAAAGAAGATGGAATCAAATTGGGGAACATTTAGGGCTTGAGAAGGGTGAGAGCAGTGCCGTGGTGCGATTATCTCATAGGCATGATTCGGCACAAATCTGTCGATCGATGTCTCGAATTGGATTGACTGTGCTTACTGGGCCCGATTACAACATCAACGTCATTGGTGCTGGTATCATTCATACACAGAAATCGAATTACGGGGTTCTTGTCAAGTTTTTGGGATTGGACACGGAAGGTAAAGAGTTGAAAATAACTGTAAGATGTACTGGTGGAGGGGTTGCGGAGGTCATTTGCTCTACTATAAAAGAAATATTTGTAGGTAAGTACAACTGATATACTGCTTAACAACTTGGCTTCCTTTTTTTTTTTTTTTTTGTGCATTTTGCAAAAGTGTAGAAAATGTGCACTAAAGATTCTAGATTCAATATAATTACACGGTGGTAAATAGATGAAGATATAATCTTTGTAATTCCACATGACAAATTAGATCCCCACCTCTCCGCCTTATAGTTTGTAGAATAATAGCTAAGTCAATGTCAAAAGAAAGAGCCCTTTCAAACAAGCCCTCTTGGAATATACCTAATATCGTAATATACATGCGCAAGGGCCTAAAAATTTGGACTTACTCCCGACTTCTTCTCCCCCACCTCCAAAATTTCCATTACAGCTTTCGATTGTTTACAGTTTTCACTATACTAGTTGGTGGGGATCACTTTTATTTGACGTGGGCTCAGACTTTCCATCTCTTTGTGTAACCTTCACTCTAACAAAATTATATTTTCTTGCCCGTTTAGTCAAAAAAAAAGATTTCCTAATTGGGAAGGTTGATTGGTCTTTTGCAACAATTTTTCTTTTATGACAATGTTAGCTCCCAATTGTGTATGCCTTTTCTCTGCAAGATATAAAACCAATCAAAAATGTCGGGCTTTTGTTTGACTCAGTTTTTGAATCAAATTTCTGGGAATCCCTCGCTACAGGAACAACAATGCTCGCCAAACAGCTTCAAATTGTCTTGTTGTGCTACTTTGCCGGCCTTTTACAAGCAGCACCAGCACCAGCGATTGTCACTGTTATTCAGACCGTCACTTCAGGGGATGCCTCATCGTTGCAAACTAGCGCAGCTGCTGCAAACAACCTCAATCAAGTCGCTACACCAGCCTCAAGTGCTCCAGCAGCAGCATCAGCAGCATCAACCACGGCGGCTGCAGCAGTTGCTCCCGCGGCCGCTTCCACCACTTCATCTGGTTTCTGGAACGACTTGTTGAACGAGCTCAGGTCTTCATCCACATCATCAACCACGACTCAAGGATCGTCTGAATCGTCAAGTGGGTCTTCATTTTCAAGCTTTTTGAATAGTTTGTTTGGAAATTCCGGCTCAAGCTCATCGACCAGTTCTGCATCAACTGGAAGCACCACTTCAAGCAGTTCAAATGCGTCAAGCTTTTGGGACAGATTATCTGACTTGTTTTCGGGCTCATCTTCTGGTGCATCTTCTTCTTCTTCTCCAACAACACCAACAGCAGCAACGTCTGCCGATACTATAACCCCATCTACTAGCTCTGCTGATCTTGGATTTGGTACCTACTCATCTCAGTCACAACCATCCACTTACTCCTCATCTGCACAATCCTCATCATCTTCACCAACTTCACCATCCTCATCTTCTCCATCCTCAGCATCTTCTTCATCTTCAGATATTTACGCCGCCATTGCTGACTCAAATGATGTTGACGCCTCCTTTGCCACTGCGATTTTAGACGCTCATAACCAATACAGAGCCCTCCATCAAGCTGGTGACTTGGCTTGGGACGTTGACACCTACAACTATGCCAAGAACAATGCCGACAACTACGATTGCTCAGGTGTATTGACCCACACTCATGGCCAATACGGTGAAAACTTGGCTGCTGGTTTCCCTGATGGACCAAGCGCTGTCAAGGCTTGGTATGACGAGGGTTCAACTTATAGTTACTCCGCCGCTAACGAGTATAACCATTTTACTCAAGTTGTTTGGAAGGGATCTAATAAAGTTGGATGTGCTTACAAGGATTGTACAAGCACTGGATGGGGCTTGTACATTGTATGTGAGTATGATCCAGCTGGTAATATTATTGGATGGGAAAAAGCCAACGTCTTACCGTCTAATTAAAAGAAGGTGAAGGAATGCATCTTAGTTCATACCATTTTTCAATTCTCTGATCGTTATATTAGTTTAGTTTAAAAAGTCGTTTATTCCATTTCAAAGTTAATAGTTCTACATTACTCGTTCTAGTTTGCAACCCTGCATCACGGCCGGGTGATGTCGTGGTCGTCGTTTCGAATATTTTATTCATGGGGTTGAGAACCTCCTTCAATAATACATAAATATACCAAATGGACACCCTTTCATTGTCCATTGTAGTTGAACTGGTCTTGTCCTTCAACATCAAAGTTCTCAATAGGGTTCTCTGGTGGGTGGAAGTTGAGCCAACCTGCTTCATTCGTAATTTCATTCCATAGCTTCTGTTCTTCATCTAGATACGCAAATCCATCAATTCCAGTCAAGTCTTGATTCGAGTTGAAATCACCTTGACTATACTGAAGTCCCGGAGTGAAACTAAGAAAATCCGTATCAATGTTTTGCTGATGCAACTGATGTGGAGTATTATTTACTTCTGTTTCATGAGTGTTTTCCTCAACAGCAGCCTCCTTCAAATCATCTTCATAGAATTTAAAATCTTCATCATGTTTGCGAAGAATTTCAGTCATTGCACCATTGAAATCAAGTACACGAATCAATTTGAGTAGTTGAGCTCTCCTCAACGCCGCTGGATAGTTGCCCAAGCGTTTCATCTTGGTAAACAAAGTCAAAGCATGGTCCAAGTGAGTTCTCGTTGCATCGTGGACTCCAAATGACGCATTGAAAAGAATGAGGGTTGAAGCTGAGGTGAACAAGTACTCACGATCCATCCATCCAAATAATGCAACCATGTTATCCAGAACCAACGACCAGATGCTCTTGATGGTGTTTATAGATGCTTGAAAAGATGAGTTCAATAAACTCAACACATTCTTGGAATACTTGGTCAAATCGATGTACCTGTTCTGAGTTGAATGCTCTTGTAGCTCCTTCAATTTCTTTGTCGAGAAATGAAACAACAATGGTCTTACTGCCAAGTTGATACCTTGGAAATATTCAGTCATTAAATTCACAATTAATCGAGACACTTTTGGTTCCTCTGTCGTATAGTCAACGCGAAGATGACTTGGTAAAGAGTTTTTCCAGTTAATCAACCTCTGAACCAAGTCAGACACTATTGGCAAAATGTTAAAACTTGGCGTTTTGGTGTACAAGGACGACAAGATGACTGCATTGGTTTGGGTAATTGTGACGCAGTTGTTGATGTAGTCTGCAGGTGGGAATATATAATAGCCCCGTACATCTTGCTCATCTCGTGGGAAATCGGATAAATCAACCTTGAAATCAACGGGCAACTCCGTAGATACTGAATCGTCAGCAAAACTTAGTGGAAGACCAGCTTTCGAAGAAAGCATTCTCTCATACATGTAAACTGTCCACCAGATTCGCCTTCTATGTTCAAGCTCAAATCTATTGAGAGACTCTTTCTCTGCATCCACGTGCCAGCCCAAAATCAACGCGGCCCTTAATGCCAACCCAAAGTAGAAATAGGAGGCAATTGTGCAGTCAGCAACTTGCAAGTAAAATGCATATAGAAGCATCACTTCAATTCCACCATCCTTAGTGATGTTGTCAATTGCACCAGATGCAAACAACCCCGTGAATAAATCGGACGCTTGATAAAAGAACTCAGCACCGGGTAAAGTGTGTTTCTCTTTGAGTTCCTTTTTTCGTGTCATGTTTTCGAGCTTTTGTCTTTTGGCATGAGTATCTGACTCCGTTCCCAAATACATCTCACCAATGGAGAATATGAGCAATATCTTGCAAAACCAAATTGTCTCTAAAATGGACTCGTCGTCGGCATCTTTCTTTATAGTGTTTTCATTTGAATTCACCGCTGCATCTTGGGAGTAGTTACGGCGCAAGATTTTCTTATTGTCGTTTGTGTTGCCAGCATACAAATTTTTCAAAAACTGCTTAATCAACCCCTCATTAAAAAAATAGAAACATCCATCATTGTAGTTGATGAATGTGTCCACTAGCAACATCGCATATGAGTAGGAAGGCAATGAAAAATTGATTGAAAGTCCGGGCCTGGTGTTGGTCTTGGAGAGGGTAATTTTGTAAGCCCCGCCCTCTTTTTCCATAACCTTGCTCTCTCGCTTATTCGAACGAGAGTCACTTTTGGCAGACGAGAAAGATGCCCGTGTGTCCGGTGAGTTCATTGGGGTGGTTTTGTTTGAACTTGGAGGTAAAGACGTATCAAATGACGGCGCCATATTCTGGATCTCTAAGCCAAATAATGTCATTGACGATGATCCAACATAGACCTTTTCTCCAGTCCGCGATTGTATTAGTCTTCCATGCTTGTCCAATGATGGACCAATCACTTCCATCCCTTGGTTCTGACTTCCCTGATGATTTACCCCTGCAGTGGCATTGATTTGATTCTGTAGTGGTTGCGCGTGTTGTTGTGGGTTTGAAGCGGCACTTTGTGTATCAGTTTGCCTTAGTTCCAGCTCCTTCAAACTGTTTCTAAGCAGGGCATTGTCCTTCTTTAATCGAGCTATATCATCATGCAACCTAGAAAGGTATTTCATGGACACTACAATTTTCTTATCTGCTTCCACGTATTCACATTTGGTTTTGGCAAGTTGACATTTTTTGCACGGATCTCCTCCTGGGCATCTTATGTGGCGGGTTCTGCAACGTATACAAGCTAATGAGGTTCTTTTGGGACGTCCTGTAGCGGATGAGGATGTGTTGACACTTTTGGAATTAGACTTGTCGAAAGATGGATTTGTAGAATGAGGATCTGTATATTCAAGGATTTCGTGTCCTTCTTCCGCAACTGAATCACCTGATCCTCGCGTACTCATAGCACTTGCCAATAGAAACAGATGATGGAAGAAGATGTGTTGTGGCTTTGCAAATTCGGGGTTCAATGATGGACCCATTTTTTTTTTCCTCTTCTCTCCCCCCTCCCCCCCTCCTTTCACCTACACAGAGAACGCCGCACCAAAATGATGATGATTACTACGAATCTTATTAAAAAAACCAATCCAATTTTAAGAATCACTATACAATAGAGAAAAAACAAAAAAAAAAACGAAACCGCCTAGCTCTTTCACTTTTGATAAGGAAAACACAAGTGCAGCAGAAAACATATACAACGTAGTACTTACACCAATGCCTTGATGTTGGCTTTTCCTTGACCAACAATGTTTCCAGCAGGGTCATAGGAGCAAATGATGTACTTACCCCAGTTTTGAGCGCTACAGTCCTTGTATGCGCAACCAACCTTGGTGGTACCTTCCCAGACTACTTGAGTAAAGTGATCAAAGGAAGAGGCGGTGTTGTAGTTGTAGTTGTTTCCTTCATCGTACCAAGCGTCAACAACAGTCGAACCGGACTTGTAACCAACACCCAAGTTTTCACCATATTTACCACCAGAGTGTTGCAAGTTTCCAGAACAAGAGTACTGGTTGGCGTAGTTTTGAGCGTATTGATATGCATCTTGATCCCAAGATAAAGCAGAAACACCGTGTAAAGCACGCTTGGAGTTGTGTGCATCGAGAATGTCTTTAGAGAAAGATTCATCTTGAACATTTCCAAAGTCACCACTTGAAGTGGATGAAGTGGATGAAGGTGATGAGGAAGATGAGGTGGTGGCTGGAGCAGCTGATTGTTGCGAAGTGGTTTGTTGTTGAGAAGTAGTCGTTGGAGCTGAGGTAGACGTACCTGAGGTAGATGTAGAAGTAGCTGAGGTAGATGTAGCTTCAGCAGCTTGTTGAGTTGGTTGTGAAGATTGGGATGAAGGGGTGAATGAAACAAGGGCTGAACCCGACTCAGAGGAAGCTTCATCCTCAGACAAGGTTGATGTTGTCAAAGTAGATGGATTGGCAATAACTGCTACTTTTTCAGTAGTCAAGGAATCTCCGCTTTGGATAACCAAGTTTTCACGGTACAAAGTGGCACCTGCCTCAGCAGGGTTGGTGACAACACTAGTGAATGCAATATTTTGTCCTAAAATGTTGGTTGAGAAAACCCAAGTTGATGCTGAGGGTTGTTCCGGGGTTTGTTGTGCTTGGGTGGTTGTGGTGGCCTGTCCATTAGCGCCAACAGTGACATAGTTTGTGACATGGACGTATTCGTATTTGACTTGAGCTAAGGATAACCCGAAGAAAGTGGTAGCTGCTGCTGCTGCTGCTGCTGTTGTAGTGAATTTCATGACGCGACTTTTTTTTTGTTTTGTGTGAGTGTAAGTGTTTACTTTTTTTTTTCAAATATATTCCGCGACTAAATGAGTGGAAAGGGGTGCTATGTGAGATACGATAAATGAGTGTAGTATGATTGTCAGCTAAGATGTAACTGTGTGTAGGGACAGACTGTAGTTGGATACAAACAAAGGAGTGTAGGTTGGTACTAGTTGGTAAACCTTTAGCTGAAGGAAAAGAAGAAGAAGAAGAAGAAGAAGAGAAAAAGCTGAAACAGAAAAATCAAGAGAGAGATAAGTTGAAACATATATATAACGTCAACATCAATGACAACGAACCTGCCATAAATATTTACTTCAAACAATAGCTTCCAGAATAGAAGAAAAAGAAATGTAACAAAGTCACAAGGCACACACTATAGACACGCATTGTGACCCCCACCCCCCTTTCTTAAAGAACTGGCGATTTGAAATTTTAGTTTGTTGCATTTCATTATGAGTCGACGTGTAAGTTCTTGGTGTGGTTAAAGGGAACAATTAACGCATCATGTACCACATAAAAGCTATGCAGCATTTAGTGTAATCTGACATATAAGGTTTATGCAATATCATCCTATTGCGGTTAAATTGGCAAATGCAATCAACTCACTCTGGAACGCCAAAAATTGTTATGACACAAACACATTGTATGCAGTACAAACGTATACAATGTATTGGTTGATTGTTTGTTTCTTTTTTGTTTACATATGAGACCAGAACAGAACTGAACAGAACAATAACAATAACAACAACAACAACAACTACAAAAGAAAATCTCACGGGTCTATTATTTTCGTCTAACTTTGGGTCTTCCCTCTCCATTATTGTGAGCACGACCTGGAAATCTTATTTACTTTCGCTACTAAACAGGAGAACCAGGTTTCAGGACCTTAGTTGCATTCTCTCCACGTGTTTCTTTCTTGCTCCTTTTGTCTCATTACAGAATTATTTGCATTCTGTTAAAAGCCATCTTAGAAAAAGGCCAAGCAAAATAACAATACTTTATTTTAAAGTGAGTACTGAACAACATGTATACATTGGCGGAAGACATTGATTCGCTATCACATATCTGACCCTTCAATTCTAGATCTGAATCTAGATTTGGAACTCAATGCACGACTCGTGTCTTTGTTTTTTTTGCGTCTTCTTTGTCTTACTTGAATTTCCGATATAAATAATCAATTGCATAAACTAGGCTTATTGTCGCCCATCGATTCGATTGTTCTTCGGTTGTTTTCACTTTTTCCAATCTGCTATCCAATGGGAGGAGGACACAGCCGACATGGTTATCCCTTTCCTTGACAAAAGGGACTAAAGAAACAGTAATTTATCTTGCATAAACTATAAGCTACACAGCCCCGATAGAAGCGACTAAAGCCACTTAGTAGAATACTCCTTTTCTAACATCTTCTACATTACAAAATGCTGCTGAAATCTGCTTGAGCACTCTTCGAGCTGACTCCAACCCTTTCCCCCCCGTCATGGGAATGTATTTGTCGATCGAGTTGTCTGTTGCAAATACATTCCAATGGTGAAACGGACATATCTCGTTACTACCTTATATCCTGGATCATTATACACATTTCGTTGCAATTGTAACAAATGCAAATGCAATTTCCATAACTCAAAACACATAAGCTTTCTTTTTATTCACTAAGTGCAACTACTATATTGTTCCAATACAAGTCTAGATCAATGGAAGCACATTCTGTTTCCCCTTTCCTCGCATATTACCCACTTCTTTATAATTGCAAATCACATACATCCCCCAACCTCTAGAACTACAGTCTTTATAAGCACACCCCAAAAGTGTAGTAGATTTCCAAACGACTTGGGTAAAATGATCAAATGTGGTGGCCAATTGGTAGTTGTAATTCTTTCCTTCTGAGTACCAGGCATTAACGACAGATTGGGCAGAACTGTATCCCACACCCAAATTCTCCCCGTATGGGGCGAAGGTGTGTTTTAAATTACCAGAACAGTCATAAGCATTAGCTACCTTCTGTGCGTAGTTGTAGAGCTCTTGACTCCATGACAATGCTGCGACTCCATGAGCAGCACGTTTGGCATTGTGGGCACTCAAAATCTCATTCTGGAATGATGGTTCTGCACTTGCAACTTGTGGTGTGGGAGTTGAGGGACTGGCTTTCGTAGTTAATGTGCTCGGCTTGCGTTGTGCTTGGACGTGGGTGGCTGGGGCTGGTGCGACAATACTGCTGGATATTTTCGTTGTTACGGGAACCGGTGGGGGAGTGGTAGGAGTAGCCGAGGTAGTTACCACGGCCCTAGTGCTTGTTGTAGATGCTTTTGTACTCAATATAGAGGCCGATGTTGAAGATGACTGTAGTGTTGAAGCTTCTATCGATTGGACAACCTCAACCGTATTAGCCATGGTTGCTAGGGCAACATCAGTAGTAGTTGAAATTGCTGTTGGTGACGGGTTACCCACTGGATATTCCGTATAGTACACGCCAGACTCATTATAAATGGCTGATCTCTGTACTGTAACGTAGACAACATCAGTTACGAGGATTGTAGCCGAGTGCACCACTGCTGCAATAAGCACAAAGAGCAAAGTCACCTGTAATTTGCAAAACATGGCACCGAGATTGTTATTGAAGGTCTTCACTAAATGCTTACAGCTGGAATGAATGTTCACAACTTTCAAAACAACAACTACATATATTCACGATTATATATTTTACATAACCTGCTGCTTCTTACTGTTTACAGTTTGCAATTCTTTGCATTGGCGTTTGTTTGGACAAGAAAAAACGAAGCGTGGAAAATATTTGTAGAAAATAATATCGTCGACGCGATACTTTACAGCCAGCAGAGAAAGAGTCCTGGCTGGTATCATCAATGAATGTGGGTGTGGTATGTATGTAACGAAACAGGTAAAGTCGTCTAGTTGCAATTCGCATGTGGTGACTGCTTCTTGTGTAGATTTGTAAACTGCGTGATCATTCTCGCTGCAAATGCACATGGGGTCGAGGGGGTGGGGGGTTATAATGGCAATTTGCAGCACGCGATTTTTGTGTAAGAGAGACATTTGATTTTGTTAACGCATTTGGACAAAAAGAATACACTACACACACACGACACAGTACTAGGTTATCTGAGATGAATTCGCAACTATACAAGCGCAAAGTAACAGCATACTGAAACGATTCCTAAATAAGAAACATGACCCATGTTCGTTCTCACCCAATTCCACCTTTACATTCCTCTCAAGGAACGGTGACAATTTCAGAAGGCTTCAACGAATGATGCTCCTTCACTTCGCTTTCCGCACACAGTGTACACCACTATTCTGAAATGTGTCACCTGACTCCTTCATCTTTACTAAATCACCAACAACACAAAGGTGTCTTTTAGTTCTCGTGATTGTAACATTCCATGTTCTCTCTTCACTCAAGAAACCCACCAAACGATTCTTGTTAGACCAAACTAATGACAATATAAAATGTCTTGTATAGTGTAGGAAGGAGATGTTGCCAACAAGAGGCAGCTCATCCAAAGGAAGGGTAACACTTGTTATCCACATCACCTAGCCTCATCTCAATCGGTATAGTCATCAATGTTTGGATATACAATTTCGTATGGTCGTACCGATTTCCCATCTTCAAAACCATCTTCAACGTACCTACTCCAATCTTTAAGAAACTTGTGGCCCGAGTCATCCATCAATTGTAAATCACCCACAACACAGAGTTGCCTCTTTGGTCGCGTGATTGCAACATTCAATCTCCTCTCTTCACTCAAGAATCCGACATCTCGCTCATCATTAGATCTCACCAACGTCAAAATGATGACTTCTTTTTCACGACCTTGGAAGCCATCAACTGTGCTCACTTCGATTAGCGAATCGGGGCCAAGTTGTTTCTTGAGTAGTTGCACTTGAGCAGCATATGGAGCAATAACACCAATATCTGAAGGCAGTACACCGCTTTCCATCAATTTCTTTATGTGGCTTCTAACGATTCCCAACTCCATCTCGTTATACTTGGAATCTCCCTTTATTGACTCTAGTTTTTGTTCAGGAAAGTCGCCTCCTTGGGTGTCATACCAAACACATTGCACATTGGTGTCATCATTGCTTTCAACGCCAGGAAGGTCACTTAGTTCAATTTCCTTAACAGACTCGTCACTGATGAGCTTATCCTCGTACAACTGCATGCTGGGGAATTTCATAATACTGTCATTCATCCGGTACTGAACATTCAACAATTTTTTAAACTTATTCCCATTTAGGTCTTTAACCAACCTGTCAAACAATGTTGTTTCCAAAAGGGTGCCTGCCCCTGAAATTATAGTTGGCGGTAGTTGCATATTGTCGCCGGCAATAACTAATCTCTTGAATTTGTCATTGTGTAGTAGTGGAATCCAGCATTGCGGCTCCAACGATTGCGAAACTTCATCTATAATTATCGAGTCAAAATTGACACCACTTCTTTTCAAATCGTAAGAACCAGCTCCGTGTAATGTGGCAAGTATGACTTTTGCACCATTGAGCAATTCATGAACCACTTTCCTCTCCCTTTGAATCAACTCCTTTTTCAATAGTTTCAACTCCTGATACAACGCCTTCCTCTCTCCATATCTCTTGCACTTTTTGATCTTGCTCAAAACAGATTGGATATCATTCTCTAGATCCTCAATCACGTCTCTTCCATAATTTTTGGAAAGAACTTCAAGCGAGTGTTGAAGGTTTACCGGTAACAATCTAGCTGGATGTCCAATTCGAATCAACTCTCCCACTTTATAGTGTCCGCCAAGTCTCTCCAAAATCGTGTCAACTGAGATATTTGATGGTCCACACACTAAAACTTTCTCTCCACGAGCAGTTAGTTGTTGAATTAACTCAACCAAAGTCATGGTTTTACCCGTTCCTGGTGGACCAAAGATTATTGAGATGTTGGACTTGTTGATTGCGAAATCAATTGCCGACCTTTGCGAAGGGTTTAAGCCTGAATTCAAAAACTGGATGCTGGAACTCCCACTCAATGCAGTGTATTCAATTTCACCAAGAAGCAATTTGTGTATGTCATTTTTGTTACTTTCTTTTAACTCTAGGACTTTGTTCATTGTGGTCAACATTCGTTTGTAAGTGATGGAATTTGCGAGTTTGACAATCCATAATCTGGTGGAGTCGTTGGTATTATTGTAGTAGTTGAGCACCTTGTCATCACCAGTGGACTCGTCAACAGAAAGAGTGATTGTTTGGTTGGAACTTTTAACGACTACAGCCTCAATAGACTCATCCTTGTTTCCAGCCTCATCATCATCCCTCTTTTTCTTTCGTTCTGATCCAGCCATCTTGGCAATTCTTACAATATCACCCGTTTTCATCGATGTGGAGGATAAATCCCCACTGCTAACAGCATTGTCCAACTGCATCTCCAAAATCGTCTTGCCTCCAATCCCTGTTCTCATGTTGGAGATATTCAAGTTGATCACAGCTAGGCCCATTTGGGCTAGCTTCTTCGGTGGGTATGCATTGATGTATTCGGTGGTTTGAGCTACATCCTCTTCTTGCTCTTTTAAAACGGCATCTTTGAATTTGCTGAACAAATTCATTATGCTTACATTGATGACAGTGTGAAATCAATATTCTTGAAGTAATTTTTTTTTTTTTTTTTCGCAACAGAATCCGGGATTCCTCTGCAGGCCACAGAAGCCAAGAACTTCTTTGACAAATTCAATGTGAACAATCACTTGATTTCAACCTACTATGTCATATATAATGGAGCCGATTGAGTAACTTGTATAGGATTCTCAACCAGCACAATCATTGTCCCAAACAACCTGCAACCTTCTTCTCTCACCCTCCAAATATGGGCTGAATTGATTTCACACGCTTGGTAGCGTCGTTATCATGACAGCTTCTCTCTGATTCAGTTGTTGAGGTTTTTGGATTCTTTTAAGCTCATGATTTGTGATCACACTGATTTGATATCGTTGGCAATCAAAGACTCAAAGTGATTATTTTTTTTTTTGCTTTTTTTTTTTTTTTCTAGTCAAATGTATTTCGTAAAGAGTTGAAGAGCTTCTTAGTTTAATTTCAAAAGGTTCATCTATGAAATTACAAATCCTTCAAACATCTAATCCAAATCCTTTGTGGTCTTGTAATCTCTAAGGTCACGACCAGTTTGTTCCTTTAAATATTGAGCACCGGCATTCTTTAAATTGTCCAAAATCAAATTACGTTGTTTAAAGTATCCCGACATCCTCAACAATGATACAATTTTGTCATAACAGGCTTCTCCAAAGCCGAGGTAGTTGCCAAACCAACGACGAAAGTCTACGGAGCTGAAATGCAGCACATCAAATTGTAGACCAGTGTTGCGATGGATCCCTGCCAAAATGATAGAAATGAGTACTAGATCCACACTGTAGTGGAAAAGCTTTCCTAACTGTCATAGCGTAAACGCATATGTTAGTATGGATTAAGCAATTGACCTGCTTGTGTTTCTGACACATACACTCATTGTGGAGTAGATGCTTATTGAACAAGCAAAAGAGGAGTGTCCTCTTCTTTTTAGATAGAACGAAAAGAAAAAAAAAAGTAATGTCCTCACGCATACGTCACGTGCTACTATCATTTCGTAAATTACTCTATACCCTGTCTATTTCAAGTTATCGTGAATTCGTTGCAAATTATTCCTCAATTGGTTACCAGTCCAATCTAGAACTCTTTCACTCTTCCCAACACTAATTTCGAATCGACTCAAAATTTGCAATGCATTCACCTTCAATTGTTGATCAAACACATTGTCATCCAATTCTTTACTCAATATTTCCAAAAATGATAGTACTCCGAATCTCGTAATTAACAAATCCGAACCTTGATCAATCTCCTGCACTCTATAAATGAATTTCAAAATGGACACTTTCAACTTCATATTCAATGTCTTTGAATTGAGCAAGTTCAACACTGACTCAATAACATTTCTTGTGAGCAATGACAAGTCCAAACTGCAACTTAAACCATTAGTTATTTGTTCAATCAACCAATTCAATTCACGGTAAAACCATTCTGTTGAGTCCGCGGGGTGCGTGATCAAACTATACAAGGGTATATCCCATTTGTTCAAGCTTGGATGTGCAAGAACATAGCGGATGCTCAACTCGTACAAGAAATGAGCAGGATTGGCCAATATGGGAACAAATTGGGAATACACAAACCATATCAACTTCGGGATTTCGTGTTGTTGTTGCAAAGTGAAGCAAATGTTGGATATGTACACTTTGAAAATGTTTTTATCTTTGAAATGTGCATTCAATTCAATGTCAATCGAAGTGAGGATCTTGTTTAGTATAATTCTGGCAATCGGCAAGTACTTTGTATTGGACAAGTTTGCAACGATAAATTGCAATACTCCCGTATCTATCAAGTTTCGCATATTGAATGCGTATGTTACACTTGAATCTTCATGCTTGGTGTATTTCAAAAACTCATCATTGTTTAGAACAATCATGTATAGAAACTCACAATCGTATGCGAAATGGTTTGTGGATTGCAAACGAGCCTGTTTTTCCAACGATTCAATTTGATGCCAAAAGTTAGCTCCTTTTGTAAATGGGGGGAGAGTCAACTCTGCACAGTTTAATGAGTTTTTAATGATTCCCTTGTTCAAACTCACGGTAAATTGTTCATTCTTTTTCGTAATCAACTTGTCCATCTCAACCAAATCTGACTCATTTTCATAAACTTCATCGGAAAATTCCCAATTGGACACATTTGCAATCCACGAAGTCGACACTTTGGCCTCCATTTTTTGCAATATAAATTTGAGCAACAAATCCTCACATCTGTTCAATCCTTGATATTTTTCCAACACAGTCCTGAGATTTGTAATATTGGACAATTTCAGGTGGTCAAAGTTGAAAAGAATATAGATAGTGAATGCTGAGTAGTATCTCAAACCGGCATTCTGTGTATTAGGCAACACGTCCAAACATGTTGAAGAAGCCAATGCGATTTGAAATAGCTTCAAGAAATCAATCTTGCTCTTGGGTGCAGTGAGTAGCAATTTAATCACATATCTCAACGACTCGACGCTGACAAATTTCGATTGCAAAATGACCTCCACTTGGGTGTTTAAAATATTGGCGGGAACCAGGGTCCAAACATCTGCATAGAAGAAGTAATCCGCAATGCAATTTGAAAATGAGGTGAAGTTTTGAGAAAGCAGTTCAGATTCAGCAAAGCTTTTAGTGATGTATAGCATCGATTTGTGAAGCCAAGATTTGAGCTTATCGTGTTGCGGGAATTTCTTGATCAATTGGATAAATGACGAGTTGGTGGTTTGCTTGAAATCGATCTGTTCCAAAACACTTTCAAAAATTGATTGGTCAGGGTTTGTTTGTGCAGACAATATAGTCAATATTTGCTCCCACATTGGTGCCTCAACTGTTTTGGACGCCAACTTTAGCTGGATTGTTTTAACAACTTGTCTCATGAACACGTCAGGGATATCAATATTGTTCTGGATCATTGAGGACACAATCAAAAAGTTCAAGGCATAGTCATTCAAACTCTTTTCCAATAACCAAGAGGCAATGTTGTTGAATTTGCCAATCAACGCCGGTAGTAAATCATAGTCATCTGAGCTATCAACAATCTCCTCAACGACAAATCTCAACTCGAGATCTGAAAGCACAACCAAGTTCAGCTCGAGCAATTTGGTAAGCAATTCCATCCTCCTCGATAATTCAGATTTCAACAATTTCTGAAATTGTTCAACCTCGATTGTCATCTGTTTTTCAAGACATGTCGCCATTGCCTGTTCAAAAAGCAAACTATCGGATGTGTCTAGCAAGCTCCTCAACTGAGTCTCATCCAACAACCAAATGTAATCAATAAAGCCTAAATCTTCACTAGATACTTTCTCAAACACAAACTCCGTCAATGATGGAGAATGGAAGCGGGGAAGTGATCTGATGCACTCTCCATACAACTGAATCACCAAATGGCTATTGGTCCCCTTGCGCGATTCATCAAGTAGCTTTCTCCAAACCATCTCCGAAGTGAAATAGTCAACTGCTTGTTTATCCGAATTCATCAAAAAGGTCCAAATTTTGCTAAACAACGTCAAAATGAGTTGCCTTGCTGGAGTCCCCTTTTCATGTACCAATGATACTAGCGATATTGCTGCCAAGTAGTCCAAATTTGACGAGATCAACTTCTTTTCAATAATGTTGGGTTTGGCAACTAACTGTGCAACGGATGAATTGTAAATTAATTCCAAGATTGAGGCACCTGCATCTGTATGCAGAGTCGTCTCAAATGATAACAACTCATTCAAGTTCCATTTCGTAATTGAATCATTGACATCTAGTTGGTCCACAAGTGATGCCAATACCGTCTTGTTCCCACCAAGCACAATCAAGTACTTCAAGAACCTAAACAACCACTTTAAATTTTCCTCAACATTACCCTTTTCCAACAAAAATTTAAACTGCTCAAACATCGCCACCACAAAAATACTCTCTTCCTTGTACTTGTCGTGAGCCAAATCGAGATATTTATAAGGACTACGAACGCATCGGGCAACCACTTCATCAAACATGTTCCAAAATTCCAGTGTCATTTCTGAATCCAACGAGTAGATCAAGGCCATTACTGGAGTCACCAATAGATGTTGATTAAAAAACATCTTGTCTTTTGAAAGCCTGTTGAGTAAATGGTAAATCTTGGTGGCAAAGTTTGGTGCTATGGTTGATTTCGATGCCAACTTGATCAATGACGTGTAGAACGAGTTTGCCCCATTGTTCTTGTTCCACCATTTGAAGTCTTGGTTTTGCAAGTTCATATAGAGATCAAGTATGGACAAGTCGTAGTTGGACAAGTCTGATTTGGACACAATGTCAGACACTTTTGTTGAAACTAGTTTCAGTAATGAGCTCTTGTTGATAGACGATGGTACCAATGACTTATACTTGTCAATGATTGTCAATGCAGTTAAATGGGTTAATTTGGATGACTTTGAAGTGAGAGGCTGTGCAATCAATGTGACATCTGGTAAATGGTTCAACACAAGGCCAATCAATTCTTGTCTCTGTCCCACGGTATCAATCGCTTTTTGCAACCTCTTTAAGATGAATAGAATCAATTGCAACGTCAATTGTACCGTCAATCCCGTTTTCGAAGATAAGCCTTCGACTAATGCTCCTTTCAGGAGTGGTGCAAAAACAATGCTTTCAAAAATAGTCCTAACATCAAATTTTGTAAACTCCACATTTACTTCAAATTTGGGGATCGGTATTTGTAGCACGTTGGTGTACAACAAAGTATGCGAAACCCACCACGACGTCAATGATGGATCATGGTAACCTCCTCCATGTTGGACGAGATAGTTCATGTACGGTGGTATCAATTCTTGACAATTTGTCAATACCTTCACAATAAATTGTAGTTGCTTGTTGGAATCGATTGGCTTCAAACTCGTCAATAACGTGTATAGTAATTTGTTGGCGATCTTAAACTTTTTATTGTTAACTTCAACAACTACACCAACGTCTGAGTCTTGAATCCATAACTTGTCGTTATCGAAAACCAATCCATTTTTGGAATCTGTGGTTAGCTTGGTCATAAAGTCGAGAAAAAATGGTTCTTTGATTTTGTTGAACAATAAGTGAGCTTTGTACATGAAACTGTCATTTAATATCTTGCACTTTTGTGCCTTTTTGAAGTTACTTTCATCAAGTAACTTATCATTGAGAAACTGTATCAAGTTCTGCATCAGATTGACAGAGTCAAGTTGCAAATATTTCCAAATATTCTTAACTATCTTTGGGTGATTCGTCAACAAGTCCAACCGATGGAAATAAGCAACATTGGCACATAAATCAATCCACAATTTGATAAAATTTGATCTTATGGAAAACTGGTCATTTACTTCTCCAGCCTCTATTTCAAGTTTGCTTGGAGTCATCAATTTGGGCAACACAGGAAGGGTCAAGTCGAAGCTGTTGAGAAACTCTTGAGCTATGGAATAATCATAGATGATCAAGTTGTCCAAGAATCTGATTGTTGGGTTGGTTGACGAAGGTTTCAAGCTGCTCAATGCACGATAAGTGATCTTGGAGTAATTAATCAATACATCTTTTGCAAAATCAATGATATTTTGTCGTACCGGTAAGAAGGTGTCTTTGTTCTCATTGGCTACACGTAGCACATGGTTAATCTTGTTTGTTATATCAACAAATTCTTTGTGGTTATTCACCGAAGAGTAATATGACCAAATTGATAGCACTCTGTCCAAGTCACCGCGTTGTATCAATTGCAATATCAATTCCAAGTTGTCGGTCGATGATTGTATCTCACTTAGCTTTTGAACAAGGTGACTATCCACATTTACGGAAGGTGCACTGTACAACTTTCTCTTTTTCACTTCCGACATGATGGGCAGATGGGTGGGTTACTGAGTAAATGTTTCTAAAGATTTTGGTTGTAAAAATTGAGATTTTTCAGATGAGATGCGTGTGTGTGTGGTAGCGTTAATCGTGCAGAAATGTCAAAGACTGAGCCAAAGCTTAAGGAAGGAACTGCCAAGAGAAAAGTAGCACACCAAAGGGAGTAATAGATATAAACGTGAATGAATCTGTAGTAGGTGCCAATTCACAATCAACCAAACGGAGTGAACGGAGGACCCCAAACCTTCTCAACAACAGTTAATGAAGCTACAATCTAAAGACATCAACCGGCATTGTAAGGGTAAAAGAACAAGCTTTTAAGAAGGATTATCCAACCCAAGCTGTAATAGAAGCTAGACCTTGTTGCAACTCCTTTTTTTCCTGCTTCACACGCTTCAAAATTTTAGGGATATTCTTTGTAGTCTTGCACTAACGTTTTCCCTGTGCAGTGAAGATGATCGCTTTATAGCTGTTGAAGCAACACTCATATGCAATCAAGTGAACAACTGTTGCTACTAAACAACCTGAATTGGAGCAATGAGCACAAACTCTTTCACGACAAGTAGGTAGCAAGTGAAAACTCTTCTTTGTAACCTACTAACTGCAATTGTGCGTAATTTGCATACAAGTTGCTGTTACGAACGGTTGTCGTAATTATTATGGCTATCACTGTTTCCACGTAGTACTAACTTACCCTGATGCTCATTACAATCTCTTTGTGCAGCTTTGTAAGGGCAGAGTACAAAGCAAAGAGAAATAATAAACGAAATTTCTTTTCCCTCTCGGTAAAAGAGCGGATATTATTTTTTTGTTTTTGGAAAAATTATTATAACTGGCTGACACATTTGCAACTGCAGAGAGAGAGAGAGAGAAAGAAAGAGCAAAAAGTTTCCCTTGCTGTGTAAGTATTCTAAAGTTAGGCGAGTTTATGTTGCTGTACAAGATACGGTTGTAGTACGTCATCATGTAGTGCATTCTCTTTTCTTGTTGACAACTTTGTTTTTAACTTTTGGCTTTTTTTGCAGCAAATTTGGTACAAATATTTTACATTCTCTTAAAACAGACTGAAACACTCTCCAGTACCATGGACTACTAGTTCTCTTGTGGCTACTATCACTTCTCCATGTAGCATACATCATTGCAGAGAAAAACGGCATTTCCGCATTCTATTCATGACTCTGTTGCACCTTGCTGTAATTCGGTGATTTGTAGCCTGAGCTATGTAAACATTTCTGTGCTATCATTTAAGATGTATACTTGACCCGTATTTTGACATGCGGTTGCAATTTCTGAAAAATCACACTACATTGCTGATGATGTCATTCAAGGGTTCATAATAATATTTCTATTTTACAAGAAACGAGACTCAAAAACGAAAAAAAAAAAAAAAAAATAAAATAAAATAAAGTTAATAAAATGAAGGCGCAACTAGTTGAGTAGTATGAGTGGATGATTGCCAGCAATGGTGGCTGTGGGGTGAGGAGTATCCAAGGTATTGTGGTAACTAAACTTGTAATCTAACCACTCAACCCCGTCCCCGCTCCCTATTGTTTGGTTTAAAGCGCCAAGTCCGAAGTGGATGAAGAAAATTAAGATCATGTCTATTGTATTGTATTGCAATGTAGTGTTTTCATAAAGGTAGTGTACAATTATCTAGTATCGCATATGCCAGAGGGTACCACAGCCTGTATTGTTCAATGTTGGAACATACTCCTTTTTCCATACACATAGAAAGTTACCCAATCCGGTTAGCAAATTCCATGTATTTGTTTATGATTTGATTTTCTTGTCATTTTGGTCTCTTGTTTACAAATTTGCGGTGGTTGTTGTTGTTTGGGTTCTCCAAAATCCACACTCTATTAATAGACAGTTGTTGTTGTGGGTATGTGTGTGTGTGTGTGTTTAGTGTTGGAGATAGATTGTCCAGCAACAACTAAAAAAGGATAAAAGTAAGTAGAAAGTAGAAAGTCTATTGTATAGTATTGTGTTGTGTAGGTAATACGGTTATGAGAGTATTGTTAATATTATTTACTCGAAGATTTACTCTTTGTTTAGTTTGATCAACATTACACAACATTAAGATTGTGATTACATCATACCTTTTAATTTTCTCTCTCTGTCTCTGTCTCTTTCACGTGTCCCTTCTTGTTAACTTTATTGTATTGTAATAATCACAACTATTCTCTATTTGTACATTTCCATTATTGTCTTCTCACGTCATATTTTTTTCCTTTGTAAACTATACTGTGTTGCTTGCTACTCATAAACACTGTTTTTAGATTTCCCCATAAAAGAGTGTTTTAAGTCGCATATGTGATTATGAAACAACCAGTGGCAGAGAGAGTATGCTTGTGTCTGTGAACTTGTAAAACAGAGTGGCGTAACAACAGATTTACGAATAAAATTCTCTGTGTGTCTGTGTGTCTGTGTGTCTGCATGTGTTGTGTGATGCAACAAGTGAAAATGTGTATCTTTAATTTTTTTTATTTTTTATTTTTATTTTTGTAAACATACTGCATATAAATTTTTGTTTTTGCGTGTATTGTTATACTATGGCATTTTTTTTTCTATTGTATGTTACCCCTCAATTTGTAGTGTATGTTGACACTAAGCACAAAGCACATACCAGTACACAACACAACACATCACATCACATCACATCACAACACAACACAACATCACAATCTCTATCCTTATCTTTGACTTACAACAACTCATTCTTCCCTCAGTCACCCCGTTGTTTGTAAAGAATCTCTACCTAAAATACGAAAAAGATATACCCAGAGCTCATTATTGGGTGTATAGTGATGGAATGTAATACAATGTGAATATATTCATTGTAATTGTCCTCACCAGCTACTGATTGCAACACAACAAACATAAACGTACCGGTATAATCTACATGACCTAAGAACAACAACATTAAGATAACCCTTTCTTGTGTGAGTATAACTCATTATTTTATTTCTCTCCAACATATGATAGTGTAAATTTGAAAAGTTATATACCGAAAAACATATATAAAAGAGACAAAAGAATCAGTACAAGCTATACAAGCAATCAGATTTTATTCATTTAGATTGACATTAGGCTTCCACAGATTAGGCATCATTTCTACGTCTCACACCTTACATCACTTCACATCACTCTACCTCAGATCAAGTGAGATCAGATCACATCACATCAACAAGCTTTCATCAACTCATAAACCATGATGGTATGTAATCTTTATTTCTCATTGGAAGAAGGCTTTACCTGTATGGGTTCAGGCAAAAAGGGGGAAGTAGTAGTAGTGGTGGTAGCAGTAGTAGCAGTGCACTACTCATCAATATTCACACGTCGCGATGTTACATTCAATTGACCGACAATCTCAAATTAACTAAAATCTACATTTACGGATGAAACTAAATTACCTCAAAAGATACAATCTCATATTGTTCTTACGGATTGCAACAACGAATGGAAACTCTAGTCCATTGGTATCAACACTGCGTCACTAGAAACACCAACATATGTCACACGAAAGAGAATTTTGTTTTGCTTCCGTTCGTTTCCTCTTGTTCACCGTCCCCCTCAATCTTTACTATTGTTCGGTAATCATCACATCACCAATCGCATCACACAACCATCAATGGATTTTGTGCAATGAGGCTTTAAAAATAAAAAAATAAAAAAAAATAAAAAGACTAAACGCCGAAACTTTGCTACTGCTTCCTCCGATGGTTACACAAACAACAAAACAAAGAAAAAAGAAAGAAAAATAATAATAACAATAATGTTGATATTTTATTTTTATTTTATTCCGAAACATTTACACGACCATTACTTCTTTACAACAACAACAACAACAACAACAAGTGCAGCAGATCTTACTAAATTGGTAATAATAACACTACTATATATATATATATATATGCACACACACACACACACACACACAACCGCAGCACACGACCCAAAGTTTTTCTTTTTTAAATTCCCTTTTTCCTGTGCTTTCTCCACTATAGCTATATTACTAACCAATATACTTTTCCTTTTAGAACTTGCTGAAATACTTCAACACTACTGCCAGTACTACTGCTGTATCAAAAACAACCATTCATTCTTCTACCTTCACGTTGAATACTAGTGATTTAGGTGCTGCAAAATCTACTGCTACCAAAGACATCATGCCATATTTATCACCAAATGATTCAATACCATCAAAACCCACAACTACCACAACCACTGCCGAGACTATATCTTTCAATGACATACCAAAGCGAGCCCACACCCCAACTAGCGCAACCTCGGCGTTTTTCACATTTGACGCAACATTGAATGAACTATATCCAAATCTACCCGCCAACTATAAACTAATAAGCATCCTTGGTGAAGGTGCATTTTCCACCGTTTACAAGGCACTCGACATCAGACTCAATCGGCCAGTTGCCATCAAGATTATAAGTAAAGGGCATCTCACATCGAAACAATTTCTCAATATCAAGAACGAAATCAAGATTATGAAGCGCATCCACCATCCAAATGTGTTACAATTGTATGATTCGTTTGATACACCCGAACATTGTTTCTTAATATTGGAGTATTGCAATGGAGGAGAAATTTTCAACAAGATTATAGAGTATACGTATTTTTCAGAACCATTGTCGAGACATGTTTTCAAGCAACTTTTATCAGCAATTGACAATCTTCACAAGTTGAATATCGTACACCGTGACATTAAGCCGGAAAACTTGTTGTTTAAAAAGATTCCCTTTTTCCCACGATCAGTTGAAGAATTTGAAAAAACTGCTCGTGCATCAGATGATGATTGTAAAGTGGATGAAGGAGAATTCAAGTTGAATGTGGGTGGCGGAACCATTGGAGTTATCAAATTGGCTGACTTTGGTTTGGCTAAACAATTGATTGACGAAGATGACAATACTAGAGTGGCAATGAAGACACCATGTGGTACTGCTGGATATACTGCACCAGAGGTTATTACATGCAATACCAAGAATGAAGGAGGATTCTACATGAAAAAGACAACGAGGAATAACCAGTATTCAAAAGCGGTTGATATCTGGTCATTGGGATGTTTTTTGTACACTATACTCTGTGGGTTCCCACCATTTTATGATGATGATGCAAATGATGTAACGATTAAGATTCTTCGTGGAGAATATGTCTTTTTACAACCATGGTGGGATGAAATCAGCGCCGACGCCAAAGATTTGATCTCAAAGATGTTGGAGGTGAATCCTGAAAAGAGAATCACTATTGAGGAGATTTGGAAACATCCATGGGTCACGGACGGTGCTGCCAATTTGGGTATGACTGAAAATGGCAACTTGGTGGAGCCTAGTCATTATTTTGCAACAAATTATGAAGTTGATCATGTTGAGGATATTGATAATGATGAATTGACTATTCCAATGTCTAATCAGCCGGTGTTGTCTCCTAGAGCACGGGCAATCAAAACTGTGTTTGACAATAAGGCCATGCTTGGAAGTTTCAACAATGTGTCGACTCAATTTATAGAGAATATCGACGAGGAAGACGAAGACGAAGACGATGAGGAAGATGATGAGGAAGATGATGAAGTTGACGACGATGACGATGACGATGACGATGACGATGACGATGACGAGGAAATTGAAACGCCTAAAATTCGTCACAAGACCAAGGATCATGTCCCTACACCCATGCCAAAAGAAGTTGATTTTAGGAATGTTTTCAAAGTTGACAAGCTACTGCTTGACGTATCTGGAAATGACTCGAACGATGACAGCTACGACGATGTTTCTCCTGATGAGATTTCCGAATTGGAAGATGATTTAGCCAGTTTGCAACTCACGCCAAAACTCATGACCAGATCGAGAAATGGCAGTCAAGTACAATCTCAAGCACATCAATATAGTGGCAAGATTTTGGATGAAGAGATGGATGATTATTCCAATTCCGATAATGAGATTTCTGAATGGACAAGATCATCGTCGATCATATCTGGGATTGAATCTTTTAAATTGACATTGACGGATTCAAACTTGTTGGCTAGACGGAAAAGTTCACGAAAGGCATCGGGTGTTGGGGCAACTACTGGTATTGCGACACCGGTAATTGATGAACGTCAAGAGCAACAGGTTTCATAAATGATGTGAGAAGTTGCAAAACAATAACGATTGAAAAGAGGGTTCCTTTTATTATTATTATTATTATTCCAAGGGAAATGGTATTTTGTATTTATTTAGTTCAATGATGATATTATGTTTACTGATTTTGCAGAATAGAGAGGATAATGTAGGACGTAAACGGTGTTTGCATTGCACTAAGGGTGTGTGTGTCTGTGTCTGTGTCTGTGTCTGTGTCTGTGTCTGTGTCCCCTTTCCCACTTGGCTCCTGGGTAGCGACAACACACACACCTCACAATTGAAAATTTTCGCACTCCCCAAAACTTTCCTTCCTGTTCTTCTTCTTCTTCTTCTTCTTCTTTTCAACTATCAAATATCCCAGGAGATTGAAAGTCTTGGCCAGATCCCGTGTGCATGTTGATCAATGTCAACACGCATACACACCTCCCTTCCCACGATCAAACATCTTTTCCAAATCGACGACCCGTTCTGGTAAGTCTACGAAAAGCAAGACTTTGCAAATCCTGCAATACATTTTGAATTCTGATTTTAACAAAAATTCAGGATTGGTATTTGTATATCAAAGTATAAACTACTACGAAATAGTGCATCATAGTACATCAGGGATATGAATCGTGAGAGGTGTTATCTTCTCTTTGTGAACAACCCCCTGGTGTCTCCAAGAACACTAACATTTTATCTTTACTTCAAGGTATGCGTATTGAAGATTCATTCAGTATGCATTGTAGTCGATCTATGTACATGATTTAATAAAGTTCGTGGATGTACTGTTTGCGAGTCTATAACATCTAGTAAGCGTGGGCCTCATGCTTGCAAAGGCGAGCATATTAAGCGTGTAACTATGGTTTTCATGATCTCTTTCCACCTCCCTGTTCATCCCCTTCACCACGTATAATCTCACTACTCAAAGGCTGCAAAGCGGCAAACTTCCGCTTCATTTCCTCTTGCTCCCTATGCTCCAACTCATTAGCTTGTTGTTTCTTAGTTTTACGAGCTTGTTGTCGCTCGGCGTCCTTGATTGGACCTTGGCGTAGTGCTGCACGCTCTGAGTTTTGCGAGTAGTTGATAAACACAAATGCACCAGTGGCGAATGCTATTGATGCGCCGAGCGTGATTTTGGACGCAGTTGACATTATTGTGGGTGTGAAAGATGAGTGGTAAGGTGACTTTTGAAGAGAATAATCACACCAATTATTTTTTTTTTCCCCTTTGTCTTCCCCAACGTTGAAGGGTTTAAACAGGATCAATTCTACAAGAGAGTACAGGTAAGCAAATTTAGACGTTTCGTGTAGGGTTTTACGATATTTTATTAAGGGTAGGGCAATACTTACGTCTCATATTCCCTGGAAGTTAGAATAATGACTGTTTTTTGGACGGCACGGCACTACATCTTCCGACACGTGGATTTGTACCAACATCTCACTCTCTCGCAACAACTACAAACTCAAGTAAGCTATTTCAGGTAGTGTATTTGATAATCAATATCTTCCCACTGCACTTTCTCTAAGATGGCACCAAACAAAGTCACCATGCTTTACCTGTTGTTGTTGTTGTTGCAAGTGACTGGTTTTATCTTCATTTTGGTTGTGCTGTTTTTTCCCCTTAGTCAACTCTTCTTCTTTCTTGCCTTTTCGTTCTCTCTCTCTATTAATTCATCACAAACGAATTAAATTGAAAACCCGACAACAACAACAACAACAACAACAACTGCGCACAATTTGAATTCTAATTCAACAGACACATATACTCCATTTCCCTCTCTCTATATTGCCCATCATTGGTGTCATTGAACAATTGCTTATGAGATATATCTGTTGCCGTTACAATTCAAACAATGAGCACAAACTATCATCATAATGACAGTTCTACAACTAACCATCTTCAATCAGCAAGTCTAGACCCTTCTACAAACATTCACCAGCTGGATCGACACGACCTCGGAAACCACTTTCCTACCCCACTGCATTCTGCAAGGTCCCAAGTGTCCAATTTAACCAAAACTTTGCAGTCATCCAGTAACAATTCACAGCAACAAAATATAGATCATACGCAGGGGCGACCAGTACAACAACAACAACAACAACAACAACAACAAGAATATGGACACGAGAAGATTACTGGCTCTGGAGAATTAATCACTGGACTACCATACGAGAGCAATAACAATTTTCAGTCTAGTAGTTACCAACTGCATCAAGGAGCGTTTTCTCAACAGATTCCCATTGCGCAAAATTCTTACAAGCACATACCCATGTCACACAATACCCCAACAGTAGTGGGGACATCGTATACATCAGCACATTCCTATAACCCATCGTTACCCTCCACAAATAATTTCATAACACAGCCCGAACGGTTTGGATCATTTCATGACCATCCAACTGCACCATCCAGTTTTCGACCAAGTACAGTGCCGCACGCGTTACCAACCACAACGGTACAAACTGACCCCGTGGTCCCGACAAGAAGCTCGTTTTCGACTGCCCCAAATGCAGCGCATCTGCTACAGCTGAGTACCTATGCCATTCCCGGTAATCAACAACATTCAGCGATACATCATCCAACAAATGTCCGTAGTAACCAGTTTGTTGAAAGTCTGAGAATCCCCAACTCGCTTCCTGTAGGTCACACATATGCAACTTCGCCCCCTTCAACAATTCCAGGACATCATCAGGATCAGCAACAACCACAACTGGCTCATCGACTTCAGTCGTTGTTGAATGCAAGTAAACAAACTGGACTGGATATGTCAATGCATACTGGCTCAATCAGCATCCCACAGTACAACAGAATTGAAAAGGTACAGCAGCAAGCCACTCGAGGCCACTCGTTCCACTCCACGCCTCCATATTATGAGCATGTACAACAAAGCGCACAGAATCTGCAGCATTTAGAGTACGTACGCCCTGAGCCGGACCATTATCTTACATATAATGAATTTCTTCAAGAGTTGAGACGAAACGATGAACAAGAACGACCTGATTCTGAGGAGGAGCATTTGAATATTGTTGAGTTCCCGGTAAACGATTTGATCGTAATGTTATCTTGCCTATTGACCAAGATAATTGAAGCTAATGACAAGTTGCACCCGAACCATTTTGAAAATACAATTGCAGTACGACAAAAGATTAAAGAGGAAAGGAAACGGAAACGGTTACAGCGCAGAAATAGAGAGCAAGAGCAGTACCATCAAAGCACAACTGTGGGTGAAGTTGAGGATTCAGAAAACAAGGAAGGAGGTGGGAAGTATAGTGATAATTTCAATGTGCGAGTTCACAGTGAGGACCGGATGGACGAAGATGATGATGGAAATCCGCATGATGGAGATAATACTGGATATGACGATGACTTTGAAAACGACGAAGATGACGAGGAGGACAACGAGATGAAAAACAAATATTTGGCCAATGTCTTGGCGTTTCATGGGACAAATGTACCAGGTATATCTCTTCACGCATACTTGGCAAGAGTTTTGAAATATTGTCCAGTTACCAATGAGGTGTTTCTATCACTATTGGTTTACTTTGACCGAATCGCGAAAAAGGCCAACAATTTGAACCAAAAACGAAGACTGAGTACTAATGACGATGTTGCAAATGAGAGTGGTGGAGATGTTTCTGAAGCCGAACAGTTATTTGTTATGGACTCGTACAATATCCATAGATTGATAATCAGCGGGATCACAGTTTCCTCCAAGTTTTTTCTGGATATTTTTTATAAGAACTTGCGGTATGCAAAAGTTGGTGGATTGCCATTGGAAGAGTTGAATTATTTGGAATTGCAATTTCTTTTACTTTTGGATTTCAAGTTGATGATTAGTGTGGAGGACTTGCAAAACTATGGTGATTTGTTAGCACGGTTTTGGAAACGAGAACAACAACAGCTGAAAGATGATGCTGCAAAGTGATACCAACCTGTTCAATGTTTGTGTGTGTGTGTGTGGGGGGGGGAAGGGCAATTTATACCGTTCACACTTTGTTCCGAAAGTACGCTAATCTTTTCAAGAAGAAAATGCCATCACATGGTGGTTCTTGTTCAACAAAAAGCAACTACACCTAATTGTTCATAGAGAATAGTGAGAAATGCACCATCTAGAACCGTATAGGTAACAAATAGGTCTCTTGTGTCAGGATTGCGGCTCCCCAAATAAAGATGGCTCTTTGACAAGGCTTTGATTTCATGTGTGTATAGCATAAGTAAAGTAATTACCGTTTTAGGTAAACTCGTTTTAAAATACGGGGGGACGGGGCTTAAAAAGCAACGAAGAAAAAGAAGAAACAAACTCTGAAATGTGTTGATTTGCCAACAGTTTTGAATTACCAACGTTGGAAAGTCCTTGCCAAGGTACTATGGAAGAAGACCGTCGAGGTTTTCTTGCCGTATCCAAAAGGTTTCTCGGCTCTTTATGTTTTTCTGTGAGAGATTTCAATTTGATCATAGTAGTTCCATCGGTTATAACTTTTGTAACCGTCTTTTGGTTTTGATAACCGTTGGGTTTTGTGGAAGTTTCAATAATCTTGTGGTCCTCTGGTTACCCTTACGACGGGCACGGACTCCACCACATCGACAATCTGGATGAAGTTGTAAAGCACACTTGGTAAATGACGGACAGTTTCAGCTCAACCTGTAACTACAACTGAATGATTCTTGTGTACGCGATCTAAGTATAGTGGAGTTAAAAGCGCCGGATTTCGTAATTGGCTTTTTGTGTAGCATATGCCGCCCCTCCTCCTCCTCCTCCGTTTGAGGAAATCTTTTTCTCACGTAAAAAGGCACATCTAGTCACTAAAAGTGCAGATAGAGTAAAGTTATTTACGTACCAAAGAAACGTACAAACATCATACAATACTGCACCTCTGAAAGCGGAGGAGTCTCACTACTATTTCATATGGATATTTGTGTAATCAATTCAATTGTAAAAAAAAAAAATCCAATTGTATCATTTGAAATTTATATACGCCAAATAATATCATCCTAATTACAAAAAGCCACAGGTGTAACCTATTCCTGTGTACATATTAGTCTTCTGCCATCTTCAACCACTCCATCTACCAACGCATCCGCCCAAATGGAAGAGATCATAAATCACTTCCTCACGTCATGGACGCCGTCCACATTACCAACATCAACCTCCATCAGCTCGATAAACCCCACTAATATCCCTGGCTTGCTGGCAACTGCTGAGCTGCTACGGCAAGAGGTCGCAACTCAAACAAATTCAATTTCGCTATATTTCCTATCGCGGAATGCAAGAGCGGCAGCAGCGTCATATACAATCTTGAGTGACCAGCAGGTATTGGCATCGGCAACATCCCTACTCAATGCTGCTGCAAATACCGGAGGTGCTACTCCAACACTCGATGTTGACCTTGCACAAATCACCCAAGAATTGTTCAATTCTACTTTGTTATTGAAGAAATTGGAATGGGAAGCTAATCTCTACGCAATCCACATTTCAGTCCCATTCAACTTATTGTTTGCCATCTTGTTTTCCATTCTATTGTTGGTGAATTTCTATCTCGGGCTAATTCGGGGCAAAACTAGATACTTTGCAACGTGTATGCTATGTGGATGCGGATTGGAGATTGCTGGGTACGTGGCTAGAACAATTGGACATTTCCATTGGTCCAATACAAACATTTTCTTGTGTCAAATCATTTGTCTCACGATTGCCCCTGCTTTTGTAATGGCAGGGGTGTACTACTTGTTAACCCAGTTGATTATTATCCACGGTGGTGGCCGCCGCTTCTCAATCCTACGACCCAGCTACATATCATGGATTTTCATATGCTGTGATGTTATTAGTTTGTTCATTCAGGCGGCAGGTGGTATCACCGCTGCTGTGAAACTCCGTTTGTTTGAAAACACTCAGAGTGGCACGTACATTATGGTGGGGGGGATTGCGTTTCAAGTCGTTTCAATGACGTTGTACCTCGCTTTGCTATTCAATTTCTTATACCACATATACTTCAAGTCAATCGGTCTAAAATTCAGTTTTGGCACCTTGTGGCATTTACTTTTAAACACTAAACGAGGTCACAAAATCAGGATTGATTACAATTATGACCTGCATTATGATCCGTCGTTTCAACGAATACGACAGCGGCCATTGTTCAATTACCTACCATTGGCAATCATAATGGCCTCGCTTTTCGTGTACGTCAGATGCATTTACAGAGTGATTGAGCTATCAGAAGGATGGCGAGGGTACTTGATCACCCACGAAGCTTATATTTTGACATTGGATGCCCTTATGGTGTTTCTCAGTTGTGTGACTTTTCTTCCGTTCCATCCAGTGATTGTATTTGGAAAAGATGTTCATATTTCCATTCGAGAGAGTTTTGGAAAAGTCAATATGGACTTGCCGCCAGTTGCCATATCGGAAAAGGAACATTCGTTTTCCAATGATGACCAAAGCAGTGATACATTGCAAGAAAAGTATATGTATGGGCAGAGTAAAAGTTCAGACAGAGTTTCATCTACTCCGACTTTGGGTAATAATGGCGGTCAAAAGTACCACAATCCGTACTTGTCGCCAACAAGATTTGCCAACTACAAGCTGTCAAGTTCTAAGTACGTGTAAAAGTTATAACCTTCTATATATTAAATTAAAAATACGTATACCCTTATACATCACAGGAGAAGTTAGATCACCCATCTCCCGACCCCACCCCACCCCTTTCTGTCTCTACTTCGCCCGAGGTATCCACTCAACATTCTTGACACAGTATGGACCTGAGCAGCCACAAGATTTCACTCTTGTCACATCGTCTTTTTGATCATGCACAATTAGCGAAGGATGATACTCTGGTAGTCTATGTTGTGGTGATGGACTATATCTCGAACAGTGTTTGTTGTAGGAGCTGTTAGCTAGCAAGGTGGTGGTATTTCCCATTTTTGTATTCACTATATAGATTGCAGAGAAATTAGATGTCAGACGAGTTTAGTGGTTAATTCGTTATAATTTTATAGCAAGTGTGCTTATCTATGAAATTACATTCCTTCTTTATTTTTTTTGTTTTTTTTGATAAGAGGATTTTATGTTGCGAAATGGCATCATTACACAAAGAGCAAGCCTTCATCACAACAAACCGATTACAAATTTCTTGTTGGGTCACCCATGCAAGTCATGACCTTGCTTCTCAATGCCCTACCCTCGAATAATCAGTCTAAAAGGCAACTTTCAAATCTTATCCACTTCCATATCTAGCAACCTCGCATCCAAATTTTGGTCTTCTGCTAGTTGCCTCCACACCTCCATAAACTACGGTTAACATATTAGTATCTCATTCATATCTTTACGTCTTCAATAAACATACCTGCTTGCGCATTCTTTCATGAACAAATTTGGATAGCAACATTGCTATGGCACACCATTTCAATCCACGATTCAATTCCTTGTAGTCGCTATAAGTAGATTAGTATTCATCCTTATACCATTCACTAGCATTACACATACATGATCTTTTTCACTCCAAGATTCCAAGATACGCTTGCTAGCCATTCAATTTCAAATGATGGGACAGCGGCAACAGTCACATTTGATTGATATAATCTGTAAAATTGGAAAACCATTTTTTCCTTCTCTGCATCAAACTCATCGTTACTACATTCCAAAAAGAATCTAACCCATGTCACCAATTTAGACAAATAAGAAGCCTCGGCAATGGATAAAGCGCAGGTGATGATAGACAACAAGATACTCAGTTTTGCATGTTTTACTAGTGTGCGTTTCGAATAAATGAGCAAGTTTACATACACGTCGTACAACTCCATAGCAGTTTTTGGTTTCAACCTGGAACAATCTTGAGCCATTACTTGCACCTGTTCTGTTGACCCAACAACCAATTCCGCCTGGAACCTGAACGTGCTTAACTGCTTTGCGCATTGAAACTGGTCGTCCTGCATTTCACCTTTTGCAATCTCCTCAAGCATGGCATCACTATACTTTTTGATGTAGTTCCAATCATCCACGCCCAAGTCATCCTTTTTGCAAAGAAACAAAAACGTCAAGATCCAAGCCCTTGCCTTCCAAGCGATGATTTTGCTATACTTTGCTGTTTCAATATCACTCAGAATCAAGGAAATGAACCTAATGCATATTTGGCAAAGACGTATTCCTATTTCAGAGCGGTCAATTTGTTTGCATAAAATAGCTATGTTGTATGCTTTGCTAGCACACCACTCATGATCGTTTGTGTTGAAAATATGGCCTCCAGAGTGTGCAAAACGGGAGGCAAAACTGCAGCTTTCATGTAAAATTTCACAAAGGTTCTGCAAATCGGACTCGACAACTTGTACTTCGTCTTTTTCTATGTCATTGGAAAACATCAAAATCGCACACCTGCAACACACTGGCAATATAATGCCAAATGAACTCAAGTTTTGCACAAAGTCCTCATTAAACTGCTTTGAGCAAAGTATATTCAATAGCTTGAAAAATGCATTTTTGATGAATTCATTGGACAAATTATCAGTGGACTCAATAATGCAGGCGGCTATGGCCAAAACAGTATTCGCATTTGCATTAGTCTCGACTATTTTAGCAAATTGCATCGCAGCACTTGTCTCATCCTTGAGCAAAACGCTTGCTCTAAATAAATTGTATTGGGAAAGCATGCTCTCTTCGTCTTCAGGATCCAACTCCTTGTGAAGATCCAAAACAGCTCGGCCGTTGCCTAAAAGGATCTGGTTGTTTTCAATTGCTCTGACAATCTTACCACGGTCTTGACTTTCTGAGTGTGGCATGTGAAGTAATCTTGTAAGTGATAATTTTAACCATTGAGAACTTTGATCGTAGTCGAACGCTTTATATGCAATCATCCCCTGCTTCCATAGCAATGCAAGCGTACTCATCTTAATATTCAAGTCCAAAGGGCCATGCAAAGTTCTCTCTGCGAGTTCAATAAAGAGCTCTAATTCTTTTATTCTCAACTGAGGCTCTTCTTGCTGTGCTAAGTCTGTATTAACGACAAACTTGGTGATTACCAATAACCCAGCTTGTTTTTGGTTATTTGAGTGGAGGTTCGTCAAGAGATAATCCAAGCAATTATTCACCCCTCTGAAGCTGTATTGCACGTTTTGTTTCAACAAATTGAGGACATTCTCAATATCATGTTCCATAGAAATTGACATAACCATACGCATCATAACCTCATCAATACAATTGGTGGCAGTCAAATCAGCCACTTCAAAGTACAATCGGTACACTTCGAATTTGTTGGGGAACTGATTTTGCATCAACTTTACTGCAGAAATGGCCCTCTCCATTGAGTCTTCCCTACCAATACGCTTATAGCATTTAATCAATAGAATGTAAGTTTGCAAATATCTTGTCTTGATTGTATCCTGGCTTTCCTCGGTAATGGCCTTTTCCATGAATTTTATAGACATGGATGCCAAGGAATGTGCAACCTCATAGTTTCCCTTTTCGAATAGGTCCAAAGCTGAGTTGTACAAGATACGGCTTGTTTCCAAGACAAAATCGAAGGGAATGTCAGAGTTGAAATCAATCAACTTTGCCTCATAAATCTTTGCTGTGTCAAAATTCCCAGAAACAACTTCATAGCTAAGGCTTAGAAGTAAGAATTTTGAGTTGTGGTCGGCGATTAAGCTTTTGTCGCTCTTGCTCAAATCACACTCTTTGTCAATTGTCAACAATTTGTTCAAAAATGTCTCCGCAAAGTTTTGACATTTTTTTGCAACACCGAGAATTGTGGCATTTATAGACAGCGACAAGAGGCGTATTAAACATTCCAAGATAGAAAAGCTCCGTTCGACGCTTGGATTGAAAGAATCGTATATGATAATCAAAACAATGGCAAAGTACTTGACACCGTGAAGGGTTTCTTTGTTTACATTCAATTGGCATCCTAGATTCCAAATATCGGATCCAACGGAGTCAATCAGTTCCTGCAAATTGACGGGGAGTTGGACAAGGGAGGGGTCTTGAGCAATGTTTCTTTGCATGTTCTCAGCAATGGGAACTATCAAGTCTATCTTCTTTTGGAGTAACAAATCCGCATTCCCTTCGTACTCTTTCGACTGTAAGGTGTTGTATATTTCCCTCCCCGTCTCTACGCGAAAAGCTTGTTAGAATATGGGCATCACGCTACACGATATGTCAAACATACTTATCAAATTGACAGCAGTTCCCTGTAAGTTGGATATCAACTGTTTCATTTCAGAGTAATAAGAGAAATAGGGTTTCGAGCATCTGAATTTGGTTGTAAAAAAAAGAAAAAAGAATAATTCAATCAAATCAAATCGGTACTACAATCAAAACGGAGATTCCTCTCCCCCTCCCTTTCCAGTTTATACGTGATTCAAATTATTGTACATTCACAGACATGTTAACTATCCCCTTCTCACTTAGCTTACTTTCTACCAGCCTTCTTTTCCTTCTCTTGTTGGTCCTTCAATACTCTCTTGACAATCTTTTGTTCTTCAATCAAGAATGCTCTGACAATTCTCTCTTTGACACAGTTGGCACATCTTGAACCACCGTAAGCTCTTTGGACAGTCTTGTGAGTTTTAGACACTTGAGCGTATTCTCTTGGTCTCAAGGTGGAGATACCGGCTAAAGCAGAACCACAGTCACCACATTTGACTCTTGAAGCAGCCTTCTTGACGTGTTGAGCAACTAATTTTCCACCTGGAGTCTTGACGACCTTGATCTTGTTGGATCTGGTGTTGTCTAGAGAAATAAAAGTTAGTATTTTGACCTCTCAGAGTAATTGCATTCAAAAAAAAAAAAAACTTGGTCTCTGACGAGGGAACAATATGAAAAGGTATAGCTCGATGGACCAGTGGAAATCATCGCAATCGGTCCTTTGTGAAATCTGGTGCGTTGTAAGTTGCACTATGAAAACTCCATACAGTTCCTCAAGTCGTCGTGGATGTGTTTTCACTGAGTTCATCTCATCTTCTAAAGTCCCATATGCCTCTCCAAGAATATCAAACAGAAAGTAGTCCCGTGAATGCGGTGGTCAACAAGTGCGATTAAACATACATGGATTTCTTCTTCTATAAGTAACACGTTGAGCCATTGTAAAGATGTATTATGTCGTTGGTGTTGGTTGGGTGAAAAATCTCTCTAACAAATAAAATTTTGAAATTTTCTGATAGAAAGGAGAGTTGAGAGTTTGTCTGTGAGAATGCAATTTTTGTGCGACTCTAGTTGTATAAACTACTGCGGTAAAGATGCCTTCATGTCAAAAAAGTTTTCACCTGACCATGTGTGACTGTTTTTACACCTCTGTTTTCTTAATGCTAATGCTTTTTGGGTGATGTGCACTACTTTTCACAACACGTCCTTACTTAGTACCCGAGTTGTTACTTGACATTGCAGAGCATGGGAAATAATTAAAAGAGAGGCCGAGTTTGTTCAAAACAATCAGAGTTACCCATTGACCCTATCTCTGGGGTGATAGTTTTACTGAAAGGGAACGACTCGAAAGTGTACGTAATGCACGTTCCATCAAGATCAAACGCTTCTCTATTACAAAAAGGCACCCATTTAGAGATACTTCCACGGGTATCAACAATCTTTGTTAATGAGGTATATATGTATTGAAAGTGAGATGCTGGTACCAGATTCTGGGGAAATCTTTTTTCCTTTATGTACCCTCCACTGTATTATAACTTGGTATCATCTCTCTCAATGGCAACAACCTCTATTTCCAATGGAACACCCAATGGCAATTCCTTCACAGCTACACAAGATCTAGCTGGCTTGTGTTCGTTAAAGTACTTGGCATAAACCTGATTGAATTCACCGAATTGAGCTTTCATATCAGTCAAGAAAATGTTGGCCTTAACAATATGTTTCAATGACGAGTTTGAAGCTTCCAAAATAGCAGAAACATTTTGAATGGCTTGTTCGGCATAATCTTGAATTGAAGACGACTCTGGTAATGGTTTGTTGTCAGCGGTGTACGGAATTTGGCCGGAAACGTAGATGAACCCTGTGATCGGCGGTTAGTATTGTTTTCGAATCATCTAATATTCAACCACGTCCAATTGTTGGAAGACCGTTGACTGTTTCACATACCGTTTGCCTTGACAGCTTGTGAGTAAGAGGCGGCTGGTGGAGGAGCTTGTGATGTTCTAACCTGATCAATTCTCGTTAGTAACCAATGATATTCGTCAAGATAACTCTCACTTGATACATACAGGGGTAATTGAAGAGTTGAATCTTTTAGCAGACATGATGGTAGATCTAAATGATTGTGAACTCAAAGCGTTTCTGAACATTGGCAAATTTTGATATTAAAATGTATTAACTCACGGTGAGCCACTATTTTTTCCATTCGGCATGGAGCGGCAAAAAAAAGCCCACCATCAAAACGTTGCGTTTGCACAGAAGTCAAAAATTAAAAAAAAAAAAAAATAGAAGAGGGTGTATGATGGGGTAAAATGACTCGGAGGAATAGTGATATGTGAGTGTGTTTCCATTACATTCATACATTATCTACTTAAACAGATCTCGACTTCTTTTTCGATTTCCCCTTCCTCTTAGATTTAGACCCCGACTTCTTAGTTTTTGTTTCATTTGGGGGATTTCTATCGCCATTTGCAATCTCGTAATCGGAAGTAATGTCCAAATCTTCTGCCCTTGACGATTCCAAACTTTTTCCAGAATCGGCAACATTACCGGAGGTAATAACTGCCTCGAATTTTTCAAACAAGTACTCTGCAAAAGACTCAATTTTACATAAGGTGTTGAAGTTGATTAAGAAGGTGTTAAAGTCCTCCTGAACGGTTGATGATTTCGCAATTTTCCCTTTGCTCAACACAGCTAGTAGTCCTGTCTCTATTCTTTTCGCATACTCGTCAATGATTCTGGCATTTAAATTGTTCGCCTCCATGTCACTTTCAATATCCGTAGCTGTCATATCAGTGTACTTCTTTAATAGACGCTGTCTTTGTAAAGGATCTACCAGAGTGCTGTGTTCAGTACTGCCTTGGCCCTGGTCGTTTTGCGTACTTTTTATTCTAAAGTACAATTGTCTCGCCTCCGGAAGCTTTCCGATCCATCCAATCAATAGCACCTGCAACTCATTATTATAGTTGTGAATATCGTCCTTATTGTTCTTGTTTCGGATCTTGATGACGTCTAGCTTTATCAATTGAGAAATCATCAAGCAGAGAAGTATCATCAACTTTTTGGCAATCGATTCTGCCAACACCACCTCGTATCCGTCATCAATCTCTAGACCATCATTCGCAGACAAATAAAAGGCACTTGTGGTGAAAAACTCATGCAAAAGCATCAGCTGTTCAACTTCACTCAAAATAACTTTACCACCTTGTCTGGAAAAAAGGTATGGTGCAGAAGTTTCAGGGCTGCCTCGTAGTCCAACAGCAAGTTGAAATACGTAATCAATTAGTAGATTTGACAAATTCAAATCATGCGTAATAAACCAAATCAACAACCTTCGATGGCCATTGCACATAAGCATTTCGTCCATGGCTGCACGAGCTAGTTTGGAGTTGCTTTGTAACATGAGTTCAAATTTTGTTATACCGAAAATTGGAATGAGTAGCTTGTTGTTATCCTGTACTTTTTTTATATCCATCTCCAGGGCTGGTGAAGACCAGTATTTGTGAATCAAGTCGGGGGTTATAGTGGTTTCTCTATCTTCTATCTCATCTTTAATCGCTTTAGAGACTGTATTGATCACCAGCTGCCCAATCTTGGCCTCTGCCTCAGGACTGCCCTCAATTGAGCATACAGCCAAGAATTCAAATGTGAAATACAACTCATCCCAGGTTGTGAAAAGGTCATCTGATTGGGATTTATCCAGTCCGTGATCATAAGTGGCAAATTTCTCAAGGAAAATGGGATTGAATCGGACGTTCTCACCTCTCGCAATATCTCGCCAATCTCGACCCTCATCATCAAACTGAATATCTATAGCTTCTTGCTCAGCTATTTCGTTGTGTGCAATGCTGTTCAAATCACCTTGGAGTGGACTTTTTGAATCTTTTTCATCATTTTCGTCCTCCACATCATACTCTAGCATGTACTTAATATCCTCGTCAAATCTATCAGAATACTCCAAATCAATCAAAATGTCACCCAACTCTGCTATGCCTCTTGATTTGTTGAGTTTCCTAATTGCTTGCTCTTCGTTGATGGAAGGCGAGTCATTCTCGCGATGCTGCTCACTGGTGAACGAAGTGGAAGAATACAAGATCAACAAAGCAATGATAACCAACCTCATGTCCACCAGAATTGCCCCTCCATTGGTAGCTGATCTGGCCAATGGCTCAATAAAGTTGAAAATCGGCTCGTTCTCCAAGTCTTTTGCTGAAGATGTAGGTAATTTGGAAGTTTCTTGTGCGACACCATCATCAACTGCCAGAGATGGATTTTGATTTATTACCCATGCGAGCACACTTCGTACCGAACTCGAACCTTTCAAAACCTGAACAACTATTGAAGGCGTCTCCTCCTCCTGGTTTTTTTCTTCGTTATTAAATTCGATGCGACGATCAATTTCAAGTCCTAGCAAAATGATGTTGGTGTGACACTTCCAAAGGCCAATCAAATACTGAAGATATGGATTTATTGCCAAATTGGATTCCCCCTCTCTTGGAGTAAACATTTTTTGAATAGACATCACAAGAACACACGCCACGGAATATAAAAGCTCTAGATTTAGCTCGTCGCCGGCAACAGTTGGTTTAGGGGTCCATTCCTTGAGAGAACTTTTCCATTTCTCTTCACTGTTATCCACGAACCTCAACTTCAATTCATCTGACACGTTTAATAAATCGTGTATGAGTCGAAGTAATGTGAAAAATTTAGTTGATATGTCAAACTTGATGGAATGGATTTCCAAATCCTTTGAGTCGTTATATTCCACATAGAATGAGTACAGTAGAGAAATGAGCAAGTCTGAAATGCAGCTGACACCCAAAATATGATCCTCTGTCTCCTCTGGCTGTGTGAATGGATCGCATAGGGATATCACGGTGTCGAAAATGAACTTGAGTAGAGTATCTGTTATTGATACATTTAGTAACTTTCTTATAAGATCATGCCTTTTATCAAAGTTCTTAACTGGGCCCTTGGGTGGGATAGCAAATTGGTATTCAACTGTGTCTATCTCCTCGTCTGACTCCTTCTCAAACATATCATGTCCAAACTCAAGTGAAACCTATCTTTCCATAGACTTTGTAGAGAGATTCAAGGAAGAGAGAGAGAGAGAGAGAGAGAAAGACAAAGAAAAAAAAAAGTCACTTAAGGCATGGCGCTACCTCAAAGTTATCAGGATGCAGAAGATCTATCAATTATATTCTTGAACGTTAAATATCTGCTTGAGACCCTTACCGAAAATACCTCTAACACTTGAAGACTTGTTTCTGGAATACGCAACCAATATGGCCAAACAAATGGAAAAAACGAAACTTTCAATCTTCAAGTTACTTTTTGAAGGCTCAGATGGAATCAAGGTACCCAATCCTCTTGGAGCAACAAACAAAGCCAACTCTTTTCTTCTTTGTGGAGTTTCGAAAAAGGAGGACAAGCCGCACATGACTGCACCTGAGGCGGCACAGATGGTATCGTCGAACCTTGTTCTAGGTACTTTGGGAAACAATTTGGGTAACACTCTTGTTCTTGCCAAACATACCCCATACCAATAAAAGCCAATGAATGCACCCAAAAAGCATGATGAGCGAATAGAGGACTTTAGTGCTCTGACCAATCTCGTTGATGTTTTTGCCTTCAGTGGAAAAACCAACATGAACAAATTAAGTGGTCCATAGACGGTGATTGCAAATTTGAAGCCTCTCCAAAATCTCCATAACGCATGAAGTTCACAGCTCTTGGTCTTGAATGCGTGTACAGCCTCGCAATCTATTGGTTGGTTTAGCACGGTATTTCCTCCTTTCGGATCCCTGCCATATCGAACAAAGTATGGACCCAAAAAGTCTTCGTAGGGACCGTGTTGACCATAAATCAAGTCCTTGTCTCTAACCAATCTCAATACCTCAATAAATTCGGGGTCCATGTTTGCAGCAGAGGTTATCCATTTGGAATACGCAGGAGGCAATTTTTCTGGATGATAGAACCAAGAAAACATAACTAAGGTGCTGCTGACAATGAAAAGTAAGGCATCGCCATATTTGCTAATACCAGCGGGTGTAACATGAGACATGGTTGAGGAAAAAACTGTGTCTAGGGCTCTAGTGGCTACCAACAAGGTGAGGTCTAGTGAATTGTATCTGCCCAAACCAACAACATGGCTTTGAAACAAAGGAAATGTGACTAGGGCCGACGCTAAAGCTGATATCAACGTTGAGACGAATAATGCTGATGACGGCCTCTTTAGAAACTTGGATTTCCGAAGAAGTCCGTACACCACTGGCTCCAAAACATTTATACCTGTGATTAAACTTGCAGCAAATACTGGGAACTTGCGAGGGTGCAACGCATTTATCATGGTCTTTTTTATTCTTGGTATTAACCTATCGTACTTGCCCTTTCTCACTGCACTAACAATGGCCTTGATTGCTTTAGGAAGTACCAAATAAAGATACGCATAAAGGAACGCCTTCAACGACGGTTTCCCTATTCTATTAATGATAAGATGTGTGAGGAAAGCGTTGCGGTTATTTTGCGTCAAAGTGGTTTTCATCGTGTGCTTAGGGTTTTGTTGATTTGGTATAATACAATCTTTTCAGAGCATTTTTGAGGGGACTTGGTTAAACGAGCTTGGGAATGAAAAAGGTGACAATTTATTGTTTTTTGTTTTTTTTTTAGTTTTTTTTGTTATAGCCACTCGATGATAACAGTGTAACCTATTACACGATCTGCTCCATTGATGGCGTTTTGAAAACATTGCGCTCCGCAAGCTGAAGCTACAGGATCTAAGATTGTGCAAATCGGGGAAATTGCGTTCAATCGGTAGTAAGTAGTCATCAGCTCAAGCAATCAATCGAATCAAATTGTAAGCCCTCCTCGTGAATAAACTGTGTATTGTATGTTACATGTGCGCGTTTTGTGTACAGCCACTTGCGACATTTCATGTCGTTCTCTTGAAAAAAAGAAAAAAGAAACTGGAGTAGAAAATGTCGCATGTTCATTATTGATGCGTTGTTCAAAGTAAAAGAAGAGATCTTTCTCTATAGGGAGAACAACAATCAAAACAGGTTTATACGACAGCAAATCTATTTTAACTGCTGCGTATATGAATCATCACATTAAAGTAATCACGCAATTTGCGAAACAATTTGTCAAAGTTGTGTCAAAGTCAGTGTTTTTTTTTTTGAAGCAAACATTTTATTTCTCAAAGTAACAAAGTAGGACACACAATACAGAGTTCACTCTTTTTCTTTTTTTTTTTTTATTTTTTTTTTTGCCCGACAACAAACAACGCCTGAAACTTCGAAACCTTAACAACTTTAGATCAGGCACATCAAACTTCAGTACGAACCCAATTGCTCCCCAGACCGAAATTGTCATTGAATCAAGGAGGGTAAAAACAGGATGGTCAAGATAAGTGAAATTAATCGTACCTCAACTTTCGCATGGAGTCTGGACAGTCTTCCATTGTTGGCCACGGGAACTGTTGCGGGAGCTGTCGACATTGATTTCAGCTCTTCAGCTACTTTGGAGATCTGGGACGTTTTTTCGCAAACTAACAAGAAGGAACCACTTTTTTCGGCATCTGTGGATAATAAATTCTATGCATTGGCATGGTCGAAACCATTTGAAGGAAAAGACAAGGGGTTGTTAGCGGGCGCTTACGAGAATGGAACTGTTGAGTTTTGGGACGTTGCCACGTTGCTCAAGACCAAGGATCTTGCCAAATCGTCCGTCCACAAGTCTGATAAACATACTGGTGCTGTCAAGTCCTTGCAATTCAACCCTATCCAACCACACGTTCTTGTTACTGGAGGTTCCAACGGACAAATTTTTATATGGGACACGAAAACTTTTAGTGAGCCTTTTGCACCGGGTCAAGCAATGACTCCAATGGATGAAATAAGTAGCATTGCTTGGAATAACTCGGTCAGTCACATTTTTGCAAGCACGGGCAACAGCGGTTATACCTCCATTTGGGATCTTAAATCTAAAAAGGAAGTGTTGCATCTTTCATACAGTGGGCCGGGAGGTAGAGCAAATTTTTCCCATGTTGCATGGCATCCAACAAAGTCTACTCAATTAGTGACTGCTAGCGACAATGACTCTTCTCCATTGATTTTGACCTGGGATTTAAGAAACTCCAATGCTCCAGAGAAGGTGATTGAAGGACACAAAAAAGGTGTTTTGTCATTAGACTGGTGTAAACAGGATCCAAACTTGCTCCTTTCCTGTGGTAAAGACAATGCAACTATATTATGGAACCCAATCGAAGGCAAAAAGTTGGTAGAGTTTCCCACTACCGCAAATTGGGCATTCAAGACTAGATTTGCTCCATCAGCACCAGATATTTTTGCCACAGCTTCCTTTGATGGCAAAATAAACATTCAAACTATTCAAGACACGTCGCCCCCCGTCTCAGCAACGGTCAATGCCTCCAGCAATGACAATGACTTTTGGAACGAAATCTCAGTCACAGAAACACAGCAGCCTGTTTTTGAAATCAAACAGACCCCATTATGGCTCAAGAATCCTGCTTCTGTTTCTTTCGGATTTGGATCGAAATTAGTATCCGTTGAGACTGTGAATGGAAAGTCGATCGTCAAGGTTGAGAGATATCTGGCTGGATATAAAAAGGAGCTCAGTGACTTTGAAAATTTGAAAAATGACAAGTACGAATCGATCATTGAATCAAGGCTAAACGATGGTACTGTCAAAGGTAAGAACCATTCTGATTGGGAGATTTTGGATACCTTTTCAAAAAGAGGAAAAGATGGATTGTTTGAGTCTGACGTTGAAGAGAAAGAAAGCAATGCTGAGGATAAAAGTGTTTCTGAAAATAAAGAGTCCTCTGAGGAGACAACACGTGCCACTGCTGGAGATGATGATTTCTTTGCGCATCTCGGTAATGGCAAAGTGAAAACAAATGAAGACGAGTACGTTCCCTCTGGAAACTTTTCTATCTTCCGATCAAATGCGTCCGAGGCAGACAAGAAGTTGATAAATTTAATTTTGAACAACAAGATCGAAGATGCAGTGCACAGTTCCTTAAATCAAAAGAAATTGGCGGAAGCGTTGGTGTTAGCATTAGATGCGTCTAAAGAAGTGAAAGAGATTGTAAGAACCGCATATTTCAAAAAGAACAAGGAGGATAGCTTGGCAAGAGTTATCTATAACGTGTCATCGAAGAACGTTACCGATCTTGTGGCTCATGCTAATGTCCGCGATTGGAAGGAGATTGCTAACGGAATCAAGGCAATTGCCACCGACTCGGATGAATATGGCGACAAGATGTCTGAATTAGGAGACCGCATTTTAAGTGCAAACGATGGAGATAGGGAAGATGCCATTACGTGCTACTTGGCTGGTGGTGCTTTGAACAAATTGGCTAATCTCTGGTTGCAAGAGTTGCCGGAGTACGAATCTGAATTGTTGAAATCAGACGCTTCAAAAGTCTCTTCACCTTCTGAAGCACGTTTGCATGTCTTGACAAACTTTGTTGAGAAAATTGCTACTTACAAGTTCTACTCTAAAATAGATGGTGCAATTGTTGGTCCACTGGCTGAGGCTATTTCCAGGGCTTTGTTGGAATATGCAAATCTTGTCGCTGGATCTGGTGAATTTGAATTAGCAGAAAAAGTGTTGCAATTATTGCCTAATGAACTTGCTGGTGTTGAGAAGGAGAGAATAGTGAAAGCCACTGGCAAGGACATCACGAATGCGACTATCACAGCGGGTGTGACCAAGTCATCTTTGAGAGCTACTGCTAGTGATCAAAAGGCACTGAGACAACTGTCTGTTGCCAAAGCAAGAACCTCGTACCCAGCTGCACCCAACGCCGGATCCCAGCAATTTCAAACTCCCTCCGTGCCTTCTGCTCAGCAACCAACTGGGTTTCCATATCCAACCCCTCCATTGCCTCAACAAGCGCCAACTGCCTTCCCTCAGCAGAGCTATCCATCTGCAGTACCCAAGCCAAATCCTTACGCAAAATCAAACCCATACGCACCTACAAACATCTACAAGGCAGCATCTCCTGTTTCTACTCCGGCTGCATCCAATCCTTCAGGTGCAACTCCCCCACCGCCTCCAATGATGGGTTCTTCATCAAATGTTAAGAACAACAAGCTGGAAACTGATGGATGGAATGACTTGCCTGAAACATTCAAACCAAAAACAACCGCCCCACGAAGGGCCGCTGCTGCTGCTGCGGTTGCCACCCTTCCTGCGCCTGCTGCTGTAGCCCCGCCAACGATGCCGCCACTTCCAACACAGTCGAATCATAGCAGTTTCAACAACTCCTTTGCTCCACCAAAGAGAACGATTTCCACCACTGGTTTTGCTCCCCCACCAAAAACCGGTAGCCGTAGCACATCAAGAAGCTCAGTCCCAACTCAGCAAACTGCATCTCCAAAGCCTGCTCATGCTCCAGCTCCAGTTTCTGTTCCAACAACCAAATATGCACCACCACCAGGTTCTGTCCAACCATCACAGCCAGGACTTGCTAATTTTGGGGCTTCTCCAGTTGTAGCTACTTCGCATCTTACTACTGCAAAGAACCCATATGCTCCGTCTAATGAACAATCAGTCCCAGCAAAAGTGCCATATGCATCCCCTCCATCATTGGCCTTCTCGAGTCAACCCGCTGCTGGAGCTGCTGCTGCTGGAGCTGCTGCTACTGCACCACCACCGCCACCACCACCAAAGAACCCATATGCACCACCTCCTTCAGCGCAAAAGAGCACTGCCCAATTGCCACAAGTTGGAGCACCTGACATAGGCTCAAAATTTGGAACAGCTGCCCCACCTCAACAACCTTTTGGAATAAGTCTGGGTGCCGTGGCTCAACCGCAATTCGCGCCAGTAGCTCCACCACCAACAGGGCCAGCACGCCCTCCTGTATCGCTGAGGGAACAACCGTCTGCTGCGAGCGTTCCACAAGCAACTCCACAAACTCCCAAGCATCCACAAGGTGATAGATCGCATATCACTGACGAGTTGAAACCAATTTACACTTCCTTGACCACGGTGATTGAAGCAATCAAACCAAATATCCCAGAAAAGTTTGCTAGACATGGTGCTGATATGGAGCATAGAATTAATATCTTGTTTGACCATTTGAATAACGGTGACTTGACCCAACCCCTCACCGATTCCTTGAAGGAGGTTAGCTCGCAATTGGAAAACAAGCAATTTGACGAAGCCAAGGCTATCGATGTTGAAATTGCCACTAATTTTACTGATGAGTTGGGTAACTGGCATACCGGTCTCAAGCGTCTCATTACCATGGCAGAGGCGATGTATTAGAAAAGTATAGGTCAGATCACGATCACATGGTAGAGCTGGATAACAATAGTAATAATATCATGAATATTTGAGTTTCTGCATCTGAACATGAACAATTGGACATTTATTACTTCTAGTCTGTCTTAATTCTACTCTACTCTATTTATTGAAAGAAGTTGATTTCAGCAATCTTTGCCCCTCCATAATCGTCTTCAAGTGGAGCAGTATTATGAATGCCATCAACTTCTAGTAGAAGGAATCTGCTTTGTAAGCTGATATCCCAGGAAGTTGTATTATGTCGTACAGGTACCAACACCTCCTCAAACTCCTTACTTGAGAATGGTGCGCTTATAGCAACATCCTCCGAATGTACTTCTTCAAATACATCACTTTGATTAAGTAACTTCTCCTCGGGATTAGCAAAACGATAGTTTTTGTAAACCGGATTACCAAAATCGACTCTAGCTAAAAAGTCAGTCACGGCATTGAATTCAGTGTCCAGATACTTGGAAAGTTTAACATGCTTTGGTGGTTTGTCAGCCCAGTTGAATACAACACCGGTGATATTCTTCACGGAATGCAAGTCAATCAAAACTTTTCCGGCAGTGTCGTTATATTTCACTTGCCATCTTGTGGAATTATCGCCATCATTGATCAGGAAAGACGAATCTCCAGGAGCGCTTTCTGTAATGTTGTAAAAAGTTGCCAATCCGCACTCAGATATGGTGTCTTCGAAACTCTTACTCGGTTGGTACAACTTAAACGCCATTTCTTCATTGTCTTTCAATTTGTAAGTTGCATGATCGGGATTTCTCTCGGCTATAGTTATGGAAATATAATCATTTGCCCTCTTTGATGTCTTGCCCTCGTTTCTAATCACAAAAGTGGATTCGGTAATATTCATTGAAATCGTATGATTGTCGTAATGAATACCGTTATATTGAACCCCGCTGCCCAAACAAGGCAATGCAATCGGGTCCAAATATAATGATCGGGTGATTCTACCATTGTCAATGGTGTAAGAGTGCCTCAACCCAGTCAAACCTTGTATAACAGCTTGAACAAATCCTCCGTGTCCAGTCAAAAATGGAAAAGCCGGGTGTGTACCTCCATTTGTGTCATAGTTGTCGTTGTTTTGCTCTGAAAACTGTGCAAATGGGCCTCTAAAGTACGGTTGGATTGCTTTATGTAAATACGATTGCGATGCGCAACCACCACTAGCCAAATTGGCAGCCACAATGGAAAATATCGAAAACGTCATGGCCGGTCCATAGCTCACTTGCTTTCCGGAATAGAACTCCATATTTGTGTACGCTTGCTCCTCATCGACCAAACTATTTTGTAAAGGATACGTCAACAACACAACATCTGCCTGCTTGATACCTACTGAAGAATTCATGCCTGAATATTCCAATGTTACGTTTTGCCAATTGTCTGCGGTTGGGAGGTACATTTTCTGAGAAATTTCCCTGTAAATGTCAGGCATTTTTACATCCAATATAGCACCAATATCGTTTACCCATTTCATAAGCAAGGCGATTCCTGCATTTGTATAGGCTCCATTGTCAACGTGATTGGCATACTCATCAGGGTCCGTGAGATTGTTGGTAACAAACTTGTCAATTGTGTCATTGTAACTAGTCACGTAATCGGCGTAAAACTTTGCCGCGTCGTTAACCAAGGGGTAAACGGTGCTTTCCAAATAGTGGTCGTCTACTGCCCCGCTGAGGTACAACTCCCACGCAGACATAGCAATAGCAGAATTGATATGATACTCGTAGTTCAAACAAGGACCCGTTGCTGTACAGTTTCCAAATCTTCCACTAGTCCATGGATATGCTGCACCTTCATACCCTTGAGGAGTGTTTCGCAAAGCTTGCTCATGGGTGTGCACTCTATAGTTTACAATACTTTTTGCATGGTCAGGATTAAGGGCCAATATAGCTCTGAACATCCAAAAGTCTGTATCCCAGAAAACCATACCTCCATAGCTATCCGAGCTCAATCCTGCAACCCCGAGTGCTGCAGTTAATCCTTGCGCATTTGAACGAGTGTTTGCGAGTAAGTGGTATATTGAAGCCTTGGATCCCAACTCTAATAATGGATCATTTGGAAATGCTATTGAGGGAGTCTTTTCTGTAGCTTCGTTCCATGCTTGTATATGTGACTTAGTAATCAAATCGAGATGGTTGAATTTTTGAGACACCAGCTTTGCAAAGTGAAGAGTATCTCGAGTGCTCTTAAACTTTGAAGGATCTAGATCTGATGAGACAATACCAACCGTTTTCCCAAATTGAGTGGTGTCTTGTGAGCGTAGACGAATCAGTGAGGTTTGTTTTGCTTGCCTGTTGGTTGAATGTCGGTGGACATCACCGAGATGGAGTGTAGAATAAATGGCACCCGATATATAGTCGAGATTCTTTGGCAGAAATGACACGTATATACCGGAACTATCATGACCAACCAGATTCAACTGGCATCTTTGTGCCGTGTCAAAATTCAATTCATCACTAACATCTATTTCCACCGGCTCATCGCCCTTGTTTTGAATGTCAACTTGAACGAGGCCCAAGTTTATCTCTGACTTATGTGCAAGGACAGTGTATTTAACATCTAGCAAGCCCAACCAAGTGAATTGTGTTGTTACAATACCGGTGGAGAGCGACATATTTTGAACGTAATTTGTTATCTGTCCAATTCCATCGGGTGAGGACGGGTCCAACGTGTAATTTTTATCCCCTTGCAGAATTGTTAACTTCAATGTTGTCCACTGTGGTACAGCAGATGTCACACTCTCATAACCATTTTTCAAAAGTTCCGGAAAGTTGTTTCCAGTAGTATTTTCTTGAAGGTCATAAAACCCAGCAATGAAAGCTCCAGCAAACCTCTTGTCAAACAATGGCCATCCGTTATACAAGTCATCTTCTTTTGAATCAGGTGAGTCGGTTAGTTGATCATAGGTAAACCCCTGGCCCAAGTTGGGAATTCTGCTTCCAATGTACCCATTGGCAACGTAAGGTTGCTTTTGATACTGGTTATATTTGGAAAACTCAATGGAACCCACCACATTATTCTCTCGATCGTAGAATGCGTGTTCTGAAAATTGTACTTGGCTAAAGATTTCTTTGTTTGCAAAGCTGTTAACAAAGTCTGTGAGATTCGAATCTGACTCCTCCAAAGTGGGTTTCTCAAAGCGGGGTGCAACAAATGGGAAGGCTTCACAAAACTTTGTATTTAGTAGGTGGAGGCTGTAGAATAGTATAATATTAGCAACGATAGTCATAGATATGATATAAACCCTGTTACCCTTGAATAAATCCCTAACCTTGCTGGTTTTTGAACTATGTTTAGTATGGATGCCATAATTCTCTATGTCCATAGTATTTATATATTTAAATATATATATAAAAATGTGTGTGTGTGTGTGTGTGTGTGTGTGCTGATTGATGGGGGTGGTCGATGGTACAAAATCAGTACGCAAAGTGAAGCGGGTCAAGGTATATAGTTGTTAAATGCAAAATTTAAGAAACGAATGACGTGGGGAGGGATCTATAGCTTTTGCTTCTATAAGAAAAATTTTGAAAATTTCATATAGAAAAGTTATTTGTTTGTTTTTGTTGTTTGTGGTGGTGGTGGTGGTGGTAGTAGTAGTAGTGGAGAAGAAGTGATACAATCAACAGCAAGCTAATGCAAGCGAATTAAAATTTTAAATGTTGTGTGTGTGTGTGTGTGGTTGTAGTATTACAAATTAGGCAACTCAAAGATCTGTATGGCGTTTAAAAGTTGGTTTTGCTGTGTTTGATTGCGTGAGATTTTTTGTTTAACAAGAAATTAATTCCCTCTGGTTACAAAACCCAAACCACTTTCCTTTGTTCAAATTCGCCGTAACTATTTCAGTGTCTGTCGTGTTTATATGGCTTTCGACACTGGACTTTCACAATCTTTATGACACTTGCACCCGTATCAAGACTTTGCAGGACTACGACGGAAGCCAAATGAATTTTGGACTGGTCTCAGAAGGTCTTCTGAAGGTACTGAGTCACTTCCCTTTAGAGTGAAACGGTATGGCATAAGTGTGCTAGAAATCACTCACCACCACTCGTCTTTACTGTGGTGTCTCCAATAAACCAAACGTTTGAAATGGGCGTAAACAACCCAGTAAGGCAAGCCAGTTACTCTATTTAGACAGAGCTATTGTGGGGAGAGCTTTCATTGGAGCTACCCCCTACACCCAGTGCCATTTCTTGTCTATAGTTTACAGAAGTAAATGCTTGCATGAGTCCAGATCATTATCTACGCCAAGTAAAAAAGTTGAACATTTGTATTATTTAGAGACTTGGAAGTGACATCGGTACAATGGTAGATAAAACAATCAACTACTTTTTGATACGATATTGCATTGGCAACGTTGGTTCCTCTCTGCCAGCTTCCAACGAACAACCTGTTTACCTAACCGCAATCAGAAAGACGGTATACTGCTGTAGCTCGTCCTAACAGCCAAGAACGAAGGTTGCGTTCCAGAAGATCTGTTAGCAGCGCCATACACAGCAGTAAGAATGCTGAGGAGTCTTCTACAATAGCTTCATCATCTTCCCCATCGTTATCGGATCAACAAAACTCTGTTCGTTAACATTTCAAATGTTCTACACTCCCATGAACTGATCCTTACGTGCACGAAACTCATTTTTTAAAAAAAAAATTTTTTTTTTTTTTCCATCTTCAATCTCTGGTGAAAAATTTCTAATCTGAGTCAGGTCCCGCCATCAAACAAGCAGAGCTCAACAACATATTATATACAATATACCGGCCAGCTATATCACACTAAGTACCCATAATGAGCTCAACGAACTGCAGATTCTATGAAAACAAGTACCCCGAAGTGGACGAAGTCGTTATGGTCAACGTTCAAGAGATTGCCGAGATGGGTGCATATGTTAAACTTTTAGAGTATGACAATATCGAAGGTATGGTATTGTTATCAGAATTGTCCAGAAGACGTATCCGTTCTATCCAGAAATTGATTAGAGTAGGAAAGAATGAAGTTGCCGTGGTTTTGAGAGTTGATAAGGAAAAGGGATATATCGACTTGTCTAAGAGAAGAGTGTCAGCTGAGGATATTGTGAAATGTGACGAGAGGTACAACAAGAGTAAAGCAGTGCATTCTATCTTGAGACATTGTGCTGAAAAATTCAACATACCTTTGGAAAAGTTGTATGAAACCATAGGATGGCCATTGAGCAGAAAGTATGGACATGCGTACGATGCTTTCAAGTTCTCAATCACCGACCCAACCATTTTTGAAGGTATCGAGTCACCTTCAGAGGGTGTATTGGAAGAATTGAAATTGTACATATCGAGAAGATTGACCCCACAAGCAATCAACATAAGAGCAGATGTCGAAGTATCGTGTTTTGGATACGAAGGTATAGATGCCATCAAGCTGGCTTTGAAAGCGGCCGAGTCTGTGTCTACTGAACAAATGCAAGTCAAAGCCAAGTTGGTTGCTGCTCCATTATACTTCCTTTCTGTACAATCTTTGGACAAGAACCAAGGTGTACGTCTTTTGGAAACTGCTATTGAAAAGATTGTCGAAAGTATAGAACCCAATGGGGGTGTTTGTAAGGTTAACATGGCACCCAAAGCCGTCACCGCTACTGAAGACGCTGAACTTGAGCGTTTGTTGGAGAGTAAGGAAGCTGACAATAAAGACGACTCCGACGAAGAGGATGATGAATAAAAGTATTGTGCAACATAGAACCAAGTGAAATACAAACTTGTTTAAAAACGGCTTACCTCAAGCAACTCTATTCAGCTCTACCAAACCTGGCGATTCTTTCTTCTTTTTTCTTTGCCAACGCCTTTTGAACATCCTCACTTGTAAAAACTCCAAAAGGTTCATCGAAAAGAGGACCATCATAGACCGCAAGATCGGTATGAATCTTTTTCAATATTAGGCTGCCTTTGTTTGCTCTGTTGACAATGTCAGCGGGCAAGTTGGGAACCATCTCCTCAGGAATACGCAACTCGGTAACTGACTCTGGTATCTGAACATTCTCGAGTGATTTAAGTTCGGGATTACCACTCAAATCGAGGATCTTCAAGTTCTGTCCAAACTTGATACTCCGTATTGATTTCATGTCATTGTAAGTCAAACTCAATTGGGTCAAACTGTCTGGGAACTCATAGTTCTCGAGAATCCTAATACCTTGGTACCCTAGCTTCAAAATCTTCAAATTCGGTGGGAGATTGACGTCCCTCAACGTTATGATTTGCTTCTCGTTATCAAAAGACTCTGGGTCGTTCTCAATATCAAGGATCTCCAAGGAATCTGGAAACACAACATTTTTCAACGTTGTCAAGAGGTTATCACCCAAATACAATTCCTTAAGACTTGTAGGGAATTGAACCTTGTTTAAAGTTTTGATTTTGTTGCTGTTTAAATACAATGTCTCAATGCTGTTGGGCAACTTCAACGTGTTGATGCTGGTGACACCATCTTCAGACAAAACCAAATTCTTGACGTGTGGGGGAACCTTCAATCCACGAGGGGCTGTCATTGCTGACTGGAGATTCAATACTTCAAGCTGGTCGGGAAGTTTGACACCAACCATTGCATCATTGGGAATAGAGCTGGCGTCTAAGATCTTCAACAGAGGAGGGAAATAGACACCCTTCAAAGTTTCAATAGGGTTCATCGCGATACTAAGTGATTCAAGTTTTGGTGGCCATCTAACGCCAGATAAGGTATCGATTCTGTTGCAGGAAACATCAAGATCAGTCAATGATATGGGCAAGGGGATTCCATCCAATACATACATTTTATTACCCAGTAAATCCAAGGTTTCAAGAGTGTTGGGGAACTCAACCCTGTCAAGGTACACAAGAGCACCTTCAGCGGCCTCAAATTTCTTTAATTTAGGTGGAAACTTCATAGTCTCCAACAGACTCAAAAAGTAATCCCCGCTTATATTTAATGATTCCAATGACTCTGGATATTTGACATCAGCAGGAAACGAATCAAGACCACTAGCGGTGTAATCTAAATGCTTCAAATTCTTCCAAGGCTCAACATCCTGTTTGATTTCTTCGTCTGCTTTGGGGCCCAGATCCTCGTTACTAAACTTGTCAATAAATGACAAATGAGCAACTTTCGATCCACAAATCTCCTCTAGACTTGACATAAACTTTTTATATTGCGTCTTGTCGGTAGCAGTGTGATCTTTCCAACTCTTGCCCGGTTTGAAGAAAATGTGACATCCAACACTTGTGTGGTCTGTAAGAAGGCTGGAGTTGTTCTTGAGGAAATCAATAAATTTGGTCAAGGGATCCCATCTCCTTTCTTCGTAGCTGACCAAAAGATGAATGTATTCAAAGACATGTGGGAAACTGGGTTTCTCTTTACCCGCTTTGTCGATTTCGAAAATTGTAACCTCGGTGTTTTCCAACTCTTTCAAATCATCTGCAAATCTGACCTTGTGGTAATTCTTTGTGGAATCGGTCATCACCACCAAGCGATGTTTAGTTTCAAAACTAGTCATTTTTTGTTGTTATAGAAGCCAATTGCTGTGGATATCTATCGGTTAAAGAGTATTGATGAAGAGAATAAAAGTAGCAATGCTGTTGGTGTGTCTCCAAAATAGCAAGGAAATAGCTCCGCTTTTGGTCTATAATTCTCTACAAAGGAGAGACAAAATATAGATGAAAATAAAACAGGCTACACATTCGGAGACGAGAACACGTCTATGTTTCTTTGAGCCACGCGCTCTTTTCTCCTCGACTCTACGCAACTGTATATACTACACTATAAATACCTTATCCCATCGGTTACATGTCAATTATATATCTATAATACGGTCTATCTATACTTTTTTTGCTCTATGCTTTGCCTCCACCTATTGTGAACACGTGCGTAAACACGTCAAAAAATGGTACTGAAACTTGTGTGATGTCCACTTGGTCTGTATCTACCTCTCCATCCTTGTTTATGATCTCGTCCCTGGCCTTCAAATAACCTCTTATTATCAACATTGTGGTTGCACAAGCTAAAAACATGACACCAGTGAAAATTGAACAATTTCGGTAGCTTGAAGGATCAACTGTGTTTCCATTTCCTCTCACAAGCTTGACTCCGATCACGGGTGAGAATATACCAGCAACCCCCATGATGCTCCACACTTTTCCAAACACCACGTTCATTTTTCGCAACCCAAAGAGTCGGGCCATTAATGGAGCAATAATGGCATAGATACTTCCCATCAAAGCACCCTCAATAAGGGCAAACACAACAACGGTGGCATAGTTTCGTGCTGGTATCCACATTGCCAAACAAAATATTCCAACAACGTAATACGCAACAGTGGCCACCGAAGCAGCACCAACCTTATCTGACAAGTACCCAACAACTGGTCTACCAAAGAATGACCCCACCTGAACCATTGCCGATACTATAGCACCTTGATGTTCACTGTAACCTAAACTTTGTGTGAAATTAGCAAGTGTGTACAAAACAATGACGTAGCCAAATATACATGTCAATACAAAAAGCACGACCAAGTAGAAGCCCGCTGATTTGAACACTGTTGGGTCTATAAATTTGAACTCAATGTTATGCTTCGAGGCCTTGCTTTTAGCTAGCAAGATTGCAATCCACGTTAAGCCAAACCCAATTATACTTTGTGCACGCAATGCCCAATGCACCCCTGAATGATTAACTACTTTTTGCATCCCCAAATTGAAAACAACTCCACCCATACCCGATCCTGCTGCTGCTATGCCGCCGGCTAAAACTCTTCTCTTTTTGAACCATTGGGGTAGCAAAGTAATGGATGGAATCGAGAGAAATGCAAGACCAAAACTTTGCATCAAGCCTTGGGTCAAGTACAACTGCCATAGCTTTGTAGACCAGCTTGCCAACATCAAGGCTGTAAACTGAAGACAGTTTCCCACTATTAAAACGTTTCGAAATCCAAAAAGTCCCATGCACACAGTAATCAACGGAGAGCAAAAGAGGCCCACCCCAAATGCAATACCTCCAATATAACTGTAATCTAGCTTATCCGCTCCTTCAAACGTCAGATGTGATATGTAGTATGCAAAATATATGGCGAATCCTGAATTCATACCCCATGTACAAAAGTTGAAAAGAACACACGCGGCACAAACGACCCACGCATACCCACCATCTGTATTTGGGTCATGATCATCGAGAGCCTCTTTTGGTGGGAAGAGTTCTTCCTCTGGATCAACTCGTTTTTCATAGTCTTTAGAGTTGGATATGTCTATTCTTGCCGTATTTTCTGAAGAGCCGTCTGACGTCATTTTAATGTAAGCAGTGTGTGTGTGTGTATGTGTGTGTGTGTGTGTGTGTGTGTTTATTTTATTGATTATGTGATGTGTAGGTTAGATGAATCATACAATGGTGAAATGTCAGGGTAAAAGATGAAATAAACTAATGAATGCTTTTTATAGCCACATAAATATAAATATGTTCTGTATTGGTGGGTGTGGTTGGAAATTTATAGTGGTAACAATAATGAATAAATGCAATGAATGCATTGAATAAAATTTTCTCATATAATTTTTTACAATGGTGGTACAAAAAAAAGAAAATGTGTAAAATTTCGGTAAGCGGATCGAATATGTTTCCTTTTCCACAATGAGATCTACAAAATTAAACTCTATTCTAAAGGGGGACTCCAACCACTTTCGGAGCAAAGCGCGGTGATATAATAGACAGGGTAATACAATCTATACTTGCATGAGTCCTTCAACCATCTTTGTCTCTTGAGCGTGTTCCATTCATTTTATTCTTTTTTTTTTTTTTGGTATGGTTATAAGTTATGCGCTTTCGCAAACGGCCGAGTACGCACGTACGGATTTAGCTTGACCTTTAATTTTGACACAAGAAAATTGCCATTCACTCAACACGTCAAGAAAAAAAAAAATAAAAGAGATAAATGAAGGAATCGACGTCGTCTTGTTGATTCTTCGGCATATAGCCGAAAAGAAGAAGCTAACTCCGAATTTAAAAAAAAACTAGCAAACGATCTGCAACGGGCTTTGAATTGTGTTTGTGTAATTATTTTGCCACATACAATAAATCCGATATAAGTGCGAGATTAGCCGTGGGTATAGCCAAGAAAGTATAAATACCGAGGCTTTGCTCAATTAGTCACTTGAGAACAACTTGCTTTGAGACTATTGGTGATTGATGCGAGTTAATGAAGGTCAGAGAAAACAGATGGCAAGCAAGTTACCCAATTGCCTTGCTCATCAACGTTTTCACAAAGCATTCACGAGGAATTACCTAGTGCTAAAATTGGCCACAATCATCTAAGAGTTTGAAGGAGCATGCAATTGTAGTTCACAACTGAAAGAATAGGTCATAGTGAGATAAACAATGACTATGGACAACAGCAGCAAGAGTAGAAGAGGCAAAAAAAAGTAGCGGGGTGATCCGGGAATCGAACCCGGGACCGCCCGTAAGTCAGAAACAGTTCCCATAAGAGAACAGTTCTTGACCCTAAACGAGAATCATACCATCTAGACCAACCACCCGCATTAACTTAGACCCATACCGACCTAATTATTCAATCAGGTATAGGAAAATCAACTACGCCACAAGCGTAATTTTTCGGATTTTGAAATTCTACTTTACTAAACTGTACAAAATTTCAATTTACCTTCGACGAGATTTTACTTTGTAAAATATAGAAAGCCCTTAGTGCTTTGTCAATGTGTGGCCATGGCTCAAATTGAAACCAAATTTGTTAAACAGGGCTCGGTTTCTGAGGTTTCACTATTACTTTAGCTAGAAAATTGAGCATTCTTCAGTTTCAACAAATTTCGCTACGATTCATTGCAAAAATATTTCACTTCCAATTCAAAATCAGAAAGCAGTGCAACAAAATCTTCAAATATTGCTTTTTAGCCAGTGTTCCTGAGAAGAAAAGCAGCAAGTGAGGAACAACAACTTCCACTCATTCTTAAATAACACGTTACAGCTGGCAAGGGTCTTCCTCCAAAACGACAAAGTAAATAGTCTTGAGCAAAGCTATACTGTAAAGCAGAGCATTTTGAAGCACTGACCTCGGTATCAATTTTGCGTCCTTCAACCCTGAGCATTCATGTTTAGTTTATCGTTTTTCTTTGTAGTTTTGCATCCAATTGCAACACTGAATCAAACCACAAAAACCACTTCATCTGAAAAAAAAAAAAAATAAAAAAATAAAATAATCAAAACCAAAGAAGTCAAAACTGAGACCATCTTCACGAATCACATCCACAAATGATACTAAGGCATAAGCTCCTACATCAAGCCTTCTCAATAAGGTTACACTCTACCGTTAGCAATGTTGCACTTCTGAAAATACGAAACATTGGAATCATTGCCCACATTGATGCCGGGAAAACCACCACCACCGAGCGAATGATTTATTATAGTGGGAAGAGCTCACGGATTGGAAATGTCGACGAAGGGGATACCGTCACTGACTACCTTCGTTCAGAAAGAGAACGTGGTATAACTATTCAACTGGCAGCCACAACGATACCGTGGAACCAACACAAGATTAATATCATTGATACTCCTGGCCATGCTGATTTCACGTTCGAGGTGGTTCGTTCGTTACGTGTTTTGGATGGTGCTGTTACGATTTTGGACGCAGTTGCTGGGGTCGAAGCTCAGACTGAAAAAGTGTGGAAACAAGCGAGCGTGTTGGGATTACCGAGAGTCATATATATAAACAAAATGGACCGCCCTGGAGCTGGATTCAGCAGGACTGTGCGAGAAGTCATTCAAAAGCTTGAGACAAGGGTAGTATTGTGCAATATCCCGTACTTTGAAGTTGGTGCAGATCAGGAATACATTTTCAAAGGGGTTATTGATGTATTGCATGGTAAGTTGTTGAAATGGAAAGAAGAGGATAAATTCGGCAAAGAGATCGATGTTTTCGACTTGGGTGAGTCCAAACCTGAACTTTTTGAAATGTACAGCAAGGCGAGAGAGTCCATGGTTGAAACTCTAGGCGAGATTGATGAGTCCGTTATTGATGCATTCCTTGAAAACGATGAAGATTACTTGAAAATTTCACCTGAATTGTTAGACCTGGTAATTCGGAAAGCTACATTGAGTAACTTTTTAGCGCCAGTATTTTGTGGGTCGTCATTCAGGAATATTGGAGTGCAGCCATTGATGGATGGCATTTCCAAATATTTACCGTCCCCGTTGCAAACGACATTGCCAGATATCAAAAGTAAGAAGAAAGAAATTTCGAAAAAGATGGACGATACAAGAGGATTGATATTCAACAACGATAAGAACTTGACTGTAGGTCTTGTCTTCAAGGTTATGACACACGCGACAAGAGGCCCCATGACATTTGTTAGAGTTTACAGTGGAAAGTTGAATGCATCCACTAATTTGATAAATACAAGAACAGGCAAAAAGCTTTTGGTTAGAAACTTACTTGTGATGCATGGAGATGCACCAGAGGAAGTTAAAAGTGTTAGCGCTGGTGATATTGGTGTTATACCTGGATACGAGACCGAGTTCAAGACTGGAGATACCTTTGTTTGCAGTGCAGTGGGTAAAAAAGCTATGGGACCGATGGAGTCAAATATGACATTGATGCCTATCGATATTCCGCCGCCTTTGTTCAATGCTAGTATAGAGCCACATACTGCCGGAGACGAAGCTTACATGAGAAAATGTTTGGATATATTGGTGCGCGAAGATCCATCGTTAAAGGTGCATGTGGATGAAGAATTGGGACAAACGGTGCTTAGTGGAATGGGTGAACTACATCTAGATATTGTGCGTGAGAGATTGATTAATGACATGAAAGCAAAAGTTAATTTGCGTGACGTTGCAGTTTCTTTCAAGGAATCCTTTGTGGGTAGGACCGAGGCTGAAGGAAGTTTTGAAGCCGAGAATACTGCAGTCAAATTGATTGTTGGCCATGTTGAAAATTGCACCGACTTTGAGTCAGTGCCGGGCGCACACGTATTTGAGGATGAAAACAATGTCATAATCTTGCCAGATTCTGCTGCTTCAGAGCACGCCAAGACTGCTTTGAGTGATAGACGCTGGAAGTGTCCAAATTCAATAGAGGACTTGAAAGAGGCTGTGATCAATGGGTGCTTGACTTCGTTACAGATGGGTGGTCCACAGTTGGGTCTTTCATTGCATTCGACTGTAATTACAATAGACCATTGGGACGCACCAGTAGATAAGGGTGAAGAACTAGTTTCTTCCTTGATGAATGCAAGTAGACAAGCTATCCAATCAGTCAAAGAAGAGGTGTCCAACTTTGCAATTTTCGAGCCAGTGATGATAACAAAAGTCTATGTGAACTCAAATGACTTGGGCGAAGTTTCGCATGACTTGACACAGAGGTGTCAAGCTGTCATTTTAGCAGTTGAGGACGAATCAACACAAGATAGTGAGATTGCCGATTGGACCTCAGAAGTTGCTGAAAAGACCTATGTACCACCTGATTACACGTTATCGCGAGCCAAAGGTAAAAGTGCGGACTTTGCCAACAAGAAGATTATTATTGCCGAGACACCATTGAAGGAAATGATTGGGTATTTATCGAAATTGCGTGCTCTTACTCAAGGAAGAGCAACCTTTGACATGTCCTTTATTGGAATGAGACGCGCAGTTGGTTCAAGAGCAGATTCTATTGCCCGTGGGTGATTATCATGTATATAAAACTAGCTTGTCTGTATATAGTTTATAGTATTCAAGCCACAGATCCCAGTTGCATATATGTCTCTGTGTAACCAAAGAAATAAAAGAAGCCGAAAAGCGTAACAAACTCAGACAGAGACAGAGACAGAGACAGAGACAGAGATACAGACAGACAAACAAGAAGTGAAAGAAAAAAAAAAAAAATTATACGAAGAAAAAGAGTAAACAAAAGCTTATTCCATTATTGAATCTCTAAGACAGTGAGATTGATAGAGTGACCGTGGGAGCAGAGAGAACGATATTTCCCAGGCATTGCTATATAACACCAAGATGGATTTTGTTGATAGGGCGCCTTTGTCACTAGACAGGGATAGAGTAACGTGCTTGCTCTTGATCAATACCCATCTTATGAAGAAATGCAGCAACATGTACACCAACGTCATATGTAATCAATCATTAATGCAGCAAATGTCAAATGAGAATAGAGTCAATATTACTCAATCATACGCAAATTACATCAAGAGACTACAGTGTAACTTGACCACGTTGAACTATATATATGAGAAGTATCATGGCCTGCAGCAGCAGCAACAAGCTCAACAACATCCTCCAAGGTCCACATTTCCGGTGGTGTTGTCAGCTCCTCCAGATATGCCTGAACTTTTCCCCTTGTATGCCAAGTTACAGGAGCTCTATGCTGAAGCGTTGCAGTACTTGAGGATGAAGATGGAAGAGATGAAGAAGAATCAGATGTTGCAAGCTCAGTCTGGGAGAGTAGTAGGAGGAGTCAGAGCTGGAGCTGGAGCTGGTGCCGGAGCTGGGATTGGAGGTATGGGGCAATTTCAACAACCACAGGTAGTACAACCACAACAGCACCAACAGCATCCAAATTCAGTACCTACTCCTCAACAACTGGCTCCCACGCAACAGCAATTGAATATGCAGAAACTGCGGCAGCAACAGTTGCAGCAACAGTTGCAGCAACAACAACGACAACGACAACAACAACAACAACAACAACAACAACAGCAAACGTCACAATCGCAACAACCACCACTCTCCTCATCAGCTTCTCAATTCCAACAACCTTTTGACGACATGCTCCTCGCAGACACTTTTACAAACTCATCGTCACGGCCACCTCTGGGTTTGGGCATGAATCCCAACATAAACATGAACATGAACATGGATGTGAACCCCAACTTGAACATGAATACCGGTGGCATGGGTGGAATTGGTGGATTTGGAGGTGGCATGAATCCTGCAGCCAACATAGGAGTTGACTTCTCCAATAGCAACAATAATAACAGCAGCAGCAACAATACTTCAAATTTCAGCACCGATGGAGGAATTGGTGGCATTGGCGGGGTTAGTGGTGGATTGAGCAACGGCTCTAATTTCCAGATATCAACCTTATCTCCACAGCAAATTTTGCAACAAGCAAATGAAGCCAAGAGCAACAATACCAATAATATTGGCGGTGTCGGTGGCAGTGGCAGTGGCAGTGGCAGTGGTGGCTCTCAGCTCAACCTGAATGAATTTGGAATATTTTGATGAGGAGATTAGAAGTGGACATTGGGGCGAGGCGGTTGTTTAAAGATTGAGTATGTTTTGTATGTTTATCACCCCAAATCAAGGATACTTGTGTATCCTCTTTTGTGATGAGAAAAAGGAAGGGGGATTAGAGGGTAATGAATTGCAAATAACTTCAAGCGGATGTTGATGGAGTGGCCCTATTTGGTACTTAATGTTGTTAGATAATTGTAACTATATAAATTTTGTTAAATTACGCTCTCGAATTCAAACGTGTTCGGTTAATTTTCTGTATTTTGAATAAAGCTTGGGAAGTAAAAGAGGAGCTCTATTCTGTATTCAACGTTGAACATATATATATATATATGTACGCATGAATAATCGTTTATAAACAATGAATGGGTCATCTCTGATTGAACGAAACAACAGCTTCTGTCAATCTCCTCGTTCAAACTAAACAGTCAGGCAGTGATGGGTTTTCTGGACCAAAGGCAAGAATTATGACGCATTCATTCATCACACTCACTTTCATTGGTTGAGGAGGAAGTAGTGCAGGTTCCTATTACTTCCATTTAATGCACTCGGCGCCGAGATCTGAGCTTGAGCTGGAGCAGATAAAGTGGACGATGGCGAGGACGAGGAAGCCGGCTGTTGAGGACGGACAGATGGCGAAATAGGCGTTGGTTGTTTGAGGTCGTTCCGTACTGAATATTTTTGTGATACCGTCTCATATGATTGATGATGGGGCTTGAAATGATATTCTTTTGGTCCACTGTTTGTACTGCTATGTGTTTCTGTTTTCGAGTGACGATGATCTGCTGCACCGTTGCCGCTGTTGTTGGTGCCTATTTTGTTGTGTACCTTGTTGTTCGCAGTTGAGTCAGACTCTGCTTCACTATGAATATCGGAATCTGAATGTATTGCCGATCCTGACATTGAAGTTGATGGAAAATCCGAGTGTAGTAGTTTCCTTGAAAAGACTTCTTCTTTGGGCGGAGTCACAGCTGGCACCTCATTGCTATTGTCATGGTCACTTGTAGGTGAAAACGGTGAAGGTAAATTGGCCAATTGCTCAGATTCACCTCGTTTGTGAAGCAATTTCAAAGAAGCTGGTGGACCACCGTGCAAACTCGTACTTCTGATTCCCTTAAAATCTCTTCCATTACCATTATTCAAAGAGTCATGATTCATCCCCACCAAAATACTAGCAGCCTCCAACAATTGTACTTGTTGATGTTTTGAAATCAACAATTTTTTCGTTACATTCCATTCGGGTGTATGCTCCCACAAGTGTTTAGCTAGTGAAGATATATGTTTGTAGCCTTTACCACATGCTTCGCATCTCAACTCCTCCTTGACTCGGCCTGATTCTCCCTCACTAGTCCGACGAACAACGAAATCTCGTGAAAGCTTTGGCAAAGGGTGGCCATTCAGTGGTGGCGGAGACGTTATAGCGGACAGATCTTCTAGATGCTCCCGTTGTTGGGACTGAGGCTGCAGAGACTGCAGTTGAGCTTCTTGCCGTTGGTGCTGATGTTCAAATTTGTGATAATGAAACGGGTGTTGTTGTTTGGAGTTTACACCTTGTTCTGTAGAGTGATTTTGCTGATTCTGCTCATGGTGACTATTTACGGAAGTGTTTGGCTCTTGTTGTTGTTGTGAATACGAAGAGGAGGTACCGTGTGAGTGTATACTACTGTTGTAATGTTGGGAATGTGAGTGCAGCTGATTGTGCTTCTCCGGCTGTGGTAGATATTGGCGAGTGCTGTTCTCATGGTTATTATTGTACTGATTATACAGCTGTTGTTGTTGTTGTTCTCGTTCTCGTTGTTGTTGTGGTCGTGGCTGTTGCTGTTTGATAGGTATAGAATAAGGTGCTGAGTTTGAGTTCCTTCGATTGTAGTCAAATTGATGACTACTAGTTGTCATGTTTACTTAGCCCCTCCTCTTGGTGTGTGGTGTTCCGTGCAGTTGGCTTCTGAGCAGTGAAAAAGTTGAAATTGTCAGTTAATATGGTTATTGTGTGGATATAAGGTGCTGAGCTATCAATTTCAATGGAGTAATGAGTGATAGACAGATAGGTAGATAAATGGTGGAAAAATGAGTAAGGCGAAGAAGAAGAAGTAGTCTACATTCTAGTTCTCTTCAAAATTTTTTTTAATTTTTTTTTTTAATTTTTTTTTTTTTAATTTTTTTTTTTTTAATTTTTTTTTAATTATAATAATTACAGTCAAGTTCTCATGTATTTACGGAGATGTTCTCTCTAAGACAAAAGTTCAAGTATATTCAAACGATATAAAATTATTTGACTTCGCCATATCGACTTTGTCTTCTGGTACACCACGGGGCAGTACATGTCGTGAATACCAACAGCTTTTCTATGAGGTGCAAGAATACAAATAAAAAAAAAAAGAAGATTTAAATTATGTTTTGAGCGAATTCTTTTCTGCAATCTTCTTTGTATCACTTTAATTCTCTCAGACACACAACTGCTAAGTGAATTGAGAGACATAGAGACGAGATTGTTTGTATACCTGTGTGAGCCCAAAGGAGAGGTTGCTCTCAATGTAGAATAAGCGGAACCATCGTTCGACCCACACGCCCTACTTTTTCTTGTTTGAAGGAGGCAGTAAACTTTTGTTTCAAGCACCAATACTACATTACTTGCTCCACCTGTACATCACTTTGCTCTCTATAATATGAACAGTCCATATACACGACTGCTTGTCCCTGTGTATTTGTGTGGCATGATTGAGGAGTACGTGTAGTCTTTGCGGGGCCCTTATGTCGTGACTTCAATACGTAATTGGCTATCACGGAAAGAAATAAAGTTGTGTCTGTTTGTTTATTTTTTTTGTCTCAGACACAACCTCCCTGATTTTTACACGCGCATTTCGTACAACAGACATTAGTTTTACGTATACGCATTTCATTCTTTTGTACAACTAGATCTTGCTTTCCAAAACTTACTACATTTACTCTCCACTTCTAAAACTCATTATCTAGCATACCATCATCATCACCACCACCATCAATAGCAACATTATGCACTTCCACGGAACTGAAACCTTCTTGAGTAGCATACAATGTATCCTCAATCTTTTTCAACAATGTTAATACATCCAATTGTGAAACTAGTGCTGTATCACCTTCTATATTTTGAACCAATATCTCAATGTCACGACACTTGTTGAAATAGAAATTCCTTTCAACTTGTAAAGTATCACAATTGAGCTTGTATTCAGTCAATTGCGTCTCTAGCTGTTCATTTCGCTCGAGTAGTTGTTCAACTTCCTCATTAGTAATGTGATATCCATGGTTATTGTCACCATTGTCACCAGCATGGCCCGTATTGTTACCACCATTACCACCACCACCATTCATACTCCCATTTGTGCTGTTACTGCTGTTGGCATGCGAGTGACGCCCGTGATTACCGTTATGTGTGTAGACATTCACGGTAGCTGAGGGCGTAGTCTGAAAGGACGACAAAGTGTCACCACTACCACTACCACCACCACCACCACCAAGCTGCGAGGGTACTCTCCTAACCAGTCTATCCGAACTTCTTCTTGATTGCTGAACTGGAGTTGTGACTTTTGAAGAAGTAGTAGGAGTAACCGATTTCCTGGGTCTCACTCTAGCTGACATATTACTACTAGTATAGTTGGACGATAACACATCCTTGCTGTGCTGATTCTGTGGAGTAGATGAAAAATGACCACCTCCCCCTACCCCTCTCTCCTGCTCAATTGGGTCCAGATTCACTCTGTGAGTACCACTAAATTGCATATTGTGATCACTGCCGTAGCCACTACTACTTCGGTTCACAGTGTTGCCAATACGGGGACTTTGACTAACTTGACGCCTTCTATTAGCAGTAGTCGAAACCCCAGCAGGTGGACCTAATTGTTTCAAAGTTGACTTTTCATTCATAGTGGCATTGGGCATCAGATTCAACGTACTATAGGGACTGCTTCCACCGCCATTGACAAGTCCATTTCTTTTACTCAATGCATCATATTGTTTATTCACGTCAGCATTTTCATTCCAATATCTCTTGAACCATTGTAACAAGTCCAAATTATCTTGTAGTCGACACTTGATCAATCTTTCAACATCAATATTCTTGGTAATACGATGCTTATTAAACTCCAGTTGAAGTATCTTCCAGTTATGGCGATATGCATATTCAGTGTTGGCATTAAATTTCACCTTGTTCAAAGCAACTCCGCCCGCAATTGAGTCCATCAATTGACAAAATGCAGCTCCTGTGCCACATTGCTCAATCTTGGTGTAGTTCAAATCGAGTATGGTGTTGAGCCATTGCAATAGCTCTGTCCGTGATTCACCAACCACCATTATGTATCCATGTCAAACACACAAGTAGTCCGTCTTTGGAAGAGTCAAATCAATGTGCACTCAAAACAAGAATGAGCAAGATATTGCAAATGGAATGGAGACGCGTAGGTGTAAATCCCTAGTACTTCAACTGACTCAAGTTTAAGCTGCTCTCTGGAGAAATGACTTTGGTGCTTCGCGAATCTACCTGATGTGGTATGGTATAGGGCGATTATGAAGTATATGTTATGGTAGTCAAGTCACCCTGTAAACAAATGAAAAAAAAAAAAAAAACTAAAATAGAATACGCGTTGAAATTTCTTTTTTAACACATTTCCCAAACAAATCAACATACACGTAGAATGTGCTTACTTTTGTTGTCAATGTGTCACAACAATTGCTAGATTATGTGAATACAGAATCAAAAGTATCTCATCCAGCTCTACAGTTCTTTGATTACTCACGAAAGGAGCGATAAATGCGAATACAAGAAGTCACGTGATATATTGCAAATATTAGAGGTGGTAGCTTTGTAACACCTCTTTCCTCAACTACTAGAGTGATTAAATAGTGGGTAACTACATATGAGAGCATAGACAAAGTCCCAAATTTCTACAAAAGTATTGTTGTACGCACTCTGAGGAGCTCTATTATAAAGCTACCAACAAAAGGGTCTTCAACTATGATCCCATAATACAACAAGTCTACTGCAAAAGCCTCCAACACTTTCAAGCAGCCTTAACATCTCCCACAGTCCTCACATCGATCGTCAACTCTCACAATGAGTGAGTGGTTTATTATCTGCCCCTTCTTTCTATGCCTCTGTACCCTTTTGTACTAAAAGCTCACACTCGGCCTGCAAGCGAAGAATAGTGTTCTCTATTTGCGCAAACATGTCTAACATTAAAAGATCAGTTACACCCAAGGCTCTCGCACAGCGAACCAAATCGCTGACTTTCCTTGGTTCACGAAAGTATGTCCACTTACTATCACTCTCATCCAGTGCTTCCAATGAATCTTCTTCTATCAAACCGAAATTTAGAACTGCATGGCGGCTTTTGAATCCTTGACGCCATCCTCTCGACACTGTCCGAGAACCCTCGAGGTTCGCCACCAATAGCGTACTTGCAAGAATTCATTGCTTCTTTTAACGTGGCTGGTTTCGTCTCATTGATCAACGTCTTCATTTTCTCTGCAATGGCTTGTTGCTGAGCTTCAGATAACACTCTTTGTGAATGCGTACCCGTTTTCTTTTTGCTTGGTGGGTGGACTCGGCTCTGTAATGTCGAAAGGGGAATATTGTACTTTTCGGCAATTAATCGTAAACCAACCACTTTGTCTTCCTCCTTCCTCCTCCCCCCCCCACAATTGCTACGTATATATTCAAATTCAGCTTTCTGTAGATCTTCATTGGAGTATCTCTTTGTCTTGAGCCCACTCTTCTTGATTGTTTTAAGTGATTTACTCTTCATGGTTTGACCTAGAGAGGAGGAAGTGATTGTTGTTTTACGGTTTGTCCTGTGTGTTACGTTTCTCAGTGTTTATCATTCTGCATATAAAATACATGGTGCGTTGCAACTGCACAGCCTTCTACTCAATGACGCAATTCACTTAAACACGACAATCTAATGTCTTGTTTAATTTTAGTCATTTTTGTTTGTAAGATGATGACACTTTGTTGTTCTCCAATTCCAAAATTTTAATTTGTGCCTCCAGTCCCAATTCCATCGTCATCCCTACACAAAAGAGCAAGAAACAATACACACATAGCAATTATTTTGCTGTTTCGACATCAAACACATTTGCCAAGATAAATTGCACTTGTCATCAATTGAAACTTTTCCTCCAGCTATAAATAGAGACTCAATTGGATCCGCAGATAGAAATCGCTCCAGAGCAAACCCCTTGTGAGACCCCCTTCAAAAAACATACGAATTGAAACAGCCACCGCAATGTCATCATCCACCACCGGATACAAAAAACATCTTCAGGACCATCCAGACTCTTCTTCATCTGCATTGGCTTCTGATTCTGATTATGATGTCAATGATGCATCTTCAACAAGACCAAATCCGCCCTTGAGAAGATCCTCATCATTATTTTCACTTTCTTCGAAAGAAGATATCCCCAAACCAGAACAAACTGAATACTTGAAATTCATCAACGACAATAGACACTTTAGTTTGATTAGAAACTTGCATATGGCCGACTTCATCACATTGTTGAATGGGTTCAGTGGGTTCTATGCCATAATATCATGTTTGAGATATTCATTAACAGGTAAATCAAGTTATGTTCAAAGAGCCCATTTTTTCATTGTTTTGGGATTGTTTTTTGATTTCTTTGATGGTAGGGTTGCTAGATTAAGAAACAAGTCCTCATTGATGGGCCAAGAGTTGGACTCGTTGGCTGATTTGGTAAGTTTTGGAGTTTCACCAGCAACGATTGCATTTGCAATTGGGTTCCAATCAACTATAGATGTCTTGTTGTTGGCATTTTGGGTCTTGTGTGGATTGACAAGATTGGCTAGATTTAACATTTCAGTTAACAATATCCCCAAGGACAAGACTGGTAAATCACAGTATTTCGAAGGATTACCTATCCCAAGTAACTTGTTTTGGGTAGGGTTGATGGCTTTGTTGGTTTATAAAGACTGGATTCACGAGAACTTGCCGTTGGGCGTGGTATTTGCTGACACCCCTTATGAGTTTCATTTATTAGCAATTGGGTTTGTATTACAAGGTTCTGCTAATATTTCAAAGTCGTTGAAGATTCCAAAACCATAACTTGCCTGAAATAAGAGGCTTTACACTGATTTGATACGTATATAAAATAAAAAGATTTGAATATATATGAATGTGTATTAAGTGATATACGACTCAGAGCAAAGCTGAATTAAATGCTAGTAAAAAATGTCTCATAGACCCTGCTCAACCCACAACTATCCCGTCGATTCCATACTTGTGAGGCAAGAAGTTTCCAAATGTACAAGTATTTGACAGCGTTCACTTTGCTATATGCATGATTTATACAGTTGCGAGAATCTACAACACCATTGACCAAGTTGAAAACTCCTCAATTCGATTCGATGCAGCAACCGATACACTACAAACTTGGATACATGGATGAGTTTATAGATGACTTGCTAACACAGGAGAGGGTCGTTGATATCATCATGCCTCGACTCATCTCGAGATTGAGCTTGGTGGAACGCGGACTAGTTGCCCCTCGACACTACTTTGTTGATGAGACGGTGCAAAAGGTGGCTACAAGCCCGATCCAAGACGCTGTACATAGTGACACTGAAAGTTCGTACCAAAGTGATAGCGACTAGCATTTAATAGAAAGCAGTGCTTGATGAGAGTGATGTAGTTGCCTCCACATCAGCCAGTGCCTTTTTCCTCAGCCAACCCCACCGACGTCATAGAGTCAAAAAAAAAAACCGAAAAAAAAAAAGACAAACAACCGGAATTTTTTGCAGATTAGCTCATAGATCTTGACACCAGCTACGCACCTCTTTCCACAGATTAATGGCGATAACGAATCTTCTAGATGAGGCAGATCGGCACTCCGAAGCCAGTATCCACGCCACTTCTAGGACAAAGGTCATTTTTGTTGTCGGACTATTCATAATTTCATTGGCTGCATTTGTATGTCAAACAGAGTTCACTTCACAAGCATATAAACTAAGATTCAGTGAGCCGATTTTGCTATTGGCAGTGACGCATGGACTGTGGTGGCTCTTGTGGCCGTTTCAAGTGCTCTTTGTTTCTGCTTGGAGGACTATCAGTAAATTGAGCAAGCGGGACAAATCAGTCAAGGTCAATACTGCGATGGGGAATATACAATACCAAAGACTAAGTTCCACATCAGGACTTCTCGAAGAACTGGAACAGCCACAACAGGAAGTCCCCATACAGAATATCAACTATTGGAGGTACTTCAAAAAGGCAATTGTCAAACAGTTCCACAACGTCTACCACACCTCGGTGCTTATCTACGAAGCTAATGTCAACGACAACAAATCAACAAAGCATCTTAACGAAATCATTGAAAGCAATGTCCACATTTCAAACTCATCTTCAATAAGCGATTGCGTTCGCACATTTTTCCAAGCACCAGCCATCAAACACATTTTATTCAGGACGCTGATTGTAACGACCGTGCTTACCGTAGCTGGGTTCACGTGGTATGGTGCCATGTCAATGACGTATGCTGCTGATGTGACTGCGATTTACAACTGTTCCGCATTCACTGCGTATGCCTTTGCCATTCCGCTCTTGAATGAAAAGTTCTCTTGGTTGAAAGTGAATTCGGTGATTATAGCATTGGTTGGAGTGTTTGTTGTCTCGTACTCGTCTAGCAGTGGTGTTGGTGATGCTGGAGGTGGTGGTGGTGAAAACCCCTACCCGTATCGGTTCTGGGGTAATCTCATCATCTTTGTTGGAGCGATATTGTACGGATACTACGAGGTATTGTATAAGAAGTACCTTTGCATACCAGCCCATTTGTCCAAAATCATCACACCTAGGAGGCAGCTGACGTTTGCAAACTTCATCATGGGAATAATGGGAGCTTATACATTGGCGTTTTTGACACTTGTCATTGCGTTTTTGCATTTCACGCATATACACAGAGTCAATTTTTTCAACTATGGAGACAACACCAAAACCATATGGCTCTATATATCTGGCTCGATAGTCAGTAATCTTTTATTCAGTGCATCGTTCTTGTCGTTGATGGCATTGACCAGCCCTGTCTTGTCCTCAGTCAGTTCCTTGACCACCATTTTCCTCATTGGTGTTGTTGAGTGGGTGGTTTTCGGAAATGCGTTGGATTTGCAACAGTTGATTGGAGATTCGTTTGTCATTGTTGGTTTTGCCATGTTGACTGTTGCTTCATGGAAGGAAATCAGCGAGGGCAATGAAGATGACGATGTTGAGGCTGTAAGTACGTACTCTTTTGCCGTGAGCACTGACGGAGATCATTAGAATACAAGACGCTTATTTATGTTAGAGATCTCTTTTGTGACTGTGGAGAGAGCCATATGTGCACCAAAGGTGCAAAAAAAAAAAAAAAAGAAAAAAAAAAGAAACAGATTGAGAAACAATAATCGACACCCTCTGCAAGCGCATTTTGCCACCACTAATTCAGCCATAGATCATCGCCGCCCACAAAAATGACAGTTGACGACCATGATGTTGCAGGATTCCAGGGGTTGATGAGATCATTGAACTTGGATTCTAGTGAGTTTAAGCAGTACGATCCATCAAGCTTTCCCACATACAGTTTTGAGCAACTACTGAATTTGAAGCTTGAGATTGAGTCTCAGTTGAGGATACTCTTTAATTTGCTAGAGCAAAAATACGGAGCCAATATGGAAACGAGATTAGTCAGTTCAGACGGGTTTCCTAGAAGCGATATAGATGTTGTGTCCATCAGGTTGATTCGAGTCCAGATTATTCGATTGAAGAATGACTACAAGGAGTTGTTGAAGGTGCTAGACTCCAAAGTGGCGGAGGAGTTTTCAAGGAGACAAAGTGAAGTGGGTGACGAGCAAGTACAAACTGAACTGAGGCAGCCGCAGCAACAGCAGAAGCGACTGCAACAGCAGGCAAATCCCACGATCCCATTCGCGCAAGTCAAAGAGGTTGTGTCAGGTGGTCCTGCTGAGTCGGCAGGCTTACACGAAGGCGACTTGATCATTGTATTTGACAACGACATACATGCACTAAATCACGATAAACTATCTAAATTGGTTGAGAGGGTGAGGGCCAAGCCTGGTGAAAAACTACTGGTGTCTATCAAACGTGGTGACAAAATCTTGGATTTAACTCTAGATACCAATGCAACGTGGGATGGCAAGGGAATCGGGTGTCGTATTGTACCTGTGTAAGTTCCGTTTGAAGTATAGGTTAATTCAAGGCAATCTCTCAGCCCCCGTGTAAAGTACTTGTGAAAGTCAAGACGTCTCCACTTTCAACAACATATTCTTCCATGCCCTCTAACTCCCAGTCTGTGTCGTTTATAAGCACCAAGATCCCCGGTCGCACAGTGTCATCTTCAATAAAAACAGGTATATCCTTGGGATCTGTGATTATGTTATCGCATATATATTTGATTGCATCTTTCATCGTGGCTTCACCTTCTTCAAGCGGGAGCACTGCTTTATGTTCTCTTACTGATGACGAGATGACATCGAGACCTCCGAGGAACTCTACTTTGACTTTGATGGTCATATCTGCGTGAGGGGGAAGGGGCACTTTAGCTGCTAGAGTAGATGATGATGATGGTCTTGAAAAAAAAAAATAGATAAATAAGACAAAAGAAATTTGACAACCATTTCAATGTCGCGACTAATCCTTAACCGAATAACACGACACGTACTCTTTTTTCATATTTTTCCCTTCTGTCGACTTGTCATTTGCGTTGAAAAATAGACTCTCAAGGGTATTTCACACTGCAAAAGAGCATACCCAGCCATGTTGTCCTTTATATATATAACACTTGCAATATTGTTTCTGACCATTGTCAATGCGGCCACGGTGTCAAATAAGGACTTTGCTTTGGTCATGTACGATCCAGCCTTGATTCCATTAAACGATTCAAGTGCCACGCTATCTGGAGAGCTCACCCAACTAATTACTTTTTTAAACATCCACTACGATACAACCCTTAGCCCATACAGTGATGACGAAGTACTGTTGTTTTATGATGATTACCCAAGATTCGATCATTTGGTTCTACTTCCATCGCTGAAGAAGGCAATTGGTGCCAAGTCAGGTTTAAATCAGCATCAATTGTTGAGATTCATCAACGAAGGTGGTAATGTTTTTGCCGTGGGAGGATCGGAGGCTGCATTGCCTGAAGGAATCAGAATTTTTTTGAATGAAATAGGTATCCACCCAGCTCCAAAGGGATACAAGTATATTGATCATTTCAACTCCAAAGATGGAGTTGTTGAGTTGAAGAATGAAAACTTGATTGCAAATAACAGAATAGTGGACAATTTAGGCGCCACCAAGTATACAGGTAGTGCCGCATTGATTTCGAATAATGAATTGATCCAGCCAATTGTAAAATCTACCAAGACTGGCTATACCAATAAAGCTGGCCAAGTAATGAGCGACGAATTCACCTGGACTTTTGGTGAACAAGGATTTTTGGCAGTAGGATTCCAAGCTTTGAACAATGCCAGGTTAGTTTGGGTAGGGTCAGAGGAGTTGTTAGTTGATGATTCATTGTACAAGTGGTGCTTCCAAGACTCTGGAGTGATCAAGTTGCAATTTGTACACCACATCAAAGCCAATGAACCAGAAAAGTTGAATCCACACTTATACAGAATCAAGGATCAAGCAATTTACACAATTGGTGTTTCTGAATACAAGGACGGTAAATGGGTTCCGTTTGAAGTAAAGAATGAGGGTGAGCAGTTGCAATTGTCATTTAAAATGTTGGACCCATACCAAAGATTGAATTTGAGTCCGTTGGGCCCAGTTAGCGCTACTGAAAACAGTAATGAGTTGGATGCTTATGCATACTTTGTCAACTTTACTGTACCCGACCACCATGGTATGTTTACATTCGAGTTGGACTATAAACGCAATGGATTGAGCTACATCTTGGATAAAAAAGTTGTGACAGTTAGACACTTGGCCAATGATGAATTCAAGAGATCATGGGATATCTCAAACTCGTGGTTATACATCGCAAGTACTGTGTTGGTTATTCTTGCTTGGATCTTCTTTGTTGTCTCGTACTTGTACATTGGCAGACCCAACCACGTAAAGAAGAACATCTAAATAAATTGGTTACCGTTTATAGACTGAAAGTAGAGGTTCAATGCATTGACAAAATTGACCTGTCTTGAAAATCTTCCTAACATTAGTTAGTATTTGACATTGTAATGAAAGCACTGCATATTGCATCCCCACCATCTTCAATATTCAGATCTGTTTTATTTCTACTATCTTTTAAAACAACTATCTTCAATGTGTGAAACTCAGTTGTCCCTATCAAATTGTTCATCATAAAGAAGAAGATGGCCATGAGTGTGCGTCCAGGTGACAAAAGATCACATACCTTTTCAACAATACATCAACAGTAAATGCATCTTGCTCAGAAGAAGAACCAAAAAGGTTTGAAGAAAAATTTTCCTCAAGTCGTTTTCGTGTCTTTTAATATTTTCACACACACACACACACACACACTCTCTCTCTCTCTCTCTCTCGAGATCCGCAGGGGACGGACGCAGAACTTTCAGCACGAGACCAGACCGTCATATTATATACCACACAAACCAATTGAGATACAACTAGATTATTCCCTGCATTCATGTTTCATCTAGCGTCCTCACTATACACCCAATACACTAAGCGAGAGCAATACAATGTCCTCATTCTAGGACTAGACAATGCTGGCAAAACGTCGTTTCTCGAGCATATAAAACTACTATACCCATCGGCAAACGCATCCTCCTCTTCTGATAAGAAATCGCATAGTTTAACAGCTCGTGTTAACATCGGAAGCGATGACACTTCTCATGACAACAATGCCAATACCGAATCAAATACTCAAGAACGATCAACAACGTCGATTTTGAAATCTAAGCGGATCTTGCCTACAGTGGGACAAAATACAACAACGATCAAATTCGAAGCTTCGGATAAACTGTCACCCTTTGCATCTCAATTCAAAAATATTAATCTTAAATTTTGGGATTTGGGAGGTCAGCGATCATTACGAAATATGTGGTCCAGATATTACAAACAATGTCATGGGATTATATTCATTATCGATTCAACCGATACCGAGAGATTTCAAGAGTGCTATGAAACATTGATTGAAATAGCTCATGATGATAGCTGGCTTATATCGGGAGACAATGATGCTGAGCAGACTATAGGCATAGATGGGACGGTTAATGTTCCGATTTTGATGCTTGCTAATAAGCAAGATCTACCACAGGCAGTTGATTTAGTGAGCTTAAAGACGGGAGTTTTTATTAAATTGGTGAGCGAATTAGAAGCTACGGATTCGAAGCTTTTGCCTGTTAGTGTGTTGGAGAACCAGGGGTTGAAGGAGAGCTTGGAGTGGTTGGTGACGCGGTTGATTTATAATAAAAGCAACAAAGTTCCGCAGTACAGCTAGGAGAGAGTATGTTTAAGAAGAAAGCTTCATAAACTTTTGGTGCTGCTCTCATGTTGGGTGTTTAATTAGACCATCCATGAGTGAATAGTGAATTACCTGGTGTGCTAGAAGATTACACGTCGACACCACGCAGTACGCCCACTGCCAACCCCTAAGTGCATCAAGTTGGACTACGATCTCAATGGAATTGGAATGTACGAGGTACTCTGTGATCAGCTATGTACTCTCTATTACTTTGTCTTAGTAAACTGGCTAATAACCCCATATAGATTAGAAAGGCAGCTTCGTCCATATTTTGCAACATTGGCTCATTCATTTCTCTCTACTCCATGGAACAGAGTTATGGGCTTGCTGTATACCGTTACTTTTTCTTTTTTTTTTTTTATTTTTTTTTTTAGTTCCTTCTACCACCGTCTGCACGTGCAGTGTGTGGCACAGTGTCAAGAAGAAAAGAAGATATGACGTATTTTGTTAAATGAAGGTTTCTACCATACACAAAACTGGGGTTACTGGAATAATACACTGAAGGAATCCCGAATTATACGACATCCAAAGGGAAGAACCAGTCAGCAATTGCCGCAAAGACGCGAGTTCCCCACCACTCTTGCAATTTGTATCTTGAGTAGGTACCAAATCGGAAAAGGCTCGAAGAAGTCCTTCAGCACATGCACAATTGTTCTTTTATTATTTTTTTTGCTGCTTGAGAAACGCTGCGCAGGGAATGAAATTTAAACTTAATGATGCATTAATAGTAGTTCGTACTAGCTTTGGTATTACGTAGGAGGTGCGGGTCTACAAAGTTCATTTGCTTCCGGGGGATATTGTGTTGTAGTATACAAGTGGACGTGGACCAAAACTGGAGTAACAAACAAACACAAGTATCAAACAAGCACTTCGACCCCATCTCATTGGCAAATGCGACTAAAAACAGCGTTACCTTCTAGCCTTATGTCATATACTCGCATTGTCCTGATGGTTAATGTAGGTTGGCATTTAACTCATCGTGCATCGGTTTTTTTTTTTTTTCTTCAATTTTGTGGAGTTTAGCAAACGAAAAGCTGTACAAAAGAAATGAAATTGGGAACGTCTTTTCTTATTGTCACCCACGTTGGCACGAGAAGCTGGCTGATTTCGGAATAGGGCTACTCGAGGAAATGAAGTGTCTGTGTAAGCAATCATCAGAAGAGATCGAAAGTTACGAGAAATAAAGATCTATACGTTTCGTGAAGCTGTCGGAGTCTTTACAAAACAAAGAATCAAAGCAATGTGCTTTGAATGTTGATGAATTGTGTGTATTGCTCCTGCCGCCAAAGAACAATAAGAACTAGTGTTCTCATTAAGAATCTTAGTTTGAATATGAAGTGGGGGAATTGTATCAAGATGATTGAAGAAAAAGAATGACTCTATCTCTCTTTTTCTCATTCTCTCTCTTGTATAATTTTGCAATTTGAAGGAAGAAGGGGAAAACAGGGGGAAAATTTCATATAAGCACACACACACACACACACACACACACATATATATATATGTTTGTGTATTGAAGAATAATAGTAATAATAATAGTAATAATAATAGTAATAACAGTAATAAAGCATAAATGTATATAATGTATATAATATGTAATAAATCTAATAGCAATCCTACAGCAAAACTAATCATCCACCTTTTTTGTTTGTTGTTTGTTGTTTGTTTTTTTTGTTCTTTTTTCTTTGAACCACATTTCAACACTTTTCAGTTTTTTATTCACATAGCAAGCCACATATTATTCTCATTTATAAGCAATTTGCTCTTTAGCATATAAAAGCACACACAATTGCCTTTCCAATTGCTATTCCAAAAAATTTATTCTCCAATTCCACAGTTTTAACCACAAACTTCAGCATCATACTTATCCACTACACGTTTTAGTTTATACCAATAGCACACTACAAACGCTCAATCTGAACTAATTGCACATTTCCAATTCAAGTCACTTGTTGAGAATAGACTACTTGCATCATTGAAAACGACAAGTTTGAATAAAACATGAGTTCGGAAGGTAAATTTTTCACCAAATTGAAGAAAACTTTCAAAGGGGAGAAAAGTAACGAATCTTCGCCCAATTCGTCACCTAAAACCTCTAAGTCCGCATCAAAGAAAGAAACCAACCCAAAGAAGGAGAAGTTGCTTCAAGAAGCTCGAAAGGAAGGAGAAAAAGTATTCCATCGTAAGCACGACGAAACCACTGCAGCAGCAGGCAGTGGAGGCGTTGCTGCAGGTACAGCTGGTGCAGCTGGTACAGCGGGTACAGGCGGTGCAACTACAGCGACTACATCGTCTTCAACAGCAGCCAACATTGGTAACAAGGAACATGACAACATCCTCAAGGAAGCTTGGGAAGAAGGACACAAGCTATTCCATCATCAGTCCAAAACAGGAAACACCGGTGTTCATGCTGGTGGAACGGCACCCGCAGCAGCAGCAGCAGCGGGTGTTGGAGGCTATGGTGCATCTGGCCACCACAAGCACACCCCAAGTTCCGGATACGAGTACAGCTCCGATCCAAATCATGTTGTTACCAGCTCGTCAAAGGGCCGTGTGGTCTCATCTCCACCAAGACGTTCAAGAGAGCCACTTAAATATGAAGTTCCCGGAGATTTCAGCAATGAAAAGAGTCCTACTGATCCAACGGTTATTGAAAAGTCAGAGAATCAGCAGTCAAATACCGCTGTAGTTACCAACACCAATCCAGCGTATAGTGATGATGCCAAGCCAGCAAAGGGTCACGGAAAGTTTTTTGATCCAAAAGATACACAAGGTGGTGTTCTTGGTGCTGCTACAGCCTCGGAAGGATCTGCTCAAGCTTATAATGAGGGGGATTTCAAACAATCCCATGAGGAAGCAACTAAAGCTAAATATATCGACACTGATAACTTGAAAACAAAGCCGGTAGTTTATGAACAGGAAGAAAAGGCAAACCAAGCTTTAGAGGAGATCAAGCAGGAAGCGTATCGCGAGGGAAACAAACAAGGTAGAAAGGATACACAAGAGGATCCTTCCATTTTAGGATCTAGACAAATTGGTGGAAGCGGTACCACAAATGATGATCAAAATCCTGACAAGGAAGCCATACATCAAGAAAATAAATCTGCTTACAACAAGGATGGTATTGCTGGTATTCTTGAGAAAGAGCAAGGCGAATTGCCATCAAAGTCGAAGAAGCAAGAATCACACTCAAACACTATTGAGACTGGTGGTGCAGTTTTTGGTGGTGCAGGTGTTGCCTCTGCAAAGCAAGACAACTACGATCCCGCTGATGCTGAGAGAAGAATCTCCGACCTTGACAAGCAGATTAATCAAGCTGACAGCAAAATTGCCAAATTGAGAAATGACCCTAACAATGCGTCGACTTTTGCAGTCCGTGATGAGCCTATCAAAACACCCAAGTTGGATGATGTGCACGATGAATATGATCATTCTGATGGTCATGATGAGTTTGCCGATGCCCAAACAGATACCAACACTAATGACAATGCCAAGTCGGGCCAAGGCGTGTTGGCTGGTGCTGGTGGTGCATTGGCAGCAGCAGCAGGTTACTTGGGCTATGGTGCAGCAAACAAAGATCAAGACCGTGCAAATCAAGGTGTTACTCCCGGCCAAAAACAAGAAACCTTAGACGCCTCTTTTGCGGCTGGTCAGCAACAATTTGAGAATGAGCACGCTGGTGTTACATCCAGAGACACCACAACACAAAACCAAGAGGGCCTTGTCGGTAAGGCTGCTGGATTCTTGGGATTTGGAGGAAACAAGGAACAAACCCAAGCAAACGAGGGTGTTACTTCTGGTGAAAAGCAAGAGACTCTCGATGCATCTTATGCAGCTGGTCAGCAACAATATGAAAATGAAAAAGCAGGAACTGCAACTAGAGGTGCCCCTGGTGAAGAACAAGGAGGTATTGTTGAGAGGGCAGAAGAAGTTATTGGTGGAGCTACCGCTGCAGCTGCTGGCTATTTGGGTCTTGGAGGACCACGCAATGCCACAGAGGGACACAAGCAACTACTCAAAGAGGCTCATGAGGCGGGAAAGAGAAAGGCAGAGAATGAGAGACAGGGAGCTGCTTCAAGACACACCGGTCAAAATCAGGAAGGCTTTGTCGAAAGAGCTGAAGGTGTGATTGGAGGGGCTGCTGCCGCCGCCGCTGGGTACTTAGGATTAGCACCTCGTGATGCTGAGCAAGAACATCAACAGATTCTTAAGGAAGTCTACGAAGCTGGAAAGAGAAAGGGAGAAAACGAAAGATTGGGAAGTGATCAAACTTCCGGTCTGTATTTGGATGGAGCCAAACAGCGCATTGGCGAAGCTTCTGCTACAGCTGCAGGTGCCCTTGGCTTGAACAGCTTGCAAGACTCGAAGGAGTCAACCAGTGACCCGTACAGCAGAAGTAAGGATGCCACTCAATCTCAAAACTATGGCTCTAAAGGGGTTTCTGCTGATCAAAAAACAACTGAAAGAAGAGGGCAAGGTCCATCAAGCACTTCTCAGTCTTCCAACCAGGGATACTTGGCCTCAGCAGGTGCAGCAGTTGCAGGTGCAGGTGCTGCCGTTACCGGTGCACTCGGGTTGAGTGGTAGTGGCGGTGATGGACACAATCCTACGGCTGCTGGTGACTCGTTAATAAAGGACGCGGAAGAGGTTGATCCTTCTATTGAAAAGTTGCCACCTCATAAGGTGAACAAGAAAGAGTTGGAAACGGAGGAGTCTCTTGGTCCTGCTGCCGATCAGTATGAGACTGAAGTTGTTGGCCTGAACAAGGAAAAAGTTGAAGACAAGCAACTCAAGGCGGCCGAAGACAGTGTCAGCAAGTGGAACAAAGAGCATGGATTTAAGAATCCGAAAGAGTCTTTGATCCAAGAAGCAGAGGAAGCAGACCCAGCCATTGAAAAGTTGCCACCTCACAAAATTGACAAGAAGGAACTTAAAGAGGAAAAGACACTTTCCGCTGATGCAGACCCATTGGAAAAAGAACAGGTTGAAGATACTCAGTTCAAAGACATTGAGGATGATGTTGCCGCATACAACAAAAAGCATGGGTTTACCAATGTCAAGTCTTCGTTGATCGAAGTTGCCGAAAATGCAGATCCTAGCATCGAAAAGAAACCAGCACATAAGGGACAGTCAGTCGATAAGGAAGTTGCAGGCAATTCAAATGAACCGTCAGGTGGTGACGTACAAAGCTTACCAAGTAAGTATCCATCAGTGACTGCAGACGAAATCAAGAGCTCTGCTGGTGCTGGGGGAGTTGGAACCAGTGATGCAACAAGTAAAAAGTCTGCCGATACTGGCAAGGACAACGATTCCAATACACGTGAAGTTTCAGACAAAGACCACGACCACAAGAAAAGTTCGATTGCCGATGTCGGAGCTGGAGCCGGAGCCGGAGCCGGAGCTGCTGCATACGGAGCTACTCATGAGAAATCATCGGAAGCATCCAAGCCAAAGAAGTTGGACGATTCATTGAAGAAGTCCCTCTACGAGGTGGGTTATTCCAAGGGTAAAGCCGAAAGCGCACGCTCCAACAACAAGAAAGGTGTGTTGGGAGCTACTGGCAGTGACTCTACTGATTCATCAAAACAAAACAAATTGGATGATTCATTGAAGAAGTCCCTTTACGAGGAAGGATATGCCAAAGGCAAATCTGAACCATCTGGATCTCAAAGCAAGAATGTTTCAGGCGCTTCTTACAATACTACTCAACCACTCAACCGTTCAATTGGAGATTCAAGCTCACATGTCGGTCCTGCAGCTGGCGCCACAACAGCTGGCACTACAGCTGCGGCTGTCGGTGCTGCAGATGCTAAACATGGCGCCAATCAACTGTTAGACAATGATTTGAAGAAGCAATTGTATGCGCACGGCTACAAATCTGGCGCTGCTCAATATCAAAGCATTGATCCAGATTTGAAAAGGGAATTGTACCAAAATGGTTATGCAGCTGGTCAAACGCATCATCAATCATCCACGGGGGGTTTTGGATCTGGTAGCGGTACAAGGGGTACTGATTCCAAGTTGGATTCGAAACTCAAACAAGACTTGTACGAACACGGGTATGCTAAAGGCAGCACCGAAAAGAAGGCAGAAAAGGACGATCACGTTCATGGTAGGTCTTATGGAACTTCGAACAGAGAAGCTGCTATAGTTGGAGGTGCTGGTGTAGGCGCTTTGGCGGGCGGCGCTTTGGGCAGCACTTCTCAGCCCCAATCAAACCAGAAGTCTTTGCACGCTCCAATTGATGGTAGATCTGAGTTGGTTGATGAGACCACTGCTCACAAACAAAGAGAAGACAATAGTAACAACTTGGTTGTTGAAGTTGTCGGAATCGAAGATCAGGAGGAAGCTTTGAGAACTGCTAGAAACGCTTCAAAGAAGTTGGACCAAAGAGGAGTGGATTTGTCTTCTGGTAAATTGGTCATTGATGCTAACAACAAGGAGATATACAAAGAGGATTACGTTAGTGAGAGGGAGGTTCCTGGACGTACATCTGGTGCATCAAATGTTATTGGACAATCAAGAACTGAAGGGTTCACACAGGGAGTTCGTGGTTTGGATACGGCATACGAAGGTGATGGTTCTGGTGAACAGACCAATATTTACGGTGGTCAAAGTGCTTCCTACACCCAAGGTACTGCTGCTGCCAATGTTGTCGGACAATCAAGAGCCGAAGGTTATATTCAAGGTACGCAACATGGTAAGGACACCACTTATGAAGGTGATGGTGCTGGTCAAAAAACAAACATCTATGCTGGACAAAGTAGAGGTGCTGAGCCACAAGTTGTCGGACAGTCTAGAGCTGAGGGTTACACTCAAGGCGCAAAAAATACCGATACCTCTTATAGAGGAGACGGTGCCGGTAAGACGACTGATGTTGCTCCAGGAGAAGATAGAAATGCTGCAATTGCCTCCATTTTGGCATTGGACAGAGAAGCTGCTCCAGGTGTTACTTATGGTGATGGAAGTCCTGTTCCAGATCTCAAACCTGGTGAGTGTCCTTATTTCAGTTCAATTGGCCAGCCTACCCCAGGTCCAGCCAGTGAATATCACAAGGAAGGTATTCCAGATCAAGGTGCGCACGCAGGCGTTGTTCGCGAAGCTTATGCCGAGGGTCTTAAGCGTGGCCATCATGCTGCTAGTGGAGCCTATGGACAAGGAGCTAGCGGAGCACATGGAGTTGATACTTCCTATGAAGGTGAAGGTGTTGGTGCAAAGACTTGTCCTTACACTGGAGCTCAAGTGCAAAGCACACCAAGTACTGCAGGTTATTACGGTGATGGTCTTTCTGGACATGGCCAAGGTAGTCATGGTGCTCGCGGTTTTGACACTTCTTACGAAGGGGATGGTGCGGGTGCTAAAACCTGTCCATACAAACCTACTCTGGGCCAATCCTCAGATCAATCTGAATTAGCAAAGCAGAGATTGCATGAAGCAGCAAGACAAAATGCTGGATTGTCAGCTACTGGTGCTACTGGTGCTGCTGGTGCTGGTGCCGGTGCTGGTGCTGGTGCCACTAAGGAGCTCAACACACATGAAAAGTCCTCAAACAATACCAACAAAGAAGATGAAGATGAGATATTTGTAAATGTCAAGGGTACCAAAGACAATGCAATTGCTACCAAGATTGCCAGAACTGCTGTTGCCAGATTACAAAAGACACATGCGTCAATCATCTCCAAGGTTAAAGAATTGCAAGTTGATGCCCACACTGGTATTGTTAGAGATGAAAATGGAGATGAGATTGCCCACTTTACAGATTTAGCCGTTGATGCAGACCATGCAAGCTCTGACAAGTATGGATCAAAGAGCTCATCAAGCATCAATAATACTGGTGGTGTAAGCTCCTCCACTCCTGCTACTGGAGCTGGAACTGGAGCTGGAGCTGGAACTGGAGCTGGAACTGGAGCTGGAACTGGAGCTGGAGCTGGAGGACTAGCTGCTGCTGCTGCTACTACTGCCTCTGCAAAGCATCCTCATTTGACTGAGCCTACACATCATACCAGTGCCAACGCTGGACAACAATATGGTAGTGGATCTGGAAAACCAGAACCACCTTACCCTCAGGGTGTGCCAGCAACTAAGGACGTTAATGCCACTTCCAACTATTCACCATCTGGTCCTCAATCTAATAGGGCGAATGAAGGTTTCCACACTCAATCTTCGTCTGGTGCTTCAGGTGCTGCTTCGAGTGGATTACCAAACTACTCCAACTACGATGACCACAGGAATCAATCCTCAAGAGAAGATTATACTCATGACAATGAAAAGCAAAACTCCACATCTCAAGGAGGTTTATCTGGCTTGGCATCAAGTGTTATTGGTGCTTCTGGTGCTGCTGGTGCTTTAAAATCATTAGGTCTTGCAAACCAAAGCGGTACAAGCCACGGAAAATCAGATGATAGGAATATCTATTCAGACAAGTCTCATTCAGACTCTAATCCTTCATCCTCACATTTACTGGGGTCAAATGCTTATCCAAAATCAGCCGTTGATGCGTACTCATCTTCTTCCGAAAACACAAGCTTTGACAAAAACGTCAATGATGCTACGTATGGGCAATCAGGAGGAAGATATGCTGATCACCAATCAACCTCAAAACCTTCCAATTATGTTTCTGAATCGGGTTATAGTACAAAACCTACTTCTGGTGTTGCTGATGCCACATCTGCGGGCGAAACAGGTGTTGGTAGATCCACTGGCGTAGGTTCCACTTCTGCTGCAACTACTGCTACTATTCCAAGTTATGCTGAACATAATAAAATTCCCAGAGACTTGCAACATGATGATGCTGGTGCAACTGGTGGATCCAATGTTGGATCATCATCACATGGATTAACTTCGAATGCTGCCGAAGCTGACCATGAAGCTACTACTGCAAACAGCTCATTTAGCATGCCAGGTGGATGGAATTAGAGAGGTGAATGGTGCCACTTTTTCAATACTTTGAAGTTTGAATTTTGTTGTAATTGTATAGTACTTAAGTGTGTTTTTATTAATTTGAAAGATATTGTTATTTGTTGAAGTCTACGTTCCCTCTCATATTGTCTATAAATATACACCTCTTAGAGTATCAAACCCTCAATTGTACAACCTGCGATCCAATTCTCTCAAAACATTAGCAACAGACTGTACTTCCACCTGCATGCCTCTAGTTGTCAACTTGCCAACCAAGGTGCTGAAATCAACACTGTTGAACTTCTTATGACGGGATAAAGTCTTGTACGCATCAGCACAAGGAATAAACATACCCCCACCAGTGCCGTCACTGCCGCTGGATCCTGATCCTGGAGTAGTAGGCATAAACGCAGATAATCCATTCACACCTCCACCAGGACTAGCGGCAATGTTAGTGGTACTGTTTGATGCAATCAATGGTGGGGGAATGGGACTAGGCGCATTACTATTATTATTATTATTGTTATAATTATTGTTGTTGTTGCTGTCGTTGCTGTTGCTGTTGTTGCTGTTGCTGTTGTTGCTGTTGCTGTCGTTGCTGTTGCTGCTGTTGCTGTTGTTGCTGTTGCTGTTGTTGCTGTTGCTGTCATTGCTGCTGTTGCTATTGAGAAGAGTCGCGCTCGGTGTGTTGGGTCCAAAATTCAACAGTAGTGAAGTCCTTGAAGGGTTTCTTGACAAATTGGATCGTATTGAGGAATCTCTACTTTTGGAAGCAACTGTTGTACAGAATAATGTTGACATGGGATCCATTTGGCATTGCCTACAAGTACCGGGGTTCCCTGTACATCCACTGCCACTGTCTCCATTCGTGTTGGCATCTTCCTCTGATTGTGTCTGCTGAGATGTCAATGTGTCTGATGACGATTGGTTTGGTCTCGGGATTATTGTTGGCACAGCACCTGGTGTTAGGTTGGTTATATCTCGAATTTCCACTGACGGTCCTGGGTGCATCACTGGAAGTGCCATTTTGGTGGTGTTGTTATTACTCGTCAAGTTGAATTGCAATGGTGGGAGGGTATTCTCATCCCCGTCTTGTTCGTTGATTTCGTGATCCGCATGCTGTTCTTCATCTTCCTCCACAATAATATTATCTGGTCCATTCAATGACGCATTTAATCTCGCTGCCTCCTTAGCTGCTTCACGACAAACACAAGGGGTATCATCTGAGCAAAATCCACAGTTCTCCATAGGTGAGTCTTCATTGAATTCGGAACTGCCATCGCCGGATTTGGACTGTGGTTTACTCTGGTCAAGGACGCCTCTAGTTACCGACGAGCCGGTATTTTCTCTTCTCAGATTCTGCTCTTGTTTTCTTAGTTTGGTCAAATCTGGCATAGGTTTGGCTTTCGTGGAAAATTGCCTTGTGAAGTCTATTTCTTGAACATCATCTACACTTTGAGCTTTTCTTTTGCGACTAAGTGAGACAGCTGGTTGAGGCTTGATTGATGAAAGTTGGTTTTCCAACTCTAATTCAGCTCCAGTCTTGCGTGGCTCCTTTAATCCCACTGATTCGCATAAACATTCATCCTTGATACACACTCCACAATCAAATTCCGATGCATCAATTGCCCCAGTGTTGCCATTGGATCCAGATGCAAAAGCCTTATCAGGAGTAGTGTTATTGGACACGGGTGTCAACGTGTGTTGTGTTTGATTGCTGTTGCTGCTATTGTTACGACTAATTGTACTGTGAGGTTGGAAATTGTTCCTTGAAGTAACATTGGGCGGCAGATCTGCAGACGGTGCTGGTGAAATTTGCTGCAATGAATATGAAGAGCCAGTTGGGGAGATATTATTGAGCGGGGACAGATTTTGACCTGAATTGCTTGTATAATACTGCTGCTGTTGCTGCTGCTGTTGTTCAAACTGTGAATATGAAGTTGTACTTCTTGACTGACGTTTGAAAAATTGTTGTTGTTGTTGTTGAGGAGGAGGAGGTACAGGTGCAGGTGCAATGCTTTGCTGTTGTTGATTATGCATGCGTGGAGATGAGTGCTGCTGATGTGATTGTGCATGCTGTAGTGGCAACTGCTGTCTCATTTCCTCCTGCGACGCTCTAAACATGGCCATCTCCTGTCGTACTTGCTCCATACTCTTTGTTAGGAAGCTATTCTCCGCTTTCAATTTATTTATAGTATTGATCAATGCCATTTCTTTGATATCTTTTTCCTTCTCAACTTCCATCAACTTTTCTTCCAACTCTTGGACTCGAGTAGCTCTTCTTTCTCTAAACGCTCTTTGTGCAGCTCTATTTTGTGCTTTCCTTTTCGATGCCGGAGTGTCAACACTAGGTTTTCTTCCTGGTTTGGGTCTTGGTGGTAAAACCCATTCTTTTGAAGTCATAATCAGGGTCAAACCTTTGGTGTTTAGACTCTTTGGTGTGGTGGTAGGGTTTGCGGTAGCCGTGTCATGTCTATTTGGTGATGATGATGCTGTATTATTGCTGTGCGTGTTTGGGCTAGCAATACTTTTCGGAGTGGAACCTGCGGAAGCCGATGACGGAGGAGAGCCTGCAATGGCAATCGGTGACTGAGCTACTGGCAGCTGTCTTGGTGCAATACTAGGGCCCTTTGCTGACATTTGAGGAAAATGATCTATGTACGATATCTGTGTGTGTGCCTTCTTTACAAGATTTTGAAGGTAACGCCGGAACACTGTTGTTGTAAGTCGCTAGTGGCTATAACTTACTCTCTGATAGTGTTGCGTATCGAATATTCGTGATCCGGTTCCGTACCTCTTCCAAAGGGCGTGTATGTGTCAGTGTGACTGTAAATAATGTGTGTATGTATCGTCGATTTAAAAGCTATTACTCATAAATCAAATATGTATTCAAAGAGGTTTGAAATATTCGTGGGAAAATTGTCTATTGATTTTATATGCTGAGAATTTTTTTGGCAATTCAATTGTTATTCATTTATTTATTTCTTTTTTTTTTTCTTGTTTCGTGATTACGTAATATATTGCATAATATGCTCACCTTTTTGTTTGCTGATGGAAAAGATAAAACAGAAAAAGTGGAAAAGCAAATCTACACAAAGCCAGATTATTTATTTCTTACAGAAATTACTAAATATCAACATCGCTGTGATTGGCTGAAATGTTTTGCATCTCATACGGTGGTATATAACCTTCAACTCCATGTCCAAGCCACCTTTTTTTTTTATGCATATTTGACTAGAATAACAAGCAAAGCTTGGAAGCGAGCACAAATGCCTAGTCTCCAATTCTGTTCCTGCTGAGGGGGGGGAGCGCGGGGAGCACTGACTAAGGAACAATGCTTCCCACGTTTCTCACAAACAAGATTTATCTAAGTAGTTTAGAATCTCATCTTGTTTACTCTTCTAATGAGAGGTAAAGTGCGCTTAGCCGCTCTGGGTAAAGAGAGAGATAGACAAAGAAGCACAAGGAGGACCTATTTTAGCGCATTTTGGATCGTCATCTGTGATTAATATACGAGACAATTGACCAAATCACCTCTCCACACATTCCCAGAATTCTCCCTATTGGAACGAAGAAGGAACTTTTTTGTATGCGCATAATGCCGTCTCCAATCTCTATATTATGAAATACCGAGTCCGGTCTTAGAACTCAACACAAAAGCTACTACGATCAAAGAAAAAAAAAAAAAGGCTGTTATTACAAAAACTCTCCTCTTCTTTTACAGTCTTATATACAATTTCTTTAGTAGTGGAGAATAGTAACTCTTCAGGTTCATCTCAGCACTCGCATTAGCAAGTAACACACCCACTCCATTTTCTATTTGGTAGATTCTGCTTGCCTTTGTTTTTCAGCTTCTTCGGCTGCTCTTTGTTGTTGTACTTTGGCAATCTCTTCTGGATTTGGACCACCTTCAGTGATCAATTTATTCAAAGTCATTTTACCAAATTCATCCTTCAATTTTTGTTCCTCCTCCAAAAATTTAGCTGCATTTTCTTGCAAGTACTTTTGGAAATGTTGATACTGTAATTGACCATGTTCTCTAATGATGTCCAAAGGCATCTTTGGTTCTTGCACTGGCATTCCCAACATCTTGGCAAGGAAATTTGCGGCATTAGGCTTATCCGAAGGATGGTCCTTCTTCCATTGTTGCCTCAACTTTGTCTCACGTTGGGTAAATTCTTCAACGATGTTTGATTTATCATTGAAAGAATTGAGGATTGGACGAACATCTTTAACAGGTTGGGTTGCCAAGTATTCCAAAAAAGGAATCAAACGGATCAAATAATCATCAGGCTTACCATCCCATTTCCTAACAACGATAGCATTCTCTGGTTGCAAAGACGCACAATCCGGATCAACTTCAACCATTACAGTTTTACCCAAGTCTCTGTTCAACAAGGAAAGATCCTTGATCAATTTTCCATCCTTGTAACGGCATCCTTCCCTAAATAATGCGTATGAAATGTACGCGTGATATGGATCTAATTTACCAACAGCCTTTTCAGAAAACATTTGCGAGTTGGAACAAAACAAGACAATTTCATAATATTGCGATAAGTAACCCAAGAAATAGTCAAGACCCGGTCTTTTGGCAGTTCTCCATCCATGTTTGGTATCCCACTCAGAGTGAATCAATAAATCATCCAATGTCAATACTAAGGTCAAAGGACGGCGGTACTGTTCCGGTGCTGGTGGTGGCAACAAGTTTTCAAAAGCTGGCTCGGAAAAGAATGTGAACAAGGATGCTAATCGTTTACTCATTCTTTCGTACATTAAAGACGGAGTGTATCCGTTTGCAATTCCTTTCCCATCCATGTCTTCTTGTTCCTTTTCTGAGTCCCAATCTCTACTCATATATGCTAATCCAAGTGCTCCTCCAACCAAAGTGGACAAGTAGAAGATATTGGCATACCTCTCACGTTTTAAGTCTTTTGAAGTCTGTGCTCTTCTTCTTTTACGCCTTGAAGACTTTTGGGATCCATCTTCGTCTTCAAATTCCTGTTCTTGCTCTTGCTCTTGCTTTTGCTTCTGTTCCTGTGGAGTTTTACCATCCTTTTGGGACTGTTGTTTGCCGTTTTTTTGAGATTCAAGATCTTCAAATCCAGCTCTAGCAAGCATATCGTCATTCAAGATTGACTGTGGTTCATCTGCCTTTTTGCCCTTATCGGCGGCCGATTTACCATCTTTTGTTGAGTAAAGCTTGATCAATTGGTGATGATGCAACCTTGGTAGAAGTGTTTGTGGTGCCCTCGTGAATGCATTCAGCGAGGGTTTAGCTGACCTGACTGTAGTATTTATCAACAGCCTAGTAGTTGTCCTAAACATGACTTGAATTTGTGCAAAGTTGGCTGTAATGAAGGTTATAAAAAGAGCTTGTTGCAATCAGAAGTCACTGAAAATATTTCAAAAAGAAAATTAAAAGAAAAAAAAATTTTGCTAACGAGGGCGCTACCGTCTGTATTGCTTCCCTTCCTTTAATGAGAAGGATCAAATGATTTTTGCAAGTGATGGAGAAGCACAACAATCTTGTTGCAACCATGTTCCCGATCGTTAAGAGAGAGTCCATATCAGCATTGAAGTACTCAAGGATACAATGTATTTCCCGTACCAGCTTTACCTACTTGGCTTCCTCCAATGTCACCACGCGCAATCTTTCATTCAAGATCCCCAATGTATTCAAGGCAGTTCAACAAGCAAACAAAATCGATGAAAGATTTGAAGAATTGGGCAAATCTCCCACAAAGGACAAAGTGCAGCAAGTGATTGATGCAGTTAAGGATACTCCTGAACTACTATTCCAGTTGAATTTTTTCTTTTATGAATGTGGAAAATTGGGAATAACTCATGACAATGTTGATAAACGTAAACGTCGTTGGAATTACTGGCCCAATGTGATATTGAAGCTAGCTCCTTTGAACTCGGCTTTTTGGGACACATGTTACCTGTTGGATAAAGCGCAGCATAAGCATTCATTAACACCATTCAAATTGAACGATATTGGGTTATTAGATCCAAAAAATTTCCCTCAGGATTTTATTAAGCAATTGGCTACGGGTAAGTATAATGGCATAGATTTTAGAAACGTGATAATCTTTGCCTTTTCTAGACCGAAATTTACTACGACTCCAGCAGAAGACGAGGAGAAAGGCACGAAGTAAGATGACACTGTGCGACCGGGGATCTTGGTGCTTATAAACGACACAGACTGGGA